CCATCAAAGCTCCACCCCGCAGCACCCCACCCGGATGTTTAAATAAGCTTATAACATTTAACACAATCAAAATAAAATAAATTCGTATAGTGTAAACTAAATTATAAAGAGCCTATATAAGGTCCCTGCTATATACATGTATATAGTGGAAATATCATTATGGTAGGTCATTTTTTCACTGGCTGGGTTTTACGTCGTAACAACACAGTAGAGGTCGTATGGCGACTTTAAAGCTTCACGGGTGGAGGAGGACCTCGATTGCGTCTCCGAACATAACGGGCTCTGGACTAAAACTACCGACGTATATTAAACGGATAGCTTCCTCACATTAAAGATCCCATCGTGTCTGACGGGATTCGAACCCTCAGCGGCGAGGGGAAAGTAGTTGAATGTCAACGACTCTCTTTCACCACTCGGCCCGAACGCACCTCTTATAAAACACAATTTAATTCACAGTGTTACATCTGTATCATATTTTGTATTATTTATCTAAGAACATGTTCAATGTGCTTTATTGTGATGGACTATGTCCGTTGTGCGTTGTGTATCATCTTTTTTTTTAACAACATCTCTTTTTAAACGGTTGGGTGAATGTTGTTATAATTTAACGGAACGTTCCTTGTACGATGCTTCATTTATTTTAAAGGTATACTATGCTCATTCTTAAGTAAGGTATCACAGAAATTTATTGAAATTTATGAAATTCTTACTGACTACGTCTAATTTGACAAAAAAAAAAACGAATAAACTATGTATGGGAAGCCAATATATTACAGATATACGAATTTACATTTCATGTTAATAAATAGAGGTAATTAGAAATTCATTTCCTATAAAGTCTAAGATAAATTGTATAGTAAGAAATGAATACATATATTTTAATGATTGCACATAATGTGGACAAATATCTGCAGTACATATTTTACATATTCTTCGATGTTTGAAAATTGTTTCAGAAGCATAATTATATACATATATAAAATTTCACTAAAGTGTGGTAACAACCTTAATTACAACATGCAGGATTTTTAAAGATCCTGTATGTTGTAATTAAAAATAAATTTCTAATTACCTCTCTTTATTAACATGAAATGTAAATTCGGTAATATCTTTACAAATAATGCTTTTTGGAACTTACAATATTGATAAATCTTTATTTGAGCATTAGATTTTTGATATGAAACCATAACAAAATGCGTTACAGGATCTTTAATTATTCCTTGCTATAGTAATAATAGGATGAGTGATATAAGGGCCGTCTTGTCCCCTTTGTTCACTTCACGCTTTGTTGCTATTGACTATGTTATCTGTCAATGTATTATGCTATAATGCAGATAAACTGTATTGTATCGTATCGTATCGAATGGTATCGTATCGCATCGCATCGCATCGCATTGTAATGTATTGTATTGTATGTATTACGCTGCCATGTTGATATACAAACAAGTAATACAATTTTTTGAGCAATAAACGAAATTATGCTACCAAACTTTGACGGATATCACAAACCGTGTGCACAGTTTGTATATACAGTGACAGAAGAAATGTCTCGATTGATTAAAACAGATGAAATAAAAAATAAAGTAAAAGCAACGAAAGCACTTGCGAATAACTAACAATAATGAATTTATTTTTAAAACGGAATACTTAACATATGTCAGCAAATTTCTACCATTTGTTAACAAATACTGTCAAATATATACAAAAGGTGTATGATCTTGCTCTGCGTGAATTATACGGGTTACTGACAAAAAAGTTTAACCGTTTCGTCTCCGTCAATAAAACTGGAATAAAAGTGTACAGGTCGATTAATTTTAATAGATTTTAAAACAAAATCAATACCTATGATGTAATATAAACATTTTCATAATCTTCTTTTCAAAAACTGAACGCCCGTTTACATTGCCTTAAATAAATATGAATGAATAGGATACCCATGAATAACTTTATGAAATGATTCACTGACATGAAAAATACATTTTATTCAGAGTAGGATGTGCAACTTGTAGTGGTTGTGATTCATATTTAAATGTATATATTACGCATGTACTAAATATCCACCCGCCCTTTCAGACATAAGAGTACGGAACCCGGACCCCATGGTTAGTTATGGCAAGCATGTATCGCCTATCTAGATCGAGAACCTGTTGTCTGAGACAGCCTTATCATTGTTATATATTTCGACATTAACATCCATTTAAACAACAGTATAAAAAAACATAGTAGGGATCCAACTCGTGCAGGGTGAGCGTAATGATTAATTTGTAAACATTGATGATCGAAGTACGACATACAATTACTAACAGATTTCAGATGAGACTTTAAAACAGAATGGAGGTTCAGTGCAGATGTACTTAACACTTTGTTCATTGAAGATCCAGTTGTGTTTTACATAATTTCCTAAAGAAAATTCCTTATCAGACGTCTTTTTATGAAAAAAAAAATATTGTGTCACGGATCAGAACTGTTCACTATTATGGGAAGATGATGTATAAATGGTGGAAAAGCCGCGGCACAGTATTCCGAGGGTTCTGGTTTCGAGTCCCGGTCAGGCTGCACATTTTTCTCGCCATGTACGTGACATTGGCACTCAACGAGGGACCGTGACTGCACATAGCTCAAAGTTTAATTTTCATTGTTCTGTAACCCTGAGAAATTCGAGGACGAATTTCATGCAATAGAGTATGTCACCGTTCAGAACTGTTAACTTATTTACTTTATTTAGGAGTGTAAGCTGCCGGAAAGCTTGGTCGGTATGGTCGCGGAACGGTGTTCTGAAGGTCCCGTGCTCGAGTACCGGTCAGGCTGCACATTTTTCTAACCCTGTGACACGTCAACCAAATGGGTTTGATGTGGCGACTCTATACTAGTAATAACTTGTATAGAAAGTTTTAAGGTATTTTACTATCAAACTATTTTACGGTATGTAGCGACTCTTAGGTGTAGGAGGTCACGTGTTCACTAATATCACCTGTTTTTCGCCCAATGTGACAGACGCCAAGAATATAGAATATGTAACGCTTTTGAATGCCTTGATGAGGTCATGGAATCGATACCCAGTTAGTTATATCAGTACCTGAACGTATTTCTATTTATCTCTTCTAATATAAGCTTGTCAGTGATATGAGTTCGTCATATTTCATTACCTCCCTTTGACCGCTTGTACAAGTTTTACGCCTGTTTATGCACTTGTTATCGTGCTAAAGTTTAAGTTAATTTAAATTACAGTTGAAATATATTAAACTATTTTTATTTTGTAATAAATATATGTATTCAAAGTAGCATTCTGTATAGAAGGATTAGCTTTAGATTAATATTTATAAACATTACCATGTTTTTATACTATAATAGCTTTTATAAAAAAGCAATAATTGCTTTAAACAATTGACCTAGGTTTTAGGAAAAAAGTGGTTATACATTATCGGCATCGTGAACAATGCAGGTTTATATGTGCAATGCACATGTCTAGGGAAATACTCTTCTTTATTTATTAAAGGCATATTATACCTCAGAAAAAGATAAATATGTCCTTCTTTACAATGGACAAACAAGTGTTAAAAAATGTTTTAGAGCATGTAAGATGTTTATCGCCTGGAATAAGTAGCACTGAATGTTAAATTATTTGATATCAAAATAGCAAATATAAACAAACTAGTCATTTGACTTACATGCAAAATCCTTAACACTATAAATGTACTAGCAGCAGCAAAGGCTGGTTTAGGCCAGTGAGTATTTTTTAACTATAACTGGGCGCAGAAAATATAAAGAAAAAAACTTTGTAGAAATAAACGTTAAAGCAATTCCGGGGGAATAATAAGCCTTTCACCGAGTGCTCTGGTCGCTTGTTAATGCCGATGTTCTGTGGTTTGGTCACTTTTCGACGACATAATGGCCCTTTGTTGCTGTCCCTTTTCACCTTTGTACTACAGCTCATACTGCCTTTTTTAATCAGGAATTTAAACCATTTAATGATCAACATTATTTTTTGTCCAATCACATTGTAGTATTTTTCAAATTTCTGCTAAGTCTAACTTTGGTTAATGTGACTACTAACTAAATGAAATTTACTTAATCTGTCGTCTAACCTGAGTCTAACAAATTTCAATAATGCATTATATTAGGGAGGAGTTAGAGGTGTGATTTGCACTCTGAATTGTAAAATATCTAGGTTAGCAAAACAATGCCAACGAAAAAAACATTAAGTAAAGGTTAGTGTTTGATAATATTGTATAACTATTGTCAGCAAGTGCCTCGTTGCAAATTATTTATTATTGTTCAGTTGTTACTTCTGGAATAATTTACCACTGGCGGGAAAGTGCAGGCAGGTATGCCTATATAGAGAAATCTACTGATGTTACTGATACATAGACAAATATGAAGATTTTTACAAACGATCATTTTGTATAAGCAGAACATGTTTGTTTCATTACATTTTTTTTCTGTTAATATTGTTTAAATTTCTGTTTTGACGTTGTTGGTAAGGCGAATAGTAAAGCATATGTATATGGGTAAGGTTTCCTATGATTCACAAATCGTCATATAGAAACGAAGAAAAATCTTATTTATTCATTAATTTTACTTATTTTTTTGGACGATGTGTCATTTTCTAAAAGAGTGACAATGATAAAAGAATGTCCAAACTGTCTCACGTATTATTAATTTGCAGACTAGCCCTAAATTACTATGTCTACTGTCAGGCAGGTTTCAAAATTATATAATTCAATCTATTTTGTGCATGTAAAAAACAAAATGTCATAGTATCTATTTATGGTTTAGTTTAAAACTTGTTTCCCACGATTTTGAAAGTAGCGCCATAAAATCTTTAACAGTCCAGTGAGTAACGTATTCCGATTGGCTGCTATTTTTATGTACGCCCTCGACTATGTTATGCAAATGTCTAAACTTGAGCTGTCAAACCGGTTTTACCACTTTACGCTTGAATGCGTTCGGTATACTATACGTTCTAAAAATAGATCAAAATACAGCATTTTCTTTAATGAAAACGCCGGTAGACAAGACACAGTTGAATACACAAGGTGTGGTGTTATACCCAAACTAGAACCAGGTGTGACGGTTCGCAGTTTTGAGTAGTGTCTTAAAGCATCAACACTTAGAGGCTGGATTTTTCGTGAAAATTTTATATAATCTTTGATTCAAAGGTAATTAATTAACATTATTTTTGTATTTACATGCTTTTAAATCAATGATCAAACAAATGTTTATCATCTTAATTATTAAGAAAGCAAGAAAAACTGCAGAAAGTTAACTACACAGCTACGATTTAAATTTAATTGTTTAGTTGTTTGATCTTGTTTAATTTATATAGTCAGAGACATATAGATTTATCATTACTAGTGAACAAGCATTATAGAAATAAGTACAAATAGAAGATCATGTTGATACATTAATTTAAGTTTAAGAGTCTATTGTTTAATATAAATCTGATAAGCAAGTGTCACATAATTGTAGGCGTGAATTACTATGCTTGAAAATATTTGGCATGTTTAACAAGCAGGGCTGGGTATTTAGTTGCTTGTATATAAATCAATGTAATATTTTTTATTATTTCTTGGTTTTAAATGTTTCTTAAAAGCACACATACTATTCTTATACCTGTGATTTCTTATACGACCTATTTAAACATTTTTGGGTGGATTTGATAGTTTTAGCTTGGGGTGTGAAAAAAGAATGTGTAATCACATGAGTTTTGTGATCATACACATTAGGTTTGTTGATGAATCAAGATTTAATAACAATTTACCATTTCTTAAATTTAAACATTCAATTTTTCTTGAGTTTTCAATTATTTGTGATCTAAGCAATACCATGAGCTTAATTGTTTGTTTTAATCTTGTGAATACTTGTGAAAATGGGTTGATAATTTAAGTACCAGTGAGTCACATCATGATGCTTAACTATAATGTCCATATATTGCATGGCAATGGAAAGCTTTTATTGTACATGAAAAATGTAATATTCCATAAAAATGCTTAATTGAAATAACTTGCCCAGATCCTGGCTTTATGTAACAGCTAGTAGGTGTTGGCTTTTCTGATATCAGAAAAAAACATTTTCACAGATTAAGTAGAAATAGAATAAAACCTATTTCATAGGAGGGAATTATTCGATGATTTATAAAAGTTAAAACTTTATAATTTTATTGGAAGGGTTTGAGGAAAAGAATATTATACTGTAATCATATAGTTAATGATGCATTTAGTGTACAAATAATCTTCATCAGCTATATTATAACAGGTTTATATGATATATTTTGGTGTAGTTAACATTTGGGTAGTTGTAATTTTCAGAATGATTGCATAAGTTAAGTCTTGCATACATGTGAACTCTTCCACTTTAAGCGGGAGACTCCCACTTTTGGCAGCCATATTTTCAAAGATTTTTCTTAAAATAAGGGGTATTTTCAAAAATATAAGAAATCTCCCTACTTTTGATGTCAAAACTTCCTTCTTTGTTTATTGCAAATTCTAAAATCTCCCTCTTTTTGAAGTATAATCTCCCACTTGATCATCAAAAAAAGTTCACATGTATGGTCTTGATATATTATTAAAGCTACGGTATGTCTTTATTTATAAAATATTTCAAAATACGAAATATTTCAAATGAACATTATTTTGTAGGTTTTGGAGTTATTTTGACTTAAATCTATATTTTAGAAATAACTTTCTAATGCTTTATCATGGAATAAACATGGTTCCAATCCCAGTCAAATCTACAAGTGAAAAATCCAGAAATAAACATGGGACCCATGAGACAAAATAAATAGTTTTATTTATTATATACTTTTAAATGAAATATTGAGAAATATTGATGAAATAAAATGCGTATTTTCATTTTCCGTATTTTCACTGTAAAAATTTATTTTTCACTGCAGTGAAACATATTTTCCGTATTTTCACTGGTGTCTTGCCGGACTACTTTCTTTTAAATTCTGCCAGTACTCAAAATTTGAGGGAAAGTCTTGCAAATTTTAATGTCCAGAAAGAGAAAAATGTATATAATAAACAGAAAATTCAAGTTTTTTCTATAAATACATGATTTATTTTCATCTTGTGGCATGAAAATTACCATATTTCACTCGTGGCTACCGCCACTCATGAAATATTTATTTTCATACCACTCGATGAAAATAAATCATGTATTTATAGAAAAAACTTGAATATCCTCTATAGATTTTACCTCCTTAAGCAGTGTATATCATTGCAACTTTCGCCAGACTGAGTGATTTGTTCCTTCTTACCATAAACATAAAAATGGAGAGCCTCAGTACAATCCATTATGATCCTGCCTTTTATTTGGAAGTAGAAGAAGAAATCGATAGTAAAACTACAATTCTGAGACAAACTTGGGACAAATCCCTGGTAAAACTACAAGTCAGAGATAAATTTGGAACAAATCGCTGGTAAAACTGCAAGCCTGAGATGAAATTGGGACAAATCCATGGTAAAACTACAAGTCTGAGATAAATTTGGGATAAATCCTTGTTAAACAAGTCTGAGATAAACTTTGAACAAATCCATGGTAAAACTACAAGTCTGAGATAAACTTGGAACAAATCTGTGGTAAAACTACAAGCCTGAGATGAAATTGGGAATAATCCATGGTAAAACTACATTTGAAAATAAACTTTGGACAAATCCCTGGTAAAACAAGTAGTCTGAGATAAACTTGGGACAAATCCCTGGTAAAACTACAAGTCTGAGATAAACTTCCAAGAAAAACTGCAAGTTCATTAAACAAATTCAGACAGTTACATGATTCTTCCTTTTTCTTTTTCAGTCATTGGGGCACCAACGCCTCAACAAAGCTCTAAAATGGCGATTCACGCCAATTTGGCGTGCCAACTGTTAATTCTACTGGCAATGTTTAAGTATGTCCATCTTCAAGCTCAAGTTCAATCATCGGCTGTCAATCCATGTAAGTTTAATTGCCTTTTATACATTTAAACAAATATCCCACACTCAAGATAAGAAACATACAAATACAATATAATTATATATATTTTAAAATTCAAAGTAGAGTTGTCCTTTTGCTAAAACTTGTTTGATGACATACAGATAGGTTGTTGGACGATTAAATGTTTTTGATAGTGCAAAAAGTTTAATTATTAATAAAACATATTTGCTGAAAATTATCAGTTAAACTCATTATGTGTCTTAAATAGTTCATGAAGAAGCACCTTATGTCATTTACCAATAAAGCAGTTGGAAAGTTACTTTGTGAAGTTTGAATTTAAGCAAATTAAAAGAAAATATATGAAAGAGAAAATGTGACAGATCACTGTCCTTTAATTCAATTAAATTATTGTTTCTTTTTAAATAAATGTTGATGAAGGATAATTTTCAAATAATTTTTTCTTTCCCTTTTTATAGGTGAAGTATATAATTTTACTACTGGACAAGTGTTGCTCACTAAAAAAATTAGTGTAAGCATCCAAGAAACAGGTAAGATATTTGAACCTCTTTTTTGCCATTTCAGCATGTTAAACTTTGCAACAACACAATGATTCATTTCTGTTTTAGCCTACATGCATGTTCAAAAATAGGGCTGGGGCGAGTATCCGAGTACTCGGATAATCACGAATCAAAGTGAAAAATCGAGTTTGAATATTCGTAAGCCCAGAGATCGTGGATCGATATCTTATTTGCTTATATACATTTACGGTTTCTCACACACTAAAAGTCGAGAAAAATACGATTTGAGTATAAATTATGGGAAGTTAACCTATAAATACAATTAGCCGGTTAAAGACCATGTACCATGATGACGAGCTAGGAAGTAATTGGTTTCAAAAAACAAAACAAAAATACTCGGCCAAAGAATAAAAACATAAACCTGGTTGCATATATGTTTAATGTTTAGTATTGTTTTTTTTAAATAAACATGTTTTTAGAACTAATGTACATGTTTTTATGGGTGTCTTGATAACAAAAGATTTGTGGTTTGATTTGTGAATCGTAAGTGCTGAATCGTGGATCGGATTGGATCGTCACTTATCCGACGATCCACACCCCTATTCAAAAAATAAACGTGCTCAATTTTAAGCCTTAACTTGGTGAATTTGTTAAATGCATTTGCTGGGCTTTAAATTTGACAAAGTTTAATAGAAAGTTAAGGAAATTTCAATAACAGAGTACAAAAAATGAGCTTCCAGTAGTATAGAACCTGTTATAACAGCACAGCTGTAAGAGCAGGCCAGCCTGGCTGTATATTACTGGCAAGTTTTAACCCCTTTCAGTTACGTTAACAATTCAATTAGCATATCATGTTCAAATAACTTATTCTTTATTAGTACAAACACAATGAAATTTATTTTTAGTGAAGAAAAATGATTCATTGGCACAAATATTATAAAGTGTTTTACTTACAAAACACAAAAAGAGTTCCTTCATTTGTGTTTTACAGTTGTTTTTATGCCCTCGAGCATATAGTAATTGAACCGTCCATTTGTATGTCCATCTGTCCATCCGTCCATACAAGCTTAACCTAGAACCGCAAGTTGGATTTTTCTACCAGTACTAATTGTTCCATAATTTGCACAAATACAAATCAATACAAAATACATACATATCTATGGCTTCCATATTTACCAAGTTATTGCCCTTTTCAGCACTTAGAAAATGAATAATGGTGAACCTAAACCAGCAAGTTGGAAATATCTTTAGTTCTATGTATACCAATGGCTTCATAATTTCCACACTTACTTATCAATACAAAGTACATGATATTGCCAAGTTATATAACTGTGCTATCCATTTTCCAAGTTATTTCCCTTATTACACTTTGAAAATAGGGCCTGGTCAGGATAACCTATTCTGGCAAGTTAGATTTATCTTAAAATTCTCGTATTTGCTTAATTTATTTATTGATGTTTTTCATATTTGGTAGGTGGATACCTTAAATGGTCCTTTAATTTTTTGTGGCGTTAGGGGTATCTAGGGTAAAGGTCAAGGTCACTGGTGCAACAAATAAATTTAAACATTTTTGCTCATACAGCCTTTATTTTAAGGTAGATGTATTTTGTGTTTAATACAAACATGCTCGAGAGGAGTCATTTGGATCTAGGTCACCAAGGTTAAGGTCACCAATGTCAAAAATAGAATTTTACAGGTTTATTGACTTTACTCTATTGACAGATGTCATATCTAATAGGAACATAAAATTGAGGTCTTCTCCTTTGGATGGAGTTAGGGGTCTGTTGGGTCAAGGGTCACCAGTGCTAAAATAGATTTTTACATTTGCCCATACAGCCTTTATTTATTGACAGATTTATTTCATATTCAGCAGGAAGATAACTTGCATGGTATTTTTCCTTTTGATTAAGATAGGGATCAGTGGGTCAAGGTCACTACTGCTCAAAATAGAATTTTACACTTTTGCCCATACAGCATTTATCTATTGACAGATGTATTTCATATTTGATAGGAAGATTCCTTGCATGGTATTCTGGCTTTAGATGGATTATATGTCAGTTGGGTCAAGATTACCAGTGCTGAAAAGAGATTTTTCCACTTTTGCCCATACAGCCTTTATTATACCCCCGCACAACGAAGTTGTAAGGGGGGTATACTGGAATCAGCTTGTCTGGCTCTCCGGACGTCTCCCCGTCCGTCCGTCGGTTTTTTTTGTTCGCCGGTTTTTCCTTGTCCGCCCAATAACTTGAGATTCCTTTGGCCCTCAGTCTTTATATTTGGCATGGAGGATAGTCATGATTAGTAGATGACCCCTATTGATTTTGGGGTCACTGGGTCAAAGGTCACAGGGGCCTTGACTTTAAAAAGCTTGTCCGCCCAATAACTTGAGATTCCTTTGGCCCACAGTCTTCATATTTGGCATGGAGGTTAGTCATGATTAGTAGATGACCCCTATTGATTTTGAGGTCACTGGGTCAAAGGTCAAGGTCACACTTGATTTTTAAATTTTCACATTTGAAGCATGGAGAATACATATCTTAGCAATGCGCTGGCTTAGAAACTCAGATTTGGCAGGGTGGTTCTAAATGGTCACTGTTGATTCTGGTATGCGGGGGTATTCAAGCCATGACAGTGGCAGTTCTAGTTTATTTACAGATGTATTTCATATTTGGTAGGAAGATACCTTACATGATAATCTTCTTTTTCATTGAGGTAGGGGTCAGTGTGTCAAGATCAGATAGATAGATATTATATCTGCTTTTTTTATAGTTTACAATATTACCTGTTATTTGTCATGGAGAGTATTAATATTCAGGTGCCATAATGGTCCTCTTATTTGAAATATTGATACTGACAAGAATCTGAGCCAGGGGCACTTGTGTTTAATACACACAGTCTTGTTTTTTAGCTCGACTATTCGAAGAATATGAGAGCTATTGTAGTCGCCCCGGCGTCGGCGTCGGCGTCAGCGTCCGCGTCGGCGTCTGCGTTGGTTAAAGTTTTTTTGTAAAGTCAAATATCTCAATTATTACTTGAGATATTCAATTGAAACTTACAATACTTATTTATAGTAATAATGTACATCAGATTGACAAGTTGGATAACTCTGCCTACAATATTGACAGAATTATGCCCCTTTTTAACTTAGAAATTTTGGTTAAAGGTTTTTGTAAAGTCAAATATCTCAATTATTGCTTGAGATATTCAATTGAAACTTACAATACTTATTTATAGTAACAAGGTACATCAGATTGACAAGTTGGATAACTCTGCCTACAATATTGACAGAATTATGCCCCTTTGGAACTTAGAAATTTTGGTTAAAGTTTTTTTGTAAAGTTATTGCTTGAGATATTCAATTGAAATTTAAAATACTTTTTTTATAGTAACAATGTACATCAGTTTGCAAAATTGCATAACTCTGCCTGCAATATTTGCAGAATTATTTGCCCCTTTGAAACTTAGAAATTTTTGTTAAAGGTTAAAGGTCTTCAAAGATATTTACTTGAAACTTTACACATGCACTTAGGGTCATAATTGGAATGTCATAATTGTATGTCACTGACCAAGTTCCATAACTCTATCTTGCATTAAGGCTGATTCATATCCCCTTTTCTACTTAGTCTCTTGGTTAATGTTTACATGCAAGTTTTACATATCTCAATAACTATTAAAGATATTTATTTAAAACTTCACATATGCATTTAGGGTCATAATTGTAGATCACTGACAAAGATCCATAATTCTATCTTGCATTTAGGCTGATTTTTCTCCCCTTTTTCAACTTAGAAATTCATGGTAAAGTTTTGCTTGTAAGCTCAATAACTACTGAAGGGTTTGTGCCTTTTTTGGGACAATTTTATGCATTCATAATAATAAAGCGGTGATTTACTTGATAAAGCATCTTAATAACAAGCCTTTGTACCTTTTCTGTCAAATTTATGTATTCGTAGGTAATTAGTATTATTATACTCAATAAAACACCCTTGTGACAATACCTTCCGAATAGTCAAGCCAATACTGTATAATTAGACTCTCTCTTAGGCCTATAACTTGAATTTATAAAAAAAAAATTAGCCCTTTTGTGAACTTAAAAAATTTAACACTATCAAGGCTCTTTTACTATCAAGCACTTAGAATAGTCGAGCGTGCTGTCCTACCGACAGCTCTTGTTTTGTGGTCATGTTTCTTGAATGATTTTATTTTCTATTTACAGACACACAAGCAACTCAATCACAGAGTGTAAATTTACCGATAGGTGGAGGAAACATACCGACACTAACTGGCTCTGAACAAAATGACAGAGACACTTTAGATCTATATGGAATTTCTGTCAGCTTCAATCCATTATCTGGATACATGACATTGTTCATTGATAAGGAGATTGATAGAGATGTAAGTTAAATTTTATAATTAAGAATTAAGTTGATATTGTTTAGTTGCTAAAAAAACATGATGTTAACTTTTTCCCACAACATTTACATGCTTCATTAATTGCAATATTATAAACCATTATGACATTAAAAAGACTAAACCATTATGACATTAAAAAGACAATACAAGTGAATTTGTAACAAAAATCTGATTGCATTATATAGGGAGTGATGAACATTCATGTCTAACAATTTTATGATAGTTCTTAATAATTCATTTGTATCTGATTTAAAGTTATGTACTCTTAAATATAAATGTGAATTTCAGGGTACCAGTCCTCTCAATTTTGATGATTTAGATGTCATCTCATTCCTTCTACAGTGTGTATATACGGATACAGTGGTAAGTAATATTTATAACTAGTGCAGCATCAGCTTGTCAACTTGGTAGTCTTCCAAGGTTTATCATGATGAATACTAAGATGTTTTTATGCCACCGCAGCATCTGCGATGCGGTGGCATATAGCGATTCACCTGTGTGTATGTATGTGTGTGTGTGTGTGTGTGTGTTTGTGTGTTTGTGTGTGTGTTATATAGATTATATAGTGAACTTAAAAAATCTTCTTGTGAAAAACCACTAGTCCAATTTCAACCAAACTTGGCAGAATTGTTCCTTGGGTGAAGGGCTTCCAAAGTTGTTCAAAGAATTTCATTCCATGCAGAAATCTGGTTGCCATGGCAACCAAAAGGAATTATAAGAATAAATTTAAAAAGTCTTCTTGTAAAGACCCAAAAGGCCTGGAGCTTAGATATTTTGCATAAGGCATTGTCTGGTAGACCTCTAACAAGATTGTTCAAATTATAGCCCTGGGGTCAAAATTGGCCCCGCCCCGGGGGTCATTGATTTTCACTATGTACATATAGTGAAAACTTAAAATACCATCTTGTAAAAACCTAAAAGGCCTAGAGCTTAGATATTTTGCATAAGGCATCATCTGATAGACCCTTACCAAGATTGTTCAAATTATAGCCCTTTGGTCAAAATCGGCCCCGCCCCGGGGTCATTGATTTTCGCTATATGTACATATAGTAAAAACTTAAAACACCTTCTTGTAAAGACCCAAAAGGCTTAGAGCTTAGATATTTTGCATAAAGCATTGTCTGGTAGACCTCTACTCAGATTGTTCAAATTATAGCCCTGGGGTCAAAATCGGCCCGCCCCAGGGGTCATTGGTTTTCCTTATATGTATATAGTAAAAACTTAAAAAAATTCTTCTAGCAATCAACAAATACTAAAGGTTAGATATTTTGCATGAAACATTGTGTTGTAAAACTCTAGCAAGATTGTTCAAATTATAGCCCTGGGGTCAAATTGTCCCCGCCCTGGGGGTCATTGATTTCAATATATACATATAGTAAAAAATAAAAAAATCTTATTGTCTGAAGGTACAAGGCTTAGAGCTTTAATATTTGTTAAATAATATCATCTAAAGGTACTCTATCAAAGTTTTTCAAATTTTGCCTCTTGTGTCAAAATAAGCCCGCCCCTGGGAGCCACAGGTTTATCCTATATGTATATAGTTAAAACTTAAAAAATCATCTTCTCTAAATTTACAAAGGATAAAGTTAAGGTATTTTGCATGAAACATTGTGTAGTGAACCTCTAGCAAGATTGTTCAAATTATAGCCCTGGGGTCAAAATTGGTTCCGCCCCGGGGGTCATTGATTTTCATTATGTACATACATGTATAGTGAAAAAAAAAATTTTTGTCTGAAGGTTCAAGGCATAGAGCTTTGATGTTTGATATATAATTATTAATATCATCTATAGGTCCTCTAGTCCAAAGTTGTTAAAATGTCAAAATTTGGCTCTGCCCGGGGACAGTGATTCTCATTATGTACACATAGTAAAAACAGAAAATAAAACAAATGTTTTCTGAATGGGAGAAAGCTATAGCTTAGATATTTGACTTGAAATGTTGTTTGGTGGACCTGTATCAAGATTGTTATTAAACCCTTGGGTCAAAATTATGCCTTGCCCAAGGGGACAGTGACCTACTTTCTTGTCCTTTGATGTACAGCAATGACATTTTGACCATGTGCACAGTTTTAGTTGTAAAATTGAACTTTGACCTAGATTTTGATGATGTGACCTACTTTCTTGTCCTTTGATGTACAGCTATGAAATTTGAACCATGCGGTGGCATAGCATTTTTCTCAAATGCAATCTTGTTTGTTTTTTTTCCCTTCAACCTTCAATCATATGGTACATGCAATTGACCATAGCAAGTTACATACCTGTGATCTTTTCAGCATAAAAGCTTTGAAGAACAAAAAGCATTGTCATGGTACTTTACAGTTTTGAGGTTTGATGTTTGAATACTTTTCATTTGTTATAAGTAGCAGCCCTCTGACATATAGGTTAATGCTTCACTGAGTTCAACATAAAGTTATCTGATGTATGAAAATAAAAACTCTGATTTTGAAGTGATTGCACTTTTTATTTCAGTTTCAGATTTGTTATAATACTTTTCTGCTGATGGTTTTTGTCGCAAATAAATTTTGACAATTACAGATTATTTGAAGATATGTTTCATTTTTTACAGACAAGAACTTCATTTATAGATGTGACTATCACCGTGCTGGATGATAATGACAACTTTCCCATATTTTCACAACCCGCATATTCAGAAACCATTAAAGAGGTAGGTACAAGGATGCATTTTTATAAATAACATGTGAAGCTTAATTTTTTGGCACTGACATCATCAAATTTGGGATATCAAGATAAAATTTCGAAGTTGGTGACTTTTGAGCAAAATATTTAAAACCTATTCAGAATGTACTGACATTACATACTAGGCCAACAAATGTGTTTAGTTTTTGTTCAAATGTATAAAGGGTTTTGAAAAATCTCTGGCTTACAAATTAAAATTCTTATCATGCAGAACTTTTTGTTGCAGACACTGTCATTTTAGTATAAACAAAAATGTTGTTTATTTATTTGTTATGCAACTGCTGCTTATATTATCATTTCTATCATTCTAAAGTTTAATTCATACATGTACCTATTAGGTATGCATATTTAATTGACAACCAATGTTTGTCTTTCCTTTATCAGATTCTTTTTTGAAAATGACTGAAAAGAGTGAAAATTAACCTTTGACTATTATTTATTTGGCCTTTATTATGAAACTAAATGATAAGATGTAGTGATCTGGAGACAATTTTTTTATGTACAATATATCTACATTGACACCATTTATTATTGTTGATGCTTAATTTTAAGCTAAATCTGTAAATTTGTTCATTTTCAGCAAACTCCAATTGACACCACGGTTTTGGCTCAGATTAGTGCAACTGATCTAGATGTTAATGAAAATAAGAATCTTGTGTATTCTATCATTGCAGGCCAGAACTATGTAAGTCATTCAAAATTTTAATATCTTACATGATTGTGTATTATATATACCGTTTTGTTCCCATATACCCCCCCCCCCCTGAAATAATTTCCCCCCAACCACCCATTACTACCACATGTTGTAAAAGAAAAAATCTTTCCCCTGCCCCCTAACAAAATGCCAACCCACAGGGCGTTAAATAGAAATAATACGGTATATTACTATTGTGTATTATTACAGCAGTATTATAATATGTATCTGCATTTAATGGATACTGAAAATAGCTTAGTTAATATGAATATATGTTGACTTTTAAGGGAAGAAAAAAAAAAATTTTTATTTGTAGTAATTAGTTGTATAACTTGTTTAACTTGTTAGATGTCTCAATATGAAAGAAGTTTATAGCTACACTGGCCATATATTATTTCTTTCTTTAAATTTTCTTATGAAAAAAAAACAAAACAACATTCTTTGATATTTTATGTAATTTATGAAACTTGTCGCAGACACACTTTGTATAACTTTCCTAGATTATATTAGTGTTGATAAGATTATAAATAAATAAATGAGCCGCGTCACAACAAAACCAACATAGTGGGTTTGCAACCAGCATGGATCCAGACCAGCCTGCGCATCCGCGCAGTCTGATCAGGATCCATGCTGTTCGCTTACCAACACTATTACAAGTGGAGAAACTGACAGCGAACAGCATGGATCCTGATCAGACTGCGCGGATGCGCAGGCTGGTCTGGATCCATGCTGGTCGCAAATCCACTATGTTGGTTTTGTCGTGACACAGCTCAAATGTGTCATTAACATCCTCACGTACTTTTCAGGCCACAAAAGAGCTGGCTTTGTTCAAATCTTTTTAAAGCAGTTTCACTTTATGTTTCACCCTATGATTGTGTATAATTCCAGAATGGCGAGGAAATTTTCGTTATGCCACCTAATGCTCAGGGAAGGATTGTTTTAAATAGACCAGTTGACTATGAACTTTTAGACCAGAATAATGACTTAGATTTCACTCTTACAGTACAAGCTACGGTAAGGAACATTTAATTTGTATGCTGCAGTTTGTACACTTACTGAATAATTTGATCAATAATGCCAGTGTAAGTAATATATATTACATTTACAAGGATGTATATATACACTATTTACTGTGAGAATAATGATGATTTAAGGTTTACAAATAACCAACAAAAGGTCTTTGTTTGGCCCATTAAATGTGATTTTTGATTGAATATGTTGTTGTCTTCTTGCATCATGTAGCAAAAAAAACGTAAATTAAACTTACAGCTGGTAAGAATTATTTGCATAGTCTGTCCATTTTTTCTTTTCCTTAATTGGTTAAAAGCTCATTTTTTCTTTTCCTTCATTGGTTTAAAGCCGTGGCCTATGAAGAGAACAGTTAATGGTTGAAATAAGGTTATTTACAACAATTCTTGTTGATACTAGTAAATGACTTTGTGTTATCCTGGTTTTGTTTGATATGCCATGTGTACAAACATTGAGAGTTTGCCTAAGACATTCTTTACTATGTTTACAGGACAATGCAGTTGATCCAAATGAGCGTAAAACGTCAACTGTTACAGTTACCATAACAATAGCTGATAGTGATGATTTAAATCCAACTTTCTACCACCCTGGTTGTCGTGATACTTCAACTCTGGCAAATTCCTGTGATGGTGTTACGTATCGTGCATCTATAACATCTGGAGTTAGGGTATGTGTTTTCAAAAAAATTGTTCAACTCTGCCTGTCTGACTCAAAATTGATTACTCTTTATACCTAAACTATGATTTAGGCAAGCTTGCAAATCTAATGATCTAGGCTCAAAACTTTTGATAGTTCAATTTTTTTACTTTTGATGTTGAAATTCCTTAAATTTTGAATCGACTGTGCCGTCTTTTAAAGTAGACAATGTCAGTATATAAATTCAGCAGATTAAGAATTGTTGAATATCTCTCTGGTTTAAAAAAAATACTTTCTGTAACTTTATAAACATGTACAAATGTATGTATACAGGCAAATCAATGAATAAACATGCTCAAGATGACCTCATTAAAGATTGATAGTTTTTTTTAATAAATTTAAATTCTTCAAACTTTACAGGCAACTGATCCAATAGCAGTGATACCAACAATATCTGGAGCAGAAACAACACCAGGACCCCTTAGTGCGTTTGATCTTGACAAACTAAATGCAGCAATAGGCTTTGAAATTATTGGAAGTGAGTTGTGTTTTTAACATATTTTTTTTATTTTGTACATGTTCTAATGCATGCCTTATGAAAATGGGTTGAGTACAAATAATTTTGTTCAGTATTTTCACTTGAGGTCACATTAAATCCTTTGCAAAAGGCCAGCCTATATGGACATGGTTTTTTGATAAATTCAAAACTAATCTATAGTGAATTGGTGATGTGGTTGACCAGTCTCATACAAGGAAGAACAACTGTCCACCAATGTCACATTTTATATCCACCGATAGTCTCAATGAAATAGAAATATATGTACCACCCAGATAGTTGTCATGTTTATATGATTATGAAATTCCTCTTTTTAGCAAAAAGTTTCTTTCTTTATTTAAGTTCAGTCACTAGAGAAAAGTAATATGTATTATAATTCTATAAATCAGTTATTAGATAGAATAAATTACTTAACTTATATATATAACTATATACTTTGTCACAATTTAATTATGTAAATTGTCTCTTTCTTCAGCTCTTCCTTCTGGATATGAGAATTACTTTACTGTTAGCACGTCACCTGCACCAGCAGATGCAAATCTTCCTGGTAGGAATATATACACTGCCAGTCTGACACAGAACACAGCCATTAACAGGAATGTGGCCAAATCGTTAGATGTTTATCTAAAGGTATTCAAGCATTTATGAATTGTTTTTAATACTGAATATATTTACTGTATATAAGTTTTGATTTCTTAAAAAATTTATCTTTTTAACAAAAACAAGTTAAAGATAAAAGTTATGTTTGTTGGATATATATATCATATATTATTGTCTGCTTTCTATTTATCTTTTAATTCTTTTTTCAGAAAGATATTTGTTTAAAAATAACTTAAGCTACTGTTTTATTATTGTCAGAAATGATTGATGGCATTCAACTTTGCTTTCCTTTGTTTTTTTTATCACAGGAGATCTGATCATTTAGATTTCACTTCTTTTTAATGAAAGATATTTGTTAGTACAGTATTGGTTCTGTTAAAAATTGTACTGTAAACTTTGCTTCGGCAGATTTATTATTGTTTTTTATTTATATAATTCACAATAGGCAAGGCAAACTGATAACAGTGAGAGATACCGTATAGCAACTATAAAATTCCAAGTTGAACCAAATAATGCCAATGATCCAGTCGTGTCAATAGTTACCGGTGGAACAACTGGATATATCAAAGAAAATGTCAATTATGGTACAAATGTCCGTTCTGCAGCAGATGGAGAGGCTTCCATGCAGATTCAAGTTACTGATGCAGATGTGGTAGGGACTTTTGTACAACTTAAAATACATGTATTCCTATAATCATAATTGAAAATCATTATGATGTTGGACTGTTCTATATGAGGAGAATTGTAGCTAAGTTTAAAAAACACAGTAAGAGACATATTTACCTAAAAATATAGATTAAAGTTTACAGTTGAACAGTGTCATCTACAGTTTCATAACAGATCACTTAATTACAGTTAAGGCCACACCACATCTTGTTAATACCAGAACTTTTCATAATTGTTATGGGACGGGGGTCCAACCTTGACTAAAATATAAACTTAATGTGTTTTTTTTAGCTCGACTATTCGATAAGAATAAGTAGAGCTATTGCAGTCACCGGAGCGTCGGCGTCCGCGTCGGCGTCGGCGTAACCACTTATGTTAAAGTTTTTGTAATAGTTCAAATATTTTCAAAGTCCATAAACATATGGCTTTGAAACTTTGCACATTTGTTCACCATCATGACCCCAACCTGTAGACAGGAGGAGGTAACTCTATCAAGCATTTTGACAGAATTATGCCCCTTTTTCGACTTAGAATTTACGTTAAAGTTTTTGTAATAGTTCAAATATTTTCAAAGTCCATTGACATATGGCTTTGAAACTTTGCACACTTGTTCACCATCATGACCCCAACCTGTAAACAGGAGGAGATAACTCTATCAAGCATTTTTTTTACTATCAAGCACTAAGAATAGTCGAGCGTTGCTGTCCTACCGACAGCTCTTGTTTCTTTGCTTGCTACTCAGAACTGAGAATTTGTAACAAAAATAACACAAAATTTTTTTTTTGCTTGCTTGCACATCAAAAAATTATGAATTTAGAAAAATAAAAAATCTCTTTTTTTGCTTGCTTGCCCTATATTTTCTGTAAAAAGTCCATAGAACAAGAAATCAATTTGGTTTGGCCTAACTGTCCACAGTTTTTTAAATCTGTAACAAACCAACTGAAAATAATGTGTAGCTCAACCTGAACAAACAAATGAACATGAAATAAAGTAACTAATGTTTAAATACATGTACACTTATTTTTCTCGCTTTTAACATTAGGTTGATGGAGATGTCCAAGGCTACACATACAATATTATAACATCAACACAAGTACCTTTTGCTATCCTGCCAAATGGAAATGGTGAGACTGCCACTATTTATGCAACAGGACCATTGGATAGAGAGACTACACCTTCCTATACTTTTACTGTAAATATATAATACTTTCTAGAATTCATTTACCATTTTTTTGTTTTTAAAAGTGGGAGATAAAGGTCATGGACTAGGCATCTCTTGTGCCTCAACACTGAGGGTGGTTGTGGTGTTGGTAGTTTTCACTCCGAATCACGGCAGTAAGCCACATTGAATTCAGTGTCATGCAGTTAACCGGTACTAGTTGCCTTCACTTACACAAGGAACTGAAACTTCTGTACATACCAGAGCAGAGCTACAGTACAAATAACAGTAGAAAAGATTTCATAATCTATCATAATGATAGTGACCTGCGCCTTCAGTGAATAGAACCTGGGTCGCCCAATTCACAGTCCGATGCTCTACCTTATCAGAATTATTTTAGGCTTTATTATTTTATTTTATTTTGTAGATTTTTATTACTGATAAAAACAGTTGAAACTGGAAACTGGTAGAATGTGTTGTTAAATTCTTGCCTTTTTTATTGTAGAGAACATATCTTTCATGAGCAACTTTTCCTACATTTCATTACACCATAATTGTCACAGTTATCCTTGTGCATGTAATTGGGCGCTTGTAATCATTTCGGGGATTTTTTCCCTTTGTAGTTACGTTTTCATATGTTAATGATGAAGAAATACACTTCCGTGGTAAAGGTCTCCAACATTTGTGAAGGGACAATTTCTGTCAGTCATTTTCTGTAAACTTTTTACCTTACATTATCCAGGTTCGTGCAACAGAGGATGTGGGTTCATCTCCACGATCAGGTAACCTCCAAGTCACAGTTATTGTTCAAGATGAAAATGATAATCGACCTGTTTTCACTGGAACTGATTACACAAGAACAATTACAGAAGGGGATTATAGTGGTTTGGGCAATAGAATTCTCCTGTCTGATGTAAGTTCAATTTATATACATTGTATGTGTATCTGCTTAAAAGACAACCCATGATGTTAAACATGAACAGATATAATAGAAAGTCTTACTAATAATAAAATACAAAATATTTATCCATATGATTTCTATTGTATCAATCACCACTAAATATATTTCTTTATCTATTTTCATTCATGATAAAATATGCTTAATTTAAATATACTTCATCCTCTTTATGTATTTTACCTATACTTTATGACTTGCAATCTGGTAAATTTTCCTTTTTTCCCCACCATTTGTTGTTTAACTTTTTACATGTTTTTCATAGCAAATTCGAGCAACTGACGATGATGTTGGTGATAACGCATTGATCTCCTACAGTATCAAGAGTGTACGAGTAACAACAGGTTCTGTTACTGCTCAAGATCTTACTAATATTTTGGCGATTGAGAATGGAAATGTTTATTTGAACGGAGCAGTTGCTGCTGGGCTTACATTTGTTGTGTTTGTTGAAGCCTCTGACAATGGTGCCATAAAACCAAGGTTCGAACTTTGTTATCATTTAGAAAAATTTACCTTTGGTAATGTTGAGATGTACAAATAAAAAACATACATGTCTTGTTGATGCTAATGAATGTCATTGTTTGAAAAAAAATCAATTTTAGTACATGTAGTTTTGTTAGTAGTAAAGTTTGGAATACAAATTGTTAAAATGTAATAAATTGGGTGCAATTGTGTTGATTTATAGAATTTGTTTTGATTTTATTAAAAGGATAGATATCATAATATAACATATTATGTGTATATTTTTATTAAGGAAAGATGAAATTGTATTAAATGTAGAATGTATTTAAAATTTTTTGCCTAGCTAGCTAAGTCTGATATAGGTTTAACAGTTGTGTATGAGTTCAATAGAATCAGTATTCTTCTGACCTACTTATTTCACATTTTTAAGATTCTGACAGAATTTTGTTACTTCAAGTACAATACAACTGTGTATGATATTTTGACCCATAAAATGGAAATGAGACTAGATGGGGTATGATATGCATTTGATAAATATGTTTTAGACTCTGAAATTTTTAGATGTATTAGGTTAATAAGTTATACTGTATACATGTATTGACAGCATAACATTAATATGTTTAATACAGGACAGAGGTTGCTAGTTTGACAGTTACAGTGGTTGGTGATGGAAACAATCCTCCTGTGTTTGGTGCTAATAACTTTGTAACACAAGAGAGTGAGGCTGCACCAGGCCAATCATTGGTCATGACTCTCACTGTAAGTTTTTATTTACACATTAGACTTAGTAAGCTGTTACTTCATTCAATTTTGATCATCCCTCAGAGGTGTTTCTTTTTGTGATTACGTGAAATGGACTAGTCCTGCAAACAGAAGAAAACTATATTTCCCCCTTGTTAATGTTAAACCATTTTTATAGACTAAGACATTGCGCTTTAAATCACACTGGTTGAATGCTACCAGGTCTACCTCAGGGTCCAAATAAGTTCTCTGTGCCATTGTCTTAAAAATGATTTTAAAGAATTGCAATAACTGGTTTGATTGAAATAACTTTCAAATGTATTGCAACATGTATTTTACATAATTCTATAGGGTTGCACATGATTTACACAATTTTAAATGATTTCAGGCCAATGACAGGGAGGATTCAACATTAAACTATGCTATTACCTCATATACAACAGGAACTGATAAATTTGATATAGGAATTAACAAGTATGTCTAAGTTTTTATCTTCTGTATAGAATTCATGACATACCGATTTATATCAGATGTCTTTTTTTACCATAGATTTTGATCTATTAAAGGAAATTGTCTTTTTGGTGTTTTTTTTATTACATGTATATGAGGAAGGTTAAGCTTTTTGTAATGTTAATATAAGGTTGGTGTTATTATCCTGGTATCCTATACATGAGATAATGCCAGGAGGAAAAAATGGAAATTTTCTACAAAAATTTAACCTGTAAACTCATTCAATAAACATTTTGCATTCATTAAATAAGAAAAAAAATTATAGTATTCACAATTTGAATGAAATATAATTATTCTTAGAAAGAGTATACAAAGACAAGTAATGATAATATGTGAAAAATATCTTGCTTGTTATAAGATTTGAATACTGAATATTCAATGACTTTTGTAGTAATGTTACATTTCAAAAAATTGATGAAGTTTTATTAATGCCAATATATTTTCTAGCGGAGAAATTCGAATCACTGGACCAAACTCTCAACAGCCATTGGACTTTGAGACAGAGCCTGTAATAGTGTTTATTGTTACAGCTACAGACAGTTCAAACTTGGTAAGGATTCTTTTACTAGTTTCAACATTAGTGTTTTAATTATAGAATGATTATGAATATTAAATAACAGTTACTCTAAATACTTAAAGGGAATTGGAGATTGTATACAATATTAGTGGAGTTATTTTTATGCAAATGATCTGTGTGCAAATCATAGATTTTTAACAATTTTCACATTGCTATTGAATGCTGTAAAAAAGAGATATACCTGGCAAGCATAGGGAAGGTAGACATATATCCATGTTACTGGTCTCATGTCACAAATTATATATCATAATATTATAGATCATTAATTATGTAAATGTAATAGTTAGCAAACCAAAAAAATAAAAATGAATAAATCTACAATATTTCATTGTGTAAAAACAAGTCATTAAAGAAATGAATCTGAAAAAGAGTATATATTTATATGTCGCAGGTTGGTACAACAACAGTTACAGTGCAGGTAACAAACGTGAACGATAATCCTCCTCAATTCACATCTACAAGCTATGTGTTTAATGTGGATGAGGGGCAAAGTAATGCAGTTGTTAACACCATCTCTGTAAGTAATATGTGTTACAAGTAATATTGGACATTAATTTTCACCTCCACTTTTTGATTAACAATGTGATAATTCCCACAAGCCATACCCATTTGAAGTTAAAAAGTTCAAGGTCAAGGTTTACTATCCAACAGACCAACACTGAAAATATGGAGCTGATATCTCCTCTGAAAGCTTTTGTTATTTTTTCCAGTAATACATGCATAGAAGTTCACAATCTCACCATGTGAGAATATTTTGTCAATTTGTGTAAAAATACTTTTTTGTAGTGAAATAAAATACTATTGTTTGACAGAAAAGTACATACTGATATTGTTGCAATATAAAATGGACAATGTACTATAAAACTACGTTGACAAAAATGGCTTAAGATATTCACTCGGATTTGTATTTTTTCCTTAATGTAAATATTTTAGTGTAATTCATCAATTATCATGTCCATTTTGCATAATTTTGCTGCTTTCTTTTTCTTATAGTCTTCAATAAGACTAGAACCAACATATTGTACCTTTAAATGTACATGTACATATTATTTGTATTTTAAAGAGTGAAATGGTTGTAACAAAATATTTGGGCTTTATAACTTTGGTTTAATTGACAACACTTGCTTTATTATAGGCCAATGACCTTGATGGTGACACTGTAAGCTACCAGCTAATCGACACAACAGCGTATGTAGTCTTTTATGATAACAAATAAATATTTAAATTTAAAAATCTAAGAGTCTTATGTCTGTGATTCCGTTAACGAGTCATTCTTAAGGTAATTGTACATGTCTTACACAAATCTGGAAAATGTACCTTGATGATGACTTAGCTTCATATTTACTGGCAAATTTCCTCTTGCCATGATAAAGTAGATAAATAGAAATTTTTATTCTAAATAGAGATTAACAATGTTGTATATTATATTTATTTGCTTTGTAAATGAGCTTGATAGTCACAGTTTGACAGAACAAAAATTTTACAATGTTTGTACATGTGTTTTTTATGACTTTGTTTTCTTTTTTCCCTAAATAGATTTGGCATTAATGCAGGATCTGGTGAGATTCGAACTTCAGTAGCTCTGGACTATGAAACACAGTCACAGTATGTATTTTTGGCTCGAGTAATTGATAGTGGGAATCCCAGCTTATCAAGTACAGTGCAAGTGACAGTGAATGTTAATGACCTCAATGACAATATACCATTGTTTGTTGATCAGATTTACAATGGTGTAGTTGTTGAAGGACAAAGCGGTATCGCTGTTACAAGAAGTGGATCAACTGAGAATCTTCAGGTTGTGGTAAGAATCTATTCAAACTTATCTCTTTTCTTGTTTGACTTTTTTCATGGCTTGACATTGTAGGGGCATCCACTGCCTTTGATTCTAGTTAGTAGTGTCTAAAAACTTTAGGTTTAAATCCCTCAAGGGACTTTGGTTCCTTTCATGTGAAGAAGCTTTCCAGCTACCTTATGGAATGTTAATGGTTTCTACTTGGTTGCCCGCTCATGTCTGAAATAATTCATGGAAAGGTTACCTGCGGAAAGGTGTTACATTTCATTTAAAAAGTAATGTATAAGAGCAACATGAAAACAAGGTATGCTGGACAGTTGGACCTATCTGTGTTCTGTAAAAGTATTGTACTAATCTGTAGGCACGTTTACATTTATTTGTGAAAAAAAAAGGAATTTTGGGCTGGAAATTGCCATAGGAAACCAGTACTAATATGTATATTTAATTACAATATCTACTTGTTTTCTTTTCAATCTTTATACAGGCCACTGATGCTGATGCCACTGATCAGATCACATACAAGTTCCAAATTTTGCCGAATAATGACTTCAGCATTGACCCTATCACAGGTGTTATATCAACTGCTCGTGCTTTGGATTTTGAGACACAATCCACTTATTCTTTCTACGTTACAACAACACAAGGAGAATCAACAGCTCAGAATTCACCAAACAGTCAAGCTCGGGCACTTGTTAACATTAATGTCATAGTATGTATATTATAGATTCGATTTGTTAACTGACTGCATTTACTTCACATAATTTGATATTATTTGATATTATGTTACTGATGAAATTTACCACACTTAGTTAATGAAAAGCTTGCTATAAATGCATCAATAGCTTATATTAAGAATGTTTTTGCAACACATGCTTTTAAGTGATTTTTTCTCAAGAGACCAAATATTTCTTATGCACAGCTTTATGAATTTTAAATTGTAAAGCAATTTAATGTTGTTAAGGCAGTTAATGATTATGTTTTTCAGAATGTCAATGACAATCCTCCAATAATTGGTGCAACAAATCCCACTAGAGATTTACCAGAAGATTTCGTTGAATATTCCTCAAGTCAAAACATTCCAAGAGAAATCAATTTTGGTATTTTCGGAACAGATCGTGATGCTCCAGTAAGTTTGGTTAGAAATAATCTATGAAAATGTTACTTTGATAGTCTTTTTTAAAAGTAATATAATTAAGTCAATAACAAAAACAAAAGCGGAGTATGTAAATCAAATTTCTTTTTACAATGCTTTGAAAAAACTCAATGAAAACAACAATAAGAAAACCAGCTTATTGATCATTATTTTAAAATGCTTTATGTAATTTTGAATTTCAGGGTGCTGGAAATAATCAGATAGATTATTCTATTGCATCTGTGACCCCACTTTCAGCTCAGGGCAAGTTTATCATATACGAAAATTCTAACCTCGTCACTGTTATTGGCACTTTGACTGACGATTTTGCTGGACCTATTACGGTAAAACTTATATTTCCTTGTGATAATTTAATTTGATATAAACATTTTTTCTAAATTTCTTAAAATGATTATTTATAAATATATATTTTCATTCATTAATGTTATTGGCAAATTCTGAATCCTCTAATATCACTTTTAAACAGAGATTAATTTTTGTTAAGTATGATAATCTTTTATATTTAATATGTATATATTTTATACATTTATTTTTTAGCTTACTATCAGAGGTACAGATAAAGGAACACCTCCTCGACCAGATAATGATGACCTTAAAGTCACAATCAATGTGATACGTAACTCAGCACCACAAACCAACCCTGCCATCAGTAGTACTGAAAACATTAATGATAATATAGGAACTAATACTGTTGTGTCATCCTTCACACTTATTGACAATGATCTGGTTTGTATTAACTATTTGTATCTTATCTCTGAGAAGACTAGTTCCTTTTTTAGTATACATTTAATGAAAATAGTTCCATTTTTAGTGTACATTTAATGAAAATAGTTCCATTTTTAGTACACATTTAATGAAAATACATATTTTTATTGTATAAACAGATTTTGATAATGAAACTGGTTCAAAATGTTGAAACAACTTAATAGGCAATTTATTGCAAGTTAATCTCTTAACCATTTGAAAAATTTCTGTCAATGACCAGACAACAATTTTATAAGATTTGTAAATAAATACAAGATATATCCTGAAGAAAAATTTGTATATGTATATTACTGGTCCACACCTGGTATAGTGCAAAATTATTATTCTTCACGGGACACTTATTTTTGTGGTTTCCGTGGATACCTCCTCTCACAAATTTAAGATCCAACAAAATTTCATTTTGTCTGCTGAAGGATTGTTTTGCATCACACATTATTTATATTTTACCTTTTGTTAAAATAGGCAGTCAAGGAATTTCATAACCCATGAAAATGTTCTTTGTGACAAAACTATGTAACTTCATGCCCACGAAATTAAGTGAATTCACAGTAGTAATAACTGAATATTTTTGCAGGAGGTTAGATTTCAAGAGCTGTCAGTGGAATTCATTGGTGAGGCAGACTCCAAGAGGTTTTTCAGTTTTAACAGACGTTTTAATGATGACAGTATTATTGATATTTCCACTACCAATGAACCTTTGACAGCAGATGATGCCCTCCAGTACATTGTAAGTTTTTTCCCATCATTGTTACTTGTAATATTCTATCAAACTAAAGCTATTTACTGGTCTAGTTAAATACAAGATTTTATTACACACCATTTGTTTTCAAGTTAGCACAATGTGTTACATAATTTTTTATTTATTCATCTTCATATTTTATTTGTATAATATACATGTCATATTTATAAAACATTGTTCATCCACATTTTTTTTGCAAACTAATTATATTCATACAAAGTCATTTTTAAACAAAAGCAGGACAGATACATGTCTGGAGAAATTGGCAATTTTATAGAAAATATAAAAATTTTAGAATAGAATTTATTTGGGGCTGGTGGCAAACCCATTATGTTGGTTTTGTTGTGACACGGTTCATATAAATTAAGAAAATATTGTCACAAATTGAAATAGAAACATTGATTTATTTTTTATATCTTCCTGCAGCTATTGTTTAGAGTCACAGATGGAGCTTATGGTGATGCCAAAAAATCAACAGATTATACACTAACATTGAATGTAGATAGGAACAGAAATAGTCCAGAATGGCTCTCTACATTTACTGCACCTATTAGAATCCCTGAAAGCCTGGATCTTAGTAATCCAGTAGCTTTCATCAATATCAGGGATCTAGATCTCAGTGTAAGTTGGGTTTTGCTTATTTCTGTCATATGATGATTAAATTTTGTACTTTATAATATTGTCTAAATGTTAGTACTGTATTGCATAGATATGATTTAATGTATATTGGCTGAAAGTTTGGCAATAAAAATGGCCTTTTGTTTTGAAAAGATTGATTGTCACTCAGATTTGTTTCTGATTCAATATTATTGATTTTTAAAATATTTTAAATCTATAAACAAGTACCTGTTTCTCATGTGGATTATATTTAAATATTGTTTATGAAAATAAAAATCATTAGAAGGTAAAATATGAATATATACTAATAGTAAATATAATTCTGTGCAAATATATTGTAAATAAGAGTGCCATTGGTCACATATATGATACAACAAAATACTGTAATGGTTTGATAATTATTTCATGTTTATAGGAACCCCATAATTTGATGGACTGCAGAATTATCCAGGATCAAACTGCTATAGAATATTTCCGAACAGAAACTGACAACAATCTTGATAGATGCAACATCTACATGAAGAGATCACCAGCTCGTGACAGAACTTTGAACACATTCAATGTAAGTTATATCAAATTAATAAATCTTGGTAACGATGTACATTTGTATGTAAAACATCCAGTCAGATTTATTTCAAATACATGTGGGCAATATGGCTATGAGTACACAGTGATTATGTGCTGGTTATAATTTAAGCGATATTTTCCTTTTATGATACAAACACATGACCATAAATAATAATGACTGACTTATGATAGAGTGAAAGCAAAAAAATAAAAGCATTAAACTTAAAAATTGTAAAATCATCTTTATTATTATTGTTATAACAAGAAATATTATATTGTTTCTAGGTGGAATTGAGTTTGACAGATAGAGGTACACCAACACCGAGATCGGCTTCACCTCTAAATCTTGTTTTCGAAATCACCCGAAATGATGAAGCTCCGATATTCTTTGATCTGGTTTCTGGACTGTTTTTAGCAACTATTAATGAAAATAGTGCTATCGGAAGCGAAGTAAAGACTGTTTCAGCCTCAGACTCTGATCCAGATGTAAGTTATTACTTTTTTTATATTAGAAATACTAAGTACATCCATGATTTACTATTGTGCTTCATATCTTTGATTTTGTTAGTCACTTGATCCTTCCTATTGTGAATTCAAATAGATAATTGCACTGTGAATTTATTTTATATAAATGCAGTTATTCCAGTATTTAATAGAAGATTATTGATTGATTTTACTTAATGGTCTATTTTAGTTGATATAATACACATAGATGTATCTCACAAGTTAAACTACTTTTTTTCAAATGATTTATATCGTTAAAGCTATCGTTTTTAACCTACTACATTCCTTTTTTTTAATCACAAGTATCATTATATATAAGCCATTATATAAAAGCTTAAATTTTACCAACTTAAAAATATATTATGAAAGTATTAAAAGGCCAATTTATTCCATTTAATTATTATACACAAGTTCATCACTTGTAGATACTGAACAGGTACTATTTGTTCAAATAGAAGAGAAAGTAACTATCATGGTGTTATGTTTGATGTTGATCATATACCACCTATTTAAATGTTTAATTTTATACAAAAATGGTGTTTTCTTTACTGACCTACCAGAATCATTATAGATTTCTTTTATATATACTAGTACATTGTATTATTCATTTTCTTCTTTTGCAGACTGAGAACAACCAAATTTCATACAGGATTGTTGCAGGTGCAGATCAGTACTTTTCGATTGAATACTTATTTGATAATGGAAGACATCTAGGCGTGGTGAGAGTAAAGGGGGATCTGAGACAAGACCCTGCCACCTTATACCAAGTATGTTTCATTTACTTCAAACAAATTTCTACTAATTTTTAGCTACTAATTTTTAGCTAACAACAAAAAAAACAACAACAAAAAAAAAAAGCAGTAAAAATTTAATCTGCCTTGCTTATATTTGTGTGACTAATACCTTATATTATTTATTTTATTACATTTACATGAACATAAAAAGTTATGTAGAAAGATTGAGGAGTTTTTTCAATATTGCTGAAAAAATTATTGACAGACCTTTGTCTTATTTTACTCATAATTGAAAGATGGAAATAAAAGACAATAGAGAAACTAGTTATGTAAGGCTGGTTGATGACTATATAAGATGAAGAAGTGCACCACAATTTCTTGAGTTTTTTTGTGACTTTTATTTGTATAAAATCTAAAATGATTACATTAGCTTAAGTGGGTGAAAGTGGGTTGTTTTTTTTAGATTATGAAGAAGTAACGTTTTATCAATTTATATTATTCTATTATTTTGTGTCTCAGGTAATAATAGAAGCCTCTGACAATGGACTATTCAGAAGAAGTGCAACAGCAACATTGTTGGTGACAGTGAGAAGAAATTTCCAAACTCCTGCATTTACATCTGGATCTTTGAATATAGATGTTATAATTGCAGAGGATAAGGAGCTAGGTGTTGGTATTGCAGAGCTATCTGGCACTGACGGTGACTTACATTCACCAAACAATGTGACTAACTTCAGATTTTCTCCAGCATCTGTTGGACAAGATTATTTCCAGGTCAATCCTGAAACTGGTATCATATCTGTACTGAAAGATTTGAAGGCAGACCCTCAAAGAAGAACTGTTTTTACGGTACTTTTCTTTTTTGAATTTAACTGAATTTAAAATATCTCAGTATTTTTTTTTTTTAATTTTTATGTACATGTATTGAGTTTATTAAGCTATTGGGTTGTGTTTTATAGTACCTTTGATATGAAGATCTATTTGTGTAATTTAGTATGAAACTAGTTCTGTTTGAGTTTTTAATTATTAAGTATACATATATAATATACATGTATATAATTATATATATCTAGAGTTTTATTATGATGGAAAAAAAGATTTTTGGAATAAACAATAGTTTTCTGATGAATTGAAATAGTTAAATAATATCAACATGTAATTTTTTATTATTTTTGTTTTGTTTTGCTCTGACAGCTTCAGTTTCAAATATACGATCTCGGAGAACCAGAACTATCAAACACTCAGACAGCCACTGTTACTGTTAGAGTAGTGAGGAATAATGCACCAGGATTTACCGAACCTCAGAAGTCTGCAGTAGTTGATGAAGATGATCCAGTGCCAACAAATCTGGGATCATTCACTTACTTTGACTCTGACACGGTACAAGCATTTGTGACACTTTTTAGTAGTTATTATTCTGAATGTTAACTTAAAATTCTAAACATTACATTGTCCCTTGTCAATGTTCTGCTTATTGCGAATTTTTAGATGTATTAAAATATTATTAAGTTCGCAAAAAATATATATGTATCTCCTAATAATAGTATTGAAATATCAATACTCATGGCATAAATAATCAGTAAAAATTTCATGATTTTTATAGTTGAGCATGAGAAATATCTGTAAACAATGATTATAATTTCTATAGATTTTTATGCTTTTTTCTTAAGTAATTTTTTTTTTCTTTCATGTTATATATTGAAATGTGTTTGTAAAAACACTATTTGTTAATTTTTTCTGCACATTCAGGTATTAATTAATTATAAAAATGTTATTTATTTCAACTGTTTGCCATTTTAGACAAATGGACTAAATGGAAAGTTCTCTACTCTAAGTTTTGACATTGTGTATCCAAATGGTGCAGACAACTTCTTTAGCCTTGTGAATGAGCCAAACTCCAATACACTGACAGTACAGACAAATCGCCTGTTGCAGGAAATTAACAACCCAAATAGAGTGAATGAATGGGATGTAAGTATAAACTGACAAATATAGTATAAACTGACAAATGTAGTAAATGAATGGGATGTATTTTAGTATAAACTGACAAATGTAGTGAATGAATGGGATGTATTTTAGTATAAACTGACAAATATAGTAAAAACTGACAAATATAGTCTAAATAAATAGGATGTATTTTAGTATAAACTGACAAATATAGTTTATGAATAGGATGTATTTTAGTATAAACTGACAAATATAGTAAATGAATAGGATGATGTATTTTAGTATAAACTGACAAATATAGTAAATGAATAGGATGATGTATTTTAGTATAAAATGACAAATATAGTAAATGAATAGGATGTTGTATTTAAGTATAAAATGACAAACGTAGTAAAGGAATAAGATGTATTTTAGTATTAAACGACACATTAATTTTGCATTTTAACCCTTAACCTGCCTGAACTGAAAGCAAACAGTCTTTGCCACCAGCATATAGAGCCATATCACAGTATGGATAAATTCAATTCAATTCATAAAGAAACTTATCAAATCAATATGCTCATACATGTCTGTAAAGAAACTTTAAATGATATATCAATAGAATGATATTTAAATACCTAGGATATGATATTTTTAATTTAAACAATGCTTATAATTGTTCAGTGACATACTACAAAGGTTAAGTTATAATCACAAATAAAAAAAAATGATGAGAAATCATTTCCTAGAAATGGTGTTTTTACATTTAGTTAGTAAATAGATCATATGAATATTTTAGAGAAATGTATTTGTGAGATCCAGTCTTTAAAAATAAAAAAGCTTATTATTGCAGATAGTCATTTATAAAAAAAATTAAAAGATGTAATTTAGAGATTATCTTTAGGATAGATCTACTGGTCGGAGACCATCAACTGGACACTTTTGGAGCATTTTTCCGTACAGATTTCTTGATTTTTAACATAGAGACCAAACAATTTGACACGGTTCAGCTAGGTTCTTCTCCTAACTAACAAACTAGTTTGTTTATATCTGATTGTATTGACACTTATATCTGAGGCTCGACAAGGAGGGTATCAAAATTACCTAAATTGTCTACACTACAGTACCATGTGTCCGGACAGATATGTACATGATGTGATTTAATTCAGATAAAAGCTTTGGTGTTTTGATTTTTTATTTGTAACATGATATACAATATGTCAGCCACAAATGCTGAAGTTTTGGATATTCTATTATTCACTCTGCAAATGATTATAGCTGATATATGACGTCAGGCATTGCTTTCTTGACCCCCGAATTCAACGTCAACATTCTTGAAATAGACATTAAAATATTACCATTTACGGAGGTTGAAATAAATTTATTTACTTAATTTAAAAAATAAAAAACATGAACTTATTGTTGATAAAAAAGTGACTGACAACCACTGAACAAAGAAAATACTAAAATAAGCATTTTCGGGGCCGTCCGGGTTTGGTGGTTGTCCGGTTTTGGTGGTCCCCAACCAGTAGTTGTTAATGTCAGGAAAGAAATGATTTAACCTAACTTAATTGCTTTATATTTCAGCTTGTATTACAAGTGAAAGATGATGGTGGTCTAACAGGGACAACAAGGCTTACTGTGAGGATAAACAGAAACTTGTACCAACCTGTAATGGCAGAATCATCCATGTCAGTCACAATTAAAGAAGACCTAGCTGGTGGAGAAACATTTGGTGATCCAGTTACGGCAACAGATTCAGACACTTCAGTATGTGTGTTATACAGCTTTGTATTTATTCCTGTTATTGAGATTGCAATCCAAATTACATAATACTTTGTGCATATTTTGTATGTTATTTTAATGCTTTTTTGATTTTCAAACCTTTTTTTATTTTCAGTCTCCATACAATGTACCAGAATATTATATTGCTGGAGGGTCGCAAGGAGCTACAAATTTCTTTGATATAGACAAAGCTACTGGAAGGCTTTTTGTTAAACGAAAACTTTACACTTCTGGTAAACCAACCTCTGACTCTACATACACTGTAAGTAAATGTGTGAATTACCCAAAATAACTTTAATCTTGCTGAATGTACATATATTTGTAAAAAAAATATTTTTTTTATATATAGACACATCTTTATGATTAGGGTTTGCAGCACTGTTACTAAATATGACAGATTCACTTTATGATGTAAAGCCAGACTCATCATCTCTGTTGGTAGTTTAGGAAGTTTAAATAAGCGAACAAATAACTATTTTTTTATTTTTGGCATTTAGGATTATCAAGTGAATTTTTGAAGGAATTCAGTATCGTCAAATATTAAATATAAGCCACCAACCTTTTAAAGTCTTTTCATAAAAGCTGACAGTGCCCTGTCTTTGTCAAATGAAAAAGTACTATTGCTTTCAGCATTCAGAGAATTTATTACCTTTGATCTGTTGTCGTAACAGTTTAATTGTATATTGAAACAATAAGATTACTATGAGAAAGAAACATCAGTGAAACAATTGATTGTTAGGCTTTTACTCTTAATCCTTGTATATTGTATTACTTTTAAGAATTACACTTAAACAATATGACTTAATTTTTTGTTTTAGCTAAACATTGGAGCAAGAGATAGTCAGGATCTTCAGTTGACTTCTGTGACCAACACTCAGTATACTATTAATGTATTGCGAAATCTCGAGGACCCTGTGATAGCCAATGCTGCTACTGAGAGAATTTCTATTTCAAAAAGTGAACAACCTGGAATTATTATGACAGTCACTGCAACCGATGCTGATGAGACAAGAAGGGTACGATAAAAACTAAAAACCATATGAGCCGCGTCACGACAAAACCAACATAATGGGTTTGCTACCAGCATGGATCCAGACCAGCCTGTGCATCCTGCGTTCGCTCACAAATCCTACAAGTAGAGAAACTGATAGCGAACAGCATGGATCCTGATCAGACTGCGCAGATGCGCAGGCTGGTCTGGATCCATGCTGGTCGCAAACCCATTATGTTGGTTTTTGTCATGACACGGCTCATATATTCTATGTTCAATTTACATAAAAAAAACAACAACAACAAAAATCATGAATTAAGTTCATTTTGTAGAGTTAAGTTAAATTGAGTTTATTGTAATGAATTCAATTATTTCTCAAGATGATTTTTCAAAGATTGTATTTAAATTATTATTTTTTATAAATGTTTTTTTTTTTTTTTTAATAAAAGTACACATGTTATTTGGAACAATAAATTCAAACGTGTACCTAGAAAATCTGGTCAGATATCATCTTAAACAATTTTATGTTATTATCCCTTTTCATAAAAGGAAATAATTTTATTTATAGTAGAAAAGTTGGAATTGTCTTTATCTGAAGATATATTAAAGATTTTGTTGTTTTAAATTGTTGTTCAATAGTTTGTATAAAGTAAATAATTCAACATCATTTACCAATAATGTCAAATAAAAATGTGATGTTTATCAATCAGTAGAAGCTAAAATAACTTTCTCATTATCACTTAATTTCATTTCAAAGTTTTGAATTCAAAGCTAGATCTTTGGTTAAATGGAACTTTTTTATGGTGACTATTATTATTAAATTTAACAAAGTTAATTGATGAAAATGAATGTGAAAAAAGTTAGACAAAAATATAATCTCTTTGTTATCATATAATATGATTGATTGTGTTTTGTTTTATATTTTCATAGTTCCCATTCAATGATATAACATTCAGTATGCCATACTATGAGGGAAATATGTTCATCATCAATACAGTGAATGGACCTGTTGCAGGAACTAAACAAGGCACAGTTCAGCTTGTAGGAAATCTTAATACAGGCCTATCTGAATACTTTGTAAGTACTTCACCTATTTGTTCTTCACAAAGATGCAAAGTGTTTACGCGAGCATGAAATTCTGTTAGTTTACACACATTGGGTGTTCTCTCAATGTATCAGTGTATAAACTAAAAGGTAGATATTCTGTTAGTTTACACACATTGGGTTTTCTCTCAATGTATGTGACCGCCTCCGTGGTGCCTCCGTGGTCGAGGGGTTAGAGTCGATGACTTCTAATCCAGTTACCTCTCTGGCGTGGGTTCGATCCCCGGGAGATGCTTTGGTAGTTTAGCGCGGAGGAAGGTAGTCTAGTACTGGTAACTCTCCAGGAACGATGGTTAGGAAACTACCCGCCTATATGACTGAAATACTGTTGGGAAAAGGCGTAAAAAGATACAAACAAACAAACAAAGCCTCCGTGGTTGAGGGGTTAGAGTCGATGACTTCTAATCCAGTTACCTCTCTGGCGTGGGTTTGATCCTTTGGTAGTTTAGCATAGAGGAAGGTAGTCTAGTACTGGTGTAACTCTCCAGGAACGATGGTTAGGAAACTACACGCCTATATGACTGAAATACTGTTGGGAAAAGGCGTAAAATGAAAAAAACAAACAAACAAAGTTAATGTATCTATCAGTGTATTAACTTAAAGTTAACATATATATATATAAATAAAATGTTTATTTTAGTTGGACATTTATGCATGTGATGGCGGTCCAGTTCCACGATGTGATGTTAAATATTTGACAGTATCTGTAGATAGCAACTTGTCACCACCAGTCATCACCAGACCTGATGCTACAAATAATTACAGAGACACTGTTGTTATACTAGAAGATATTTCATCTACTAACACTGTCTATGACATTGATGCTACAGATGGGGACACAACTGTAAGATTTGTTAACTTTTCCCCATATAACTTACCTGCACTGCTTCATAAACCATAATGAAACTTTAATCTATCCTTTATTTTCTACAAACTAATGTCTAAATATTATTCTTAAACTGGCATTATAGTATATTATAAACAGTTAGTTTACAAATAAAAATCAAATCAGTGTGCATTGCTTCATAAGTTTTCAATATAGTTTTTCTATTTCACATTAATGATTAATTTCTTTCATAATTTTTGAAATTTCTGTAAATGTTCTTTAGAGATTATCAGTTTAAGGTTTAAATGAAAAAAGGTGTTGGAGGTTTTTCATAATTTCTAACAATTGTGATTTTCAATAATCACTATTATGGTAGACAGTGTTTAGAAATACATACGGCTTATTCAGCTCAATGAAAAAAAAACCAAAAGACATGTTAATTAAAGAGATTAAATATGACCAAAGTGTCAGATATGTAGATTTCTAAAGATGTTTTTCTAGTTATATGTACTATGTTCACTTCTAATTTTTATGTAAATATTTTTTTCAGAGTCCATTTGGTGATGTTACATTTGAAATAGTTGATCCTACAAATACTGAGGCTAAGGAGCAGTTCATTGTCAATAATGATGGTGTAATCAATATCAGAAAATCTTTAATTGGAGTTGCCCAGGATAACTTTGAGGTATGTAATTGCTTTAAAGTATGTCTTAGTGCTCTTAAATTTGACAGATCAAATTATACATTTGTATATATTTAAAATACTGTTCTTTACATACCAGTGGTGAAACTAAATTTCATATTACAATTATCTCAATACTTAGTATTTTTTTTATATCAAATTCATCAATTTGTTAACATTATTTACAGTTACATGTACAAGCAGTGGATGGAGGTGGAAGGAGGTCTCAGGTTACTGCTATAATCACAGTAATCGTTCGTAGAAATGAGTTCCCACCAATTTTTGTGAGCTCTGCCACTAACCAGTATCCATATGCTGTAACAATTGAGTATACAAGACAGGCAGGTTCAACAGTGGTAGATGTTGATGCTGTGGACAACAGGGACACTTTCAACATAGTCAAATATAGACTGAATTCAGCATATAGCCAGTACTTTGGTATTAACATCGATACTGGTGTTATCATATTGACTGGAGATCTGAGTGACACTGCTGTTTCCTCGGTTACACAGTTTAGTGTAAGAAATAATTTGCTAACTTATCTAAATCATCTTATTTAATACAGTAAAATATCATAGTTATTGTAATGCAAAAATTCATTGATAACTATTCCAGAGAAATTTAACTATTTAAAAAGCTTCTGACTTTCTGACTTATTAAGTTTAACCTTTGTTATAGAGTAATAATCCTTGTTTTAGAATAGATATACAAAAAATGTAATACGTTTGTAAGTATCAACAACACCTGAATACAGTAAATTTAATAGGTATACATAATTGATTACATTTCAGCTTCTAGTGACTGCTTTTGATAACGGTACACCAAGTCTGGAGAACATAACAACAGTTATAGTGAATGTGAACCGCAATCAGAATTCACCAAGGTTTGCCATTACCAGCTCTATAAAAAGATTATCGGAAGAGACTGCCCTTGGCACTCTAGTGGAAACAGTCAGTGCTGCAGATGATGACCTTACAGTTAGTATTTTGTTTCTTCAATTCATTTATAATGTAAGCTACCATAAAAGTTTATATCCTAACTTTGTATGTTAGTATTTGATTTATAAAAGTAAATGCTTGAATTTTATAAGAAAATGTGAAGATTTTAGATATTTATTGGAGAAAAGAAAGAATTCCAATTGCAACAAGAAATCTCTAAACAAATATGTGATTACTTCTTTTTCAGTCACCTTACAAGGATGTGTACTACACACTGGTTGGTAGTACAAAAGCCCAGCAGTTCTTTTCAGTAGACCGTAATAATGGGCAAATTACTGTAAAAGCTAATTTGCAAGGAGATGTTGATCGTCAAGCTAGTTATGAGGTAATATTTCACTTATTTAAATGATGTACTCTTTTAGTTTGAAAGTTTAGTTTCATTTATTCAAAGTTCAGCAATTACCAGTTGGAAATTCAATCTTAGGTTTAAGCTAATTTTTTTCAATGTGTTAGGTCTTAAGTATATTGCAGCGATATTTTGACTTTTTTAAAGTGTATTTAGTGATAAGGCATACAAAGCAAGTTTAACAGTATCTTAAGTGCAGTTGTATGAAACAGAATGTATTTGCTAAGAAAGAAATGAGAAACTCAAACAGGATAGTTTTGGTAAAGAAAAATGAGAAATAGGTCAAACGTATTGAAATTAGGTCCTTGGAATGTAATTGGAATGAAATGAAGTTCTTATCATAAAGTAAAATGATACAATTAATGTGTTGTCTTGTCTTAAATATTGTAACTATTCTATATTATGTGTAAGCATGCTTGAAGGCTGCACAGTACGTTATCTGTATCATTTCAGTTGAGAGTGACAGCTGTAGATGGAGATGGTAGGCAATCTATCAACACAGCAACAGTCCGAGTCAATGTTTACAGAAACAATAATAATCCTTTCTTTACTGGTACTACAAGACTGATTAATATAAATGAAGACCTAGGAACTGGAACTAGTGTATTCCAGTTTTTCTACAGTGATGTAGATCCGGATGTAAGATTTTTATCCTTATTTACACTTAGATATAAAAAAATAATGAAACACTTCTGGGCGCTGCAGTATCTGAATGGTAAGAGTGTGGAAAAAATTGAAGCCCACAAAAGCTCTATTTTGAATTAATCTTGCATCTTTACTGATGAATGTAGAATATTGGGACGGTTTGTATAGTTAAGTCTAAAACCTGATTATACAATTACTCTGTAAAAAATATATATAATTTTCCTGTAATAAGATATAAAATTTTCTCAAAAAGAAAATTGATAAAAAAGAGAGCTAAAATTATATTACACAGCCTTAAAGAGAAAGCTTTTGTAGCTTAGACAGTAGTGGTACCGTAAAGTATTCTGAGGGTTCTGGCTTGAAGTTCCATCAGACTCCACTTACTTCTCACCCTTTTATATGTTTTATGAGAAAATTAGTGATAGTAACATATCTACATGTATATGTAAGATTTGTTAAAAAAAATTTCGTTTGTATGTAGAAATTGTATGTATTTCTAGCCATATTTTGTGTTATAAAATATTATTTCTCCCTTTTCAGAGGCCTTTTGGAGCTGAAGATCTTACAATTGAGCCAGTGGGTGATTTTGGTGCAACCAATTACTTTAACTTGGACCGAACTACAGGTGTTCTTTCTGTTGCCCAAAACATTGCACAACAAGAATCTGATGTTTTCTATGTAAGTTTTTTATCAGAATTAGTTACCCATCACCTCACAGATGTTTTTGTTCTAGATCTGTGTGCGACTGTAGATTTCACAGAATTTCAAAAAACTATAATTTAACAACCAACTGCTAAGTGTCTGATCACAGTGAACGGCATTTATTTCATCCCAATCCTCATGCTGCAACAAAAATGTACCTGGTGATGTACCAGGTGATAGTTTATTACTGAGAAAGCAAATATTCTTGTCACATTACATAGCCTGAAACAATTAAATGATAAAATCATTCTGCTCATTATGTTGTCAATTTTTATCTTTGTTTTTTTTATCTATTATAACTTTGTTCTATCATTTATAATACAATTATGTTGATAGAAACATCAGTGTAGCTTTTATTATTTTTATCATTACAGTACCGTGTGAAAGTAGCCGATGGTGGCAATCCACAAAGAACATCAACCACAGTACTTACCATAAATGTTAACCAGAACTTAAATACTCCTGAATTTGATACAACTGGTGGTCCTTGTTCCAGAGAATTTTCAGAAGACACAGCTCCTGGCTCATTTATAGCTTCAGCCACTGCAACAGATTCTGATCCTAAGGTATTGTGAAAAGTTGAACTAATATTCATCCACAAACCATATATGAGGGTTTGCTAAAATTTATGTCCAAAAATGTTTATTACAGGACTTAATGTGAAATTAGGTATTTCTACTTAAATGTGTAAAAAAGGAACAATGTACATTGTTGTTTTGAATATATTAAAAATTGATATCCTAAGGATTCTACAAATGGAACTTCGCCACTTTTTATATCATCTACATGCTATACATAATTTTTGGAATGACACATTATAATAGGCCTACAAGTTAACCTTCTATCAACTTGCTTTTGATAATTTGTGTCTTCACCCAGACTGGAAACAGTGGAGAGTCTACATAATCTTGTTTACTATAAAAGAAAATATATAATTAATCTGTTTAGTATTGAAGTTCTTCAAAATAGTAGAAAATACAAATGATCTTTATTTTGGATTCCTGATTGTATAAATTTCTTATTTTAGGCAAGATACAACACACCAACATACACGTTAGAATCATTGAATGATGATGATCACACATATTTCTCTATCAATGAAGTCACAAATAATGGAAGAATTATAGGACAAATAACCCTGGCTAAAGATTTGAAGGATGATCTATTAGATCGGTCATCATATACGGTATGATTTTATGTTTTAGTTTAGATCCGCTATTAGTAATAAGTGTTCAGAATTTATAATTTTTTTATTATAATTATTAATTATTGATGTTGAAACATTCATTTTTATAAAATACACATTGAGAATTCTTGATGAATCGTTTCTTTCATAAGATCAATATTTACATCATCATCAAAGAGTTACGATTTGACACTCTGAACTGACATAATTGTTTATAAATTGATGAAAATATTATTTATTACAGATCCAAGTTTTTGCTAGCGATGGTGAAAGGACTTCACAGCCACTGACATGCACATTCACAGTTTATAGGAACAATAATTCACCCAGGATAACAAATACCAACTTTGAAACCACCATTAATGAGAACCACACTTTGTTTACTGACACTGTGTTTGACCTTAATGCAGAGGACATTGATGATAGGGTAATTTATACATACATTGTTTTTAACTATTTCCTTTGTGATTTTTTTTTCAAATGTACTTGTCCAATTTTTTAAAGTTGGTAGGCCAAGAGCAGAAAGACAGGTAACAAAGACGTGTAGCCAGGCTTTGGTCTATACTGTTTGCAAAGGTGGTTTAGTTTTGGTCAGAGTTTTCAAAGAGTTACAGTGTGTGAACAATTGATATTCAGAAACAAACTTATAACCCAGTACTTTGGATTTATTCATCTTAAGATATTGCTATTTTTTCCTCTTTTAAAGATTCCTATTCTGTTTATACTCATACAGAATGATATAAAGTATGTTACATATATTCTATTTCAGGCTCCATACAACTCGCTATCATACAGAATTACGTATGATGCTGATGCACAGCGTATATTCAATATAAATAATCTCGGCAATATAACTGTACAACAAAGTCTTCTAGTGGAACCACTCAACCAGTATAAAGTAAATATTTCAATACTTTAAAACAAATATGAAACAAAACTTCTGATTTCTAAAACACTTTGAACGAAATACTTTTTCATGACAATAATACAATTGTCAAGTCATGGAATGTGAGATTCGAACATAATATGTATAAAAGGTTTAAAACATAGCTATTCTAACAATAGCTGTTGATCACGATATACATTATTAAGTATATTTCTTTCTAACGCATAGGCCTACTTTAATAACTTATTGATTTTCTTTTAATCTATTTTTTCAAAAGTTACATATAGACCACATATAAATGTATATAATTTAATCATAGATTATACAGAATTTGGTTTTCATTAATGTTTTCACAAAAGTTTTCATTTTCTCGACTTATCTTTTTGAAATGTTTTTCATTAAATGAAATATAACTATTTTTTTTTAACTTCAGCTGTATATTGAAGTGGCTGATGGGGCAGATGTGCCAAGAGTAGCAAGTGCTACTGTGACAGTAAACATTCGACGGAACTTCTATGAACCACAACTTGGTGTTAATGAAAATTCCAATATTAATGTAGAAATTTCTGAAGTTTCATCAGAAGGATATCTTGTAGTTGACTTGAATGCTCGAGATTTGGATAGAATTGTAAGTTAATATTGTAAAAATGAAATTTTGATGTTATGAAATTGTACAGTATGCTGATAGGAAAGTCAGTTGATCTGCTTTTATACCTGCAACATTCGGATATAATAAATGTAGTGGATTTTTTTTTTGGTCACTGTGGGACTTTAATATTGTTGGTGTGTAATAAACACAGCAAGAAAACCCCAACAAAACTTCCATTCATTTAAAGAAATGATTATCATAATTTTTGGCATAATTTGGATGCTTTGCTTTTTTCACTTTCACTTGTAATATTGATTTTAGGCAATATCTTGTAATTTCTTTGAATGAATAGCGAGAAATTTAGATACAACTTTAATCGTGAAAGAGCAAACAGAAATGATGACTAATTAATGTAACATATATATGTAAAAACAGGCTGAATTTCTTTTTGAACATTATTTTACAGTTGTTTATATAATTTAAAGATATTGCAGTACATCATAATGTATATCATAATTTTTGAAGATTTGACTTTTTCAGATGACATAAATGTTAATGTTTAATCTTGATATTTATTGCTTTACAATATTACAGCCACCCTACAATGAAGTGAGATATGTTCTTACAAGTGTTACAAGTACAACTCCAACTCAAAACATTGCAATGCCATTTATACTGGACAATGACAATGGACAGATTACTGTCAAGGGATCACTCCTGAATCCACCAAGTCTTAATGACTATACTGTAAGTGAATAAATGAAATAATTATCTTTCGTAAATGTACAGAATGCATACACAGTATTAGTGAGATTCATAGCTGAATTTGTACACTAAGTGAATAACAAACATACAAATCATAATTTTTATTAGTACATGTTTTTTTTTAGGCATAAAACTATTGATATCTTATGTTCATAACATTTCAGCTTACAATTGGAACTCAAGATGGTGCCCCCAATCCAAGAACCGGTGTAACATACACTGTTACAATTACTATATATAGAAATACATTCAGACCTGAAATTCTTAATGTAGATGACACTGCCTCCATTGACTCTTCTTTAAGTGCAGGACAATTTGTTTATGATTTTGAAGCACGTGACAATGACACAAGGGTGAGTAGTTTTCTACCAGTTGTTCAGACATTTACTTATGTTTTCAGTGTTTAATAAAAGCTTAAATTTGTTTGTATTTCATCCATTGGGAGGTCATTTCTGTACTGACAATGATACCTTGATAATTAGTATATTAATTGATACCAAATAAACTTTAAAGGAAAAAATAAAATTAATTTTGAATATCTTATTACATGAAATTCTTGAAATGAAATTTGTCTTCTATATACTTGAAACTGTCTGCTGTTCAATAAAAAAATATTGTAGTTAAACGCAAACATAATATTGGACTGCATAGAGATTCAAGCTGGTATGGCAGTTAACTGTAGGAAAGGTTTTGTTATTTCAGATAACTGATCATCAAATTTAGAAATAAATAATAAACAGTTGCACCAAATTTAATGTTGTATGGAATCATCATAACTACCTTGTATATTTTGCAGAATCAATTCAACCAATTTGGATTTTACCTTAGTAGTGTTTACCCAGTATCTAGTGTATTCAGTGTGGATAGGGAAACTGGTGTTGTAAGCTTGAACAGAGATATCAACACTGATCCTCATGAACAATACTTAGTAAGTTAACATGTTTTCTTAACTTGTGGATGTTTATGAGAGAGAGATTGTTAGCAGTAACCGTAGAAATTTATGCTTTAACAGCTTTAATTGCTATAGAAGAAAAGCATGACTAGATTAACAAAAGGTAATAGATATACATGAATTAAAATGAAAAATAAAAAAGTAACCTTTTATCTTGGTGATCATAGAGTTATCTAAAACGGTGATAAATGGATCCAATAAGCAAAATAATGATTTTTAATATCGCAAAAGGAAATTGAAAACAAATAATTTTTGTTTACAGATTCAGGTTGAAGTACGTGATTCTGGAAATACGTATATTGTTGGGCGTCCATATCTGTCAGCATTTAAAACTATAAGTGTTACTGTGAATCGCAATGCTGGTGCACCTACATTTGTTCCTGACACCTATAACCCAACAGAAATTACAGAACATTTTCCAACGTCAGTTGATATCCAGAGAATTACACTGACCGACCCTGATGGTGATGCAGTCGAGATGATGGTGGACTACACAAAAAATAAAGCTGATTACTTTAGAGTTAATGGTGACATGCTTCAGCTGATAAAGCCACTATATGAAGATCCAGATAAACCCACACTGTACACAGTTATTATAAATGGAAATGACATGAGAGATCCAAAGAATCCAGCAACCAATACTGCAACTGTTAGTGTAAGAGTAGATAGAAACGACTTCCCACCAGAATTTCTTAATTTGCCATATACTGGAAGTGTAACACGAAACACTGCAAATGGTACAGTTGTAAGAAGAGTTTCATGGAGGGATAATGATTTAACAGCCCCCTATGGAGAAGTGACAGTTTCAGTTTATGCAGGATCAGGCTATGCAGAGCAGATCTTCAGATTGACCAATGTTGTAGGCAATGCTGGAGATATTGTTGTATATAATGACCAACTTCTGGCTTCTGATGATGCATATGAATATACAGTAGGTTTACACCAAAATATGTTTGTACTCTGTAAGGTTAAACATATTCAATACTATAGAATATTTATTTTGTTTTATATTGTTAGGTATGTGGCTAATGTGTTATGGATTAATACAGTTAGAAGTGCCTTCATTTGATTTATGATTGTAAAACAGTTTTGTTCAGATTAAATGCCTATCTCTAATAATTTAGTACATTATTCTCTTGATTAAAATATTGACTTATTAAGGAAGTTAATCACAAAAAATTGTCATTATCAAGTTCTTGGTATCTATTTGTATTTGTTTTGCATTTACATCCAGTGTAAGATTTTCTGCAAAATTTTATGAAGTATGGACGGATAAAAATTGGTTTAATTTTCAGTTACACCTACAAGCTGTGGATGGTGGTCCAGATCCTAATTATGCAAAGGCTGATGTAGAAATTAGTGTAGATAGAAACCTGCTTCCACCAACATTCAGTCTACCACCTAGTGCTAGCCGATATGTGGTCAATGTGGAAGAAACCAAGCCAGTTGGAACTGAAATTTTAACTGTATCAGCAACTGATCTTGATCCTAAGGTATTTTAGTCCTTTCTTATTTTATCTGATCTTATAATGACATGAAGACTTTATTTACCACTTTAATGATTAAATTGTCTAGCACTTGCATTTATATTGGTAAAATTCTATGTTTTTATTTTTAGGATACATTATATAATTCATGTATAACTTATATTGATTTTCTCATGAGCACATATTTTATGTATTTAGCCTTGGAGCTTTATGGTTATAGAGTTGTTGGGTATATATTTGCAATATGATAATGCAAAAGCCAGCAGTATTGGTCTGGCCTCGGTTTTTTTGTTTTTTTTCTGAGTGCAGTCTCAAATCTCAGGATTTTTATTGGTCAGTGTACATTCTGTGGCAGTTTCTGACCAATCAAAAACCTGAGCTTTGAGTTTGAGCAAGCATTGCAGGCATTGCTTTATACTGTATATATTGTAAGTCCAGTTTATATGAACTATCAACAGACATTTTTTTTGGAAATAATATTAAAATGTTACTTAACTAATTTAAGTTTTCATTCATTTCAGGCACCTAACAACCAATATAAGTTCTATGAAGCGGCTCCGAATGACTATGTGAAAATAGATTCAGATGGTATTATCCGTGTTAAGGGAGATTTGACCGTTCCTACCTCACCATTGATTGTATGTATACTTGAAAATATCATTGATATTACACAAGTAACTCATATATCAACTGTATGAAGTACATATTAATACAAGCAGTTTACAAATTAGATTTTTAACAAAATTATTGTGTTTTCTTTTAGAAAAAGATGCTTTTTTAAAAAATTTCTGTTATCCATTGTATTTCATAATCTTTAAAGAAATTATCAATATTGAAAGATTTGCTTGTACACGTATTTTTCACTTGATATAATTTTAAAAATACTACTTTATTGTAAACTTACTTTTTTTAAGCTATTTTTTTTCCAGAGTAAACAAGTTTTTGATTTTATTCTTCCAGTACAACATATATGTTGAAGATGAAGGAGCAAATAGAAGGCGATCTGATGTTCAAGTTCAAGTGAATATCCTCCGTGACTCTGCAAATTTGAGATTTCAGGTCAACTCTTATAATGGTCAAATTGGTGAAGCTGTTCCAACAGGATTTACCATCCTCACCGTTCGTACAATCCCTGAAGTAGGTTTCACTTCTCTTTCTGATATTATATGTTAAAACTATATAAAGTGATGATTTTTTAATGATTTGTTAAATTGATGCATCAATTGTTAACATTAAGTATTTCTCTTTTATTATGTATATGAAATAATAAGAACATTAATGTTAACATCATGAATTTTCCTAACAAAAAAGGAGATAAATAGACATTGTTTGTTGAGGAAATATCTGTATACATGTAGTATATTTCTTGTGTTTTAGGATGGTGTGACATTTACTGTGGACAATGACAAATATCTGACTGCAGCTGTTTACTTCAATATAAATGCTACAACAGGGGTGATATATGTACAGAAAAGTTTGTTGGAAGACCTTGCAAGAGAAACACTTTATACTGTAAGTAATTTCAGGAAGTTATGATATTGTTTACCATTATTACTGGTATATGCTGCGTGGATATTTAGAATGAATTGAATTTTAAGATTATACTGACAAACATATTCGTTATTACTGCGTTTTGTTGCTTAAGTTTGTCTGCATTTATTGTGAACCATTACTTGAAGAATATTATGAATAACTAAATGCCAGAATTTCGAACAGTAGAACGAATTATAGTCCTCGGAAGACAATTGGTCAATGCAATCAAAATTATATTTCATAAAGAATGTTTATTATTGACAGGTTTTACAGTCTTAAAAATTTAATTAATTTGACTTATGAGCACAAATTTACTCTATTAATTTGGCATTAAAAAGTTATTGAAACTATTTGATTTTTGCATCAAACTGTTGTGAAACTTGGATATATTTTGCAACCTTTGTGACAGATGACTTTAAATTTATATAGATTGACATTAAGGTTAGATTTAGAAAGTTTTGAATTATTTATTTTGAGCCATGACATGCTTATGGTAAAGGTCTTATGTTATTTAATTGCTGTTTTCAGTTGAAAATTAGAGCAACACGTATGTTTGAGGTAACAGAGCAGTCAATTACAACTGATGTACCAATTGAAGTAATCAGAAACCCGAATGCCCCAACTATCACATCGCCTACCCAATGTTTTGCATTTATTTCGGAGACAACAGCACAGGGCACTGAAGTTGTTGATATTGATGCCACGGATAATGATCAGATTGTAAGTTGTTTGTTTTATTTTTGTATTTTTAGCAAAACATTTCAAAGAATAGGGAGAGCTATTGTACTCATCCCTGTTCCCAGTGTTGGCATCATGGATTTAAACTTTACATACGTATTCTCAGTGATTATCTAACATGTTAGGGATTGGTTCTATAACTCTTTGAGGTACCTCTTTACATGTGAGTTATGCCCTTACATAACTGTCAAGCCTTGAGATAAGTTGAGCAAGTTTAGTTGAGATACAATACATCATTTCTGCATTTTAGGTTATATTGGACACAATTTGCTTGCCATATTGATTCATGTTGTCTCTGAATTCATGCTTGTTAAACAAGACCATCATGTTAATGTTATTGTAACCTTATTTTTTAATGTGATTCTTGCCTGAAATAATGCACGGAAGGGCACCTGAGGTCTTCCTCCACCAGTAAAGCTGGAGGGTCGTGATATGACCTATACTGTGTCGATGTGACGTAAAACCCAAAACAAACAAATAATGTGATTCTAATCTTTTTTTTTGAAAGGATTATGTTGTGGAAATACTTTTCAAAATTATTTAATGCAAGAGATGCTTGAAAGTTTTAATTCAGAGATAAACTTAACATTATTAAATTTATGTCATCGGCATACGATGCTTTGAATTGTTATTTATATTATGTCATAATCAAAATATTAACTTGATAAATATTGCAAATCCTTCATCATGTTAATGGCGTGGAACATGTAATTGTTCATATGCTGAATAAAGAATTTAATATAATTAAATTATTGTCATAAAGTTAACTGTTGATGATGGCAGTTAGAACTTGGTTGATACCATCAGTATAGAGCCAGGTCAGTCTCTATACTGCTAAATGTTTAGTGTTTTGATACTGAAATCCCTTAAACTACTAATGGACTGTTCCAAATTATATTTAGGGCAAGTCCATTATATATATTTACCATTGTATTGGATGATGATTACCCTGTGTGTTATTGTCATGATTTCAAAGAAGGTCTTCAACAGTGCATGTAGTTTCTACTGTTGGTTAACATTTTTCAAATTGATCAATTTCAGGATGTTCCCAACTTGCGTTACTCAATAGAGGAATCATTACTGAACGATCACTGGAAATACTTCTTTATTGATCCCAAATCAGGTGTAGTCAGTCTTAAAACATACTTGGACACACCAGGTTTTAATGTAGGGACATTCCAAGTAAGTGCTTTCACATATCTTTATCTTTAAGAACATGTTGAAAAGCAATAGTCTATATTTATTTTTAGTTTTACTCTGACCAGAATGTTAAAGTTAATTGCATTTTATATCAACACCTTAGATTTAAGTTTTCTTTTTACGTTATGAATGAATTAACAAATTGAACAGCTCATTAAAATAATTAATCAATGATAACAACCTTAAAAAGCTTATTTTTTATTATAAATGTATAGAAATAACCTTAAAAAAACTCTAAATAATAAAAAAGGATAGAATTAATAACAATAATCTCTTTTAGTACATGTATGTATTTCTGCAATATTGGTTGTAATGAAAATTTCTTACATTTTTCAGTTCAGAGTAAAAGTTGAAGATATGAGAGGAAAGTTTGACAATATAGACTGCACAATTACTGTTGGCCGCAACCTTCAAAGTCCACAATTCATCAACAATCCACCATACACTGCAGAGATACCATTTAATCAACCTTTGAATGAAAACTTTGCCTTCCCAGAGGCAGTGGATAATGATTTACAAGGGAATATTGTGTATAAGATAATAGGGTATGATGCAGCTCCACAATACTTTGGCATTACATCACCAAATAAAGATGGACCAGGTTCTGTGTTTGTAAAGTCACCAATGCTTGCTAATGATCTGACTCTTACTTATGTGGTAAGTTCTTTATAGATGATATAAGATAGAAAGAAATGATTCTTATTTATACTATAATTTTGTGTTGTTACTCAGTTTAGATAGCACATGCCTCAGGTATTTGTCCTATATAATGTTTATAGTTAATTATTCAAATTTCAATGCATCTTTACTCATCTATCTTCCATCCCTGTATAAAGGGATTTATGGATATAAGTTGTAAGTTTCTTGTAGAAAATTGGGTTATCACTGGTACAAAATCCAGAAACAGTCTAGGTGACTTGCTGGTAAATTATCTCTCGAACCTTAATAATGAAAAGGGTAATGACCTCTGATAACAAGAAATAACAAACACCACACATAGTTCATCTTTTAGTATTAAGCAAAATGTATGTCTCTAAAGCTGTACTTATATTATTTTAAACTTGACAGCTGGACAACAAAAGCTTGAATGACCTGAGTTGTCAAGAATTTGGCATGTCAATAATCTAAAAGCAAACAACCAATAAAAACAATCTCACAAATGTCATGGTTTACTCGAAATAATTAGTTATTTTAGGTTTAAAATATATCCATGACCAGTTCATGATTGGACAAGGACAGGAACCAGCCAAACTAAATTTTCAATTTGAAGAATTGATATTGACCACTGTTTAGGAAACTTCAACTTTGTCAAACATCAACAGGAAAAAAAAATTGTTGAACTTTGTAAGGTTTGATATCTTGTATGTGTAATATGATTATTAAAATAAAGATATAAATCTTTTTTCTTTAAGTTAGAAATTTAGAAAAAGAATCGTTTGTTTCTTGCAGATTGGATTACAAGCCTATGATAGTGTATTAGAGAGTGACTTTGCTTCTACAAACCTAACAGTTACTGTGAACAGAAATCCAAATGCTCCAGTCTTCACCACAACAAACTACAATTCAATTGTTAATGAATATGAAGCGTTTGGTAATGTTGTTGTGCAAATATCATCATCAGATGCTGATGGGGTAAGCCAATTCTTTTTATAGCAATTTCACTTCAATTCACTAAACTGAAATTGTATTGTTTTAGGAAATATCAAATAGATCTACATATATGTATAGATTCTGATTAGACAATTTTTATGTTTATATTGTAAATAACGTAAAAATTAACTTCAAACAGTTTCTTTTTCTATTGTTATTGGTTTTTTTTTTATCAAAAGCTACATTTCATAATTGAATTGAGAGAAACAAAAGCTTTTTGATTGTCATCTGTGCAGTATGATACAAACCTGATTTTGTATTATTGAAATGTCTGCATTAATTTTCAAGCATTTTGTGATTTTCATTAGTGGTATTATATTTCATGCTGTCTTCCTGTTTTTAGCTCACCTGTCACAAAGTGACAGGGTGAGCTTTTGTGATCGCTTTTCGTCCGGCGTCCGTCCGTCCGTCCGTCGTCCGTCCGTCCGTAAACTTTTGCTTTAAATGACATCTCCTCATAAACCACTAAGCCAATTTCATCCAAACTTCACAGGAATGTTCCTTTGGTGGTCACCTTTAAAAATTGTTCAAAGAATTTAATTCCATGCAGAACTCTGGTTGCCATGGCAACCAAAAGAAAAAACTTTAAATATCTTCTTTTAAAAAACCATAAGAGCTAGAGCTTAGATATTTGGCATGAAACATCTTCTAGTGAGTGTCTACCAAGTTTGTTCAAATAAAAGCCCTGGGGTCAAAATTGGCCCCGCCCCAGGGGGGCATTGATTTTCCCTATATGCATATAGTAAAAACTTAAAAAATCTTCTTTTAAAGAACCCAAAGAGCTAGAGCTAAGATATTGGGCATGAAACATCTTCTAGTGAGTGTCTACCAAGTTTGTTCAAATAAAAGCCCTGGGGTCAAAATTGGCCCCGTCCCTGGGGTCATTGATTTTCCCTATATGCATATAGTAAAAACTTAAAATATCTTCTTTTAAAGAACCATAAGAGCTAGAGCTTAGATATTTAGCATGAAACATCTTCTAGTGAATGTCTACCAAGTTTGTTCAAATAAAAGCCCTGGGGTCAAAATTGGCCCCGCCCCAGGGGGTCATTGATTTTCCCTATATGCATATAGTAAAAACTTAAAAAATCTTCTTTTAAAGAACCCAAAGAGCTAGAGCTAAGATATTAAGCACGAAACATCTTCTAGTGAGTGTCTACCAAGTTTGTTCAAATTAAAGCCCTGGGGTCAAAATTGGCCCCGCCCCGAGGGTCATTGATTTTCCCTATATGCATATAGTAAAAACTTAAAAAATCTTCTTTTAAAGAACCATAAGAGCTAGAGCTTAGATATTTGGCATGAAACATCTTCTAGTGAATGTCTACCAAGTTTGTTCAAATAAAAGCCCTTGGGTAAAAATTGACCCCGCCCCAGGGGGTCATAGATTTTCCCTATATGCATATAGTAAAAACTTAAAAAATCTTCTTTTAAAGAACCCAAAGAGCTAGAGCTAAGATATTTAGCATGAAACATCTTCTAATGAGTGCCTACCAAGTTTGTTCAAATAAAAGCTCTGGGGTCAAAATTGGCCCCGCCCCAGGGGGTCATTGATTTTCCTTATATGCATATAGTAAAAACTTAAAAAATCTTCTTTTAAAGAACTCAAAGAGCTAGAGCTAAGATATTTAGCATGAAACATGTTCTAAGGGGTGTCTACCAAGTATGTTCAAATAAAAGCCCTTGGGTCAAAATTGGCCCCGCCGGGGGGGGGGGGTCATTGATTTTCCTTATATGTGTATAGCAAAAACTTAAAAATCTTCTTTGGAAAAACCCAAATAGCTAGAGTTTTGATATTAAGCATGAAACATCTTTAAGTTAATATCTACAAAGTTTGTTAAAATAAATGCCCGGGGGTCAAAACTGGCCCTGCCCCAGGGGTGTCATTGTTTTTAACTATATGTGTATAGTAAAAACTTAAAAAATCTTCTTTTAAAAAAGCCAATGAGCTAGAACTTAGATGTTTAGCATGAAATCTTCTTATGGGTGTCTACCAAGTCTGTTCAAATAAACAAATAAAAGCCCTTGGGTAAAAATTGGCCTGGGGGTGGTGGGGGGGTTCCTATATACAGGTGAGCGACCTCAGGGCCATCATGGCCCTCTTGTTTCCTTATTTCATATGTTTGTATATATATCTTCTACATATGTTTTCATTCATGTGTATATATTTTTATTTTTAGCATGCTGTGACTTACCGAATTGTATCTCCGAACCCACAAGAGTTTCAAGAATACTTCTATATTGACCAACAGGCATCAACAATAAATGTTAAACAGAGCCTTTTGATAGCACCAGAAGATGTGTACAGTGTAAGAAATTTATTAATTCTTCAGCATAAACCTGACAATGAAAGGTACTTTGAAATTAACCCAAAACATACATACACAGGGAAGTAAGCTGGCAAGTTTCTGAAATCAAAATTACCTCTACATTGTTGATGTATGACTGTGTCTGCAAAGGTATATTTCTTCATTTAACAACAGTAGCCTACTTACAAAATAAAGATACTGTAACGTTATGTATTTATTTTATAACCCAGTCTGAATAAAAGTTTTTTTTTACTTTATTTATTCATTCTGTAGTATTATTTTCAATACCAGTTAAGTTTATGATGTAGGGCATCCATGGCGAATGGTTAAAGTTGACTTCAAACCACTATCCCGTCAATGCTGTGGGTTGGAATCCTTACAGGGACCTTGGCTAAAGCTATCCAGCTATCTTCCTGAATGTCAGGGATTTTACTCAGATGACTGTTCGTGCCTTAAATAATGCACGGAATGGCACCTGAGGTCTCCCACCACCAGTAAAACTGGAAAGCGGCCATGTTACCTTTACTGTATTGGTGAAACCCAAAAAAAATCACGAAATAATAATACTGGTGGATAATAATGATGCATGTATGTCTAATTTTTAGGTAACATTAGTAGCTGTGGACAATGGAATCCCTTCACGTTCTTCAATTGCCCAAGCTAATGTTATTATCAATATCAATCGCAACGAATTCTGTCCAACATTTGATGTTCCAGTAGGGGGATTAAGAGGTGTAATACCAGAAAATGCTGGAACTGGTACACAAGTTAATGTGCAAATATCTGTTTCTGATCTTGATACTGTGAGTATAAAACTTCATTAATATTAATTCATTCTGTTGTAATACTAGAAGCTGAAATGTTAACTTTCTAAGTTAATCTAACTTGCTAAGGTAATCAAATTTGTAAAGCTAAACTAAGTTAATTTGATTTATATTCTATTATAGCATGATTATTATGACAGATTTAAGTTAAAAAATATTTGAACAAACTACTTCCTTGTACATTTGTAATTAACTAGTGCTGGTGTCATATAAGAAAACAAGGTGTTTATAGACAACTTAACGACTGTCCCTCATTATCATTAAGATAACTTTATTCAATCCTTACAGTTTTGACTTGGTATCAAACTCGACCTTTGTTAACTTTATATGTAACCTGTTGACCTACTTCTGCATTGCGGAAATATTCTGAGCTTATTCTAATATTAGCTCTCAGATGAGCAATCAAGATCTATCAAAGCCCAGCGGTTTTTGAGTCCATTTGTTCAAATTTGTTTTAGCTCCTTATGATAGAAGATTTGATAGTTTTTTTTTGATAAAAAGTTGATAAAAACATTGTTATTTTTTATATTTTGTAGAGAGCACCTTACAATGTAATAGCTATATCCATGATGGGTGATGCTGATGCCATTCAGTTTTTCGAACTTAATCAAACATCCAACACACAAGCCATAATCAGGACTAGAACTAATCTTGATGTTGCCACGGAAACAATATACAGGGTCTGTATTAATTATTCTTTTTTCTTGTCATTCATTGCCTCTATTGTGAACAACAGTAAACTATGAAGATGAAGACGGCTGAAAGTTTTTTCTCAATAACTCTTTTTTTTTTTAATCATGTACAGTTGTATTGTTTTTATTTATCAAGCACAATAAAACATGTACTTACCAGGTAATATCAACTTTTTATTACCCTGAAATGTTATATATTATATATTGTGATAAATGTGTTTATGAACAGGCTGTTCTTATGGTGACGAATCCAATTGATCCAACATGTAGAGTGTCCGCTACTGTCACATTGAGTGTGAATCGTAACCTTGAGTCTCCCCAGTTCACACAGAATGAGTATGATGCTTCCATCCCAGAAACAGAGGCAAATGGCAACCAAGTTCTTACAGTTAGAGCCAATGATGGTGACAGACTTGTAAGTTGAGCTTTCTAAATATGCTTGTACATTTTGTAGTTTTGTTCTTCAAATTATTAGAAAAAATTGCTTTATTTAATACCATATTGTATATAATCAGCACCAGGGATCTGTGTGAACTTTTTTATACACCTTATTTAAACAGGACTTATAATGGGATCATCCTTAGCATTCAGGCATTTGGGTAAAGCCCAGACTGTGTCTAGTTTTTTCTAAATGCATGGAGGGATCTTAGTATTACATTATCTGAATACAATCATGGAATAAATTGTTCCACACATGATTCAGGTCTCTAGATCAAAGGTCAAGTTCACACTTGGAGGTCAGGGTTAAACAGTTGTCCATAGTGAAATTTCGGCATAAATAGAAGGACTGATAAAAACATGACACAAATGTTAAATGTTGTGACACATAGTGGTTTAAGGTTCATTTTTGCCAAGGTCAAGGTCACATGCAGAGGTTCAGGCCCAGATAGGAATTGAAAATATGAGTATTGATCATTTAGTCATCATGAATTGTGGGATTTTAAGTATTTATTCACTATTGTGAGACTGAGCTTTAGTGATGAGGATATTTGGTGACAAATTAGCTATCTTGTAATCTAAATTTAGGCATGTAAATTTCATTTATTTAGTCTTTCCCCACCAGTAAAGCTTCTAAATCAAATAAAGTTCAATCTATTTTGGTTGTGATTTGAAAGTTAAAACGCAATTTATAATTATATATATAATAAAAGATTACAATATTTTGTCTCAGGCACAGTATAGGACAACAACATACAGACTCGAGAATATTGTAGGAGAGGTAGATACTAGATACTTTGATGTTGACAACAATGGAATCATTTATGTAGATAATAATCTTTACATGGATGGTGCAGACACTACCCCATACAGGGTAATTACTTTAAACTTTTCATCTCTTATATAGTGTAAGGAATTTGCCTTAATTTAATTTAATTTTATTTTAACATTTCCTAGCAATTTTAGATCTTATATTGCTAGTTAATTGTTAGTCAATTTTTATGAAACAATAAGTAATGAAAAAGTTGAGACAGAATTGTTAAGAATCTTAAATGTTAGTACAGTAGTAAGAAGTTGTTTTGCATGATTTGTAAATATTTGTAAAGTGCATGTATCCACTTAATTGTTTTACAATGAATTGAAATACATGTATTATAAAAAAAAATTGTTTTACAATGAATTGAAATACGTGTATTATAAAAAAAGATAGTTTTTTAGTAAATTGAATAAATTTTGTATGAAAATTGTGTATTTTTGTGTCTTTCTTTAATATAATTGCATTGAGAAAGGTATGTTTCATTAACATTTCTTAAATGTATTTATAGTTTAGAGTTGTAGCCGGTGATGGTGGAAATCCAAGTCTTGAAGATACAGCAACTGTAACAATAACTGTATGGAGAAACTACTTCGCTCCTCAGTTCCAAAACACAGAAACATACGAGGAGACAATAGCTTTTAACACCCAGGGTGTTCTCATATCCAATGCTATTAATGCAGCTGATCGAGATTCTGCTGATTGGGTATATGCTTAAAGTTTATCAAAATTTGTAACTTTTATCTATTTTTCTCCTAAAAGTATGTAACCCCTCTTAGGGACGTATAGACATTCCAAAAACTATAAATCATTTATATTTTTCATGTAAAATATCAGAAAATGGCAATCTAATATATTTGTTGTATTTTCAAATAAAGTCTAAAACATAGTTTTTGCTTACAACCTTGTTATAATTTAGTTTTGCGAAAGATATTATAACAAGTTATGCTAAATTTTGTTTTAAGTCCCCTACCGGTTTAACCGGAGGGGACTTTAGGTTTACCCTCCGTCCGTCTGTCCGTCCGTCTGTCAGTCTGTCTGTCAGTCCGAGCCAACATTTGATTATTATGAGCTTCATTCCGTAGTTAAATAAAGAACATAAACTCATAAAATTTAAAATTAAGAGCTATTTTTTGTTTTTATGAGCTTATTTTGCTTATGGACGTTGGTCCAGGTGGTGTTTATGAGCTCATTTGCCTCATAAACATCAAATTTTGGTACGTCCGTCAGTCCGTCCGTCCACAAAACTGGATCCCGCGATAACGCAAAAAGTACTGAAAATATTTTTATGAAACTTGATATATGGATAGATGGCAGTATGGAGATTATGCACGTCTTTTTTTTTCTTCCTATGTTGAAAATTCTGGTTGCTATGGCAACAAATAGTCTGAAAATATGGCAAATTTAACACATAAACTGGATCCAGTGATAACTCAAAAAGTACTGAAAATATTTTTATGAAACTTGAAATATGGGTAGATGGTAGACTAGAGATTATGCACATCTTTTTCTTTTCTTCCTATGTTGAAAATTCTGGTTGCTATGGCAACAAATAGCCTGAATTTCAAGATTTCTGATTTAAATTTTTCAGCTTTTTCACTATAAGTTCTTTAATTCTTAAGGTGTTTACTTCAAACTTTAAATATAAGTTTCTGGCCATCAACCACATCATATGTGACAAGGTTTACAACTCTAGCACAAAAATTATCACTATTACCTCCCTTGAACTTAGAATTTTTATGAAAAAAAAATGTTGTCTTTTTTAAATAACTTCTTTATTTCCTAATGTATCTACTTCAAACTTCATATATATGTTTCTTATTATCACTCAACATTTTTGAGAAGGTTAAATACTCTAGCAAGACTATTTCCAGAATTATCCCCCCTTGAACTTAGATTTTTTTTCGAGAAATTGGTATTTTTCACTCCAACTTCTTCATTCCTTATAGGATTTACTTTAAAATCCCACATCATAATTATATGACAAGGTTGTCTAAACATAATTTCCTTACTAGGCAGGGAAACTTAACACATTACTGTGATATAGACAAACTTAGAACTCAAAAGATTTAAGTTCATTCATGTCATTCATCCACTGGTAAAATTGAATGGCCAATGGTCCATCAAAATGTTGCTGGGGTTCTAACCGGTAGGGGACTTATGGATTGCTTGCAATACTATGATAATTGCTTGTTGATGATGAATTTCAGACGTTTGTTTATAAAAATATGTAAAAATTAAGACAGGAAAATATTGTATGTTTAATTTTTGCTTCCAGGCACCATTTAGAACAGTGACATACAACATTGTTGGACTTCTAGATTCATACAGGACTATTTTCAGTGTGAACCCTAATACTGGTGCTTTGAGTCTTAATGCTAGACTTACTGGAAACATCCAATCTCTATACAATGTAAGTGCAGTGTTATGTCAATGCTATAACCCTGGTGAATTTGTAGTTTTATCTAGCGTAGAAAGACCTTATCCATTGTAAAGTAGCTCCGATTTATGATTATAAATCTTTAGTATCTCTATCGTTTTTTGATCGATTAAAGTCATGGATGGTTGAAATCATTCATGTTATTATGCTTTTGAGTAAACATGTTTAAAGAGCCTGGTTATGTTTACAAGGAATCTGTGCCTTATAGAAAGCTTGCATTAGCTTATAGGGTCTTCTTCCTCCATATCAGTCCAAAGATTCAAAAACAAAAAATAAAACAACAAACTTTTGAGGTTGAAACTGCTTTTTTGATATTGGAGACTTTGTACTGAAATGGGATATCAGTGTAACATTATTTTGGATTGCGACATTCACATTTTACAATATTGAATATAGATGCTGCTTTTTTGTTACCTGTTAAACATTACAATTCAGTCAATTGTCTGTCATTTGTTGGAACAACTTGTTCAGTGTTTATATGAATTCAATAAATTAAATCAAAATAAGTGGAAAAAAAATCAAAATATTCAAGTTGTTTTCATTCTTTGTATTTTGTTGTGTGCTTAACAATCTCTTTGTTTGTATTTTTTTCTTTTTTTTATATATGAAATATTATTGTACTGAAACAACAGCACAAGGTAATATCTATAAATAACTGTACCTCTTACAGATCCAAATCGAAGCTTGCGACCAAGGGGTGCCTCAGTTGTGTGATATTGCTGTGTTTAAATTGTCCATCAATTTCAATCTGAACAATCCAGAATTCATATCAACATCATGTGGACAACAACTGTTGGAGACAAGACCGGCAGGAAATATTCTAGAAACAATTACAACCATAGATAATGATAATGATGTATGTGTTATAACAGTTTTCCTGTCAGAATTTTTGTTGTGAATGTTTCCTTTTTTGAATTTTTGTCATGAACTTACCTTGTTTTATATTTGGAAAAGTCTATTATTTACTTAGAGATTTAAAGTTACTTGTGAAAATTTTAAAGTTTGTAGTAGAGTATGGATGTGTACTGCTGTCAAATACTAGTTGTGATTGTTATGTAAAAATACAATTGCTGAATTACTGATCCTTTACTTTTAGGTATAAACAATCACAATTGATGAAATAAAAATAGATTAGTAAATTTGATGTATAACTCATTTGCTGTTATATTTTCAAATGAAGATTAAAGCCTTGCAGAGCTATAAAATGTTCTATTTAATGTGTTAACAGAAAATCAGTGGTATCTTCCCAGCTTATTGTCCTTGCCTTAAATAATGCAGATGAGAACTTGTTATGCAGGTTATAAAGTCAACATGGTCCTATGTCTGAGTATATATCCACCCCCGCCCCTTTAACACACATATACATGGATATCAAACAATTGTTTTTCTTGTTTCAGATATATGGTGAAGTACATTATACTTTAGCTGAATCAACACCAGGTGCTTTAGATTATTTCGATATAACTAGGAATGGTGAAATTTTCCTTAAGAGATCACTGGTTGGAAGTGGAACAGATACATATGAGGTATTAGATGTTTGATATATTCATTTCTTGTTAAAACCTATGTGAATGCTTTTTTTTTTTATTTTAAACACTGCATATATCCGTTTCAAATCATTATTATGGTAGGTAAAGATATGTTTGTATCATTTCCACAATTATTAATATAAGTTATCTTATTATGGATAACATTGACCTCGGAGGCGATTTGTGGACAACTACTGTACATCATTTACTTTGTTGTTTCTACATTAACCTGATTTTCTTGTTATTTCAGTTCAGTATAAGTTTGGCTGATGGAGATAATAAACCTTCACTGACATCATTAACATGTACCTACACCGTCATACGTAATAACCACTCCCCTGTGTTTGTTAACCTGCCAGCAACACGGGAGATAACATCTAACCTCGTACAGAATGCTGATATTTTCGATGTTGATGCTACAGACCAAGATCCTTCAGTAAGTATCACATAATCTATTGAATTGTATACATGTGTCTTTATATACTATCACTAACTATTTATTATCTATTGTGGAAACTTTTGGATTTCATTGCAAAAATGTGTTAGGAAATATTGGATGTACATCACATCTTTTATGTTTAATATACCTCTACCATCCATATACCTCACATCATTTTGGTTGAATATATTTGAATATTGAATGTATCTTTTTTCTAAGGGAATTTTATTTCCATTTAGTTGCACTTTGCCCTTAAGTATTTTATAGACAAATTTTGTAGATTTGACCTATTATAATGTAAGTTGTATGATTAATAATTAATATTTAATACTGTTTACTTCCAGAATACACCATTTGGAACATTGACTTATTCTATTTGGAGTAAATCAGGAGCATTTGATATCAATTCTGTGACAGGTGTCATCAGCCTGGCAAGGTCTCTCCCAGCACTCACCTCATCATCTGGACTTGGGGTAATATATTATTGTTTTAAATAATATATACATGTATAATAAACATTAGTCTTAATTCATATGATTTTTTCGTTAATTTAAGTGCAATTGTTAATGGTTAGGTAAAAATTATTTAAACTTAATTTAAACTTTATTCAGAATTAATTAAGTAACACAGTTATTACTAAAGAGGAAATATTCAATGCTTTTTTTCCATAAATGTTGAGGATTTTTCAGCTGTCACATTTTCACACTATTTCTTCTATTGATTCTTCATTAAGATACTGCAATTGTATTACCTGTTTTTTTATTCTATATTTTTGTAAGTGACTTGAAAAGTTGAATATCTTTACTAATTATTTTCTTTCCTTGTACAGTTGTATGTAACAGTTTCTGATGGTGGCAATCCCCGAAAATCGAATATGTCAATTTTAGAACTTGTTGTTCAGTCTAACTTTGAGACCCCAACCATTACACAAGCTGTGTCAAAGAATGTGCTAGAGACATTTGATATTAAACAGGCAATTTTCACTATGGAAGCTATTGACCGTGATCTGGTATGTTTGATGTTTGATAACATTTTTATTTTGGTTAAACCATATGTGATGATTCATTTAATGATTTTAGACTTTATTAACACATGTTCTGTTTCAATTACTCGTTGAATATAAACTGTTGTATGCACATTTACTACAAAAAATATAGATCAACTACAAGAAATACTTGTTAGTTGCATTTAAATGAAAATAAGAAAATTGCAAAAAAATATTGTAAAAAAAGGAAAAATTCACTAGTTATAGACAAAAGAAATTTTTTCTTTTATTAACAACTGTATTAACTTTTATTCAAGATAAGATACTCCATCAGATAATTATTTTTTTCTTTTATTCCAACAAATCAATTATTGAGCAAAAATTAATAACAAAAAGGGAAAGAATAAAGTGTTATGTATTGAAATTTTCAGCCACCAAACAATGTTCAACGTTTTGATATTGACTCATCGTCTGAGACAGCAGTGTCTGATTGTTTCCGTATTGAAAACAATGGTGAAATTTATGCTAAATCTGCTCTTTACACCCCACCATGTAACCAATTAGATGAATACACTGTGAGTATTTTTGTTATGTTTTATATTATTTTTAATCTATTGTAGAAACTTTTACTAAAACCAAAAAAAGTTGTTTTAGGTTACTATAGTGAAAATAAGTTATCTCAAACATATAAATTATGAAACTTTAAAAACCTGAACTTCCTACTAAATTGAATAAATTAGAAAAAAGTAAATATTGTATAAAATGTATATATATATTACTTACTGTATGTATTCTGATGTATTTTGGACACAGATCTTTGTCACTGCCACTGATGGAGGTAATCCACCAAGGACATCACTACCTCAAACTGCTCGCTTGATAATCACACGCAATGAATTTCCTCCTGTTTTCCAAAATTTACCAGCTGTTGCAAATCTGCGAGAAGATGCCGCTTCCGGAGCAAGCGTTATTGATGCTTTTGCTACAGATGCAGACACTGTGGTCAGTTCTAGATAATATACCAAAGCTTACATTTTGTTTAGTTTAATCATTTCCTATTCCAAAAAAGTATACATACATATGTATATTCAAGTATTTAACAAACAAGATGAGTCTTATAGAATTGATCTTTTTCTAACACAGCAAAATATAATTCAAATGTACGCTGATTCACTAAATAATTTTGATTGTAGCACCATATAAAAAGACAACAAAAAAACTAAAACGAGTACTACAAAGACATTAATATTTAAATATTTTTTGATACATAATTGCCAAGATGTAATGATTATAAATGTGTTTTTCTTATAAATGTTTTTTCAGAATCCATTCAACAACATCACATACAGCATCAATGAAGTTACAGGATCTTTCTTTGTGATAGATCCAATATCTGGAAGAATATCCATCAGACCTGCTCTTGCTGATCATCCACAGTTAACATACAATGTAATTATCTTTTTATTTTTTAATGTAAAAACTAAAAAACTGTATGCTATATATTGTAAATACTTTAATTACAGCAGACATTTTAAAAAAATGTTTGTAATGGGAACATATTAAATGTGTACTTGAAGATTTAAAGTTGTTTTTTAGCTCACCTGTCACAAAGTAACAAAATAAAAAAAAAATGAATCTAATGGATTTCAGTAAAATCTATCAACAAACTTGAGATAAGGTGCCTAAAACTGTGGCTTTGTGGAATGATGCTTTATACTTTGTGCATTTAGAATAGAAAATATTTCTTTATCTGTTGCAATATACTGTTAAAAGATAAATAAAAAAAATAATTTTTAATTGAATCACTCGTCACTGTGGTGACTATAAATAAACATATTTCACTCACTCTCTATTTCTTGAATATGCTAGTCAACCATTAACAGAGAGTTTTGTAAAATGTTTAATATTATATAATGTTTGTAGGTACTTGTCAGTGCTACAGATGGTGGTCCCATTCCAAAATCTGATCATGAATATCTAACTGTACGTATAGCAAGAAATCTATTTGCACCAGAGATTGACCAAGCATTATATCAATGGGAGATTCAAGAAGATTTAAGTGTTAACTCTCTTGTCAACACGATAACAGGCAAAGATGATGACGACAAGGTAGAGTATTGGTATTATTTTGTACAGAAAGCAGGTCATGAAATAATGATTTTACTTGTAAGGTGTAATGAATTGGATAAATAAATAATATAAACATATATTTTTATTATGATAATACTTGAAAGTGTTTAGTATAATAAGACTCTGTTGTAGAATCAGATTTTAAAGATACTGAGGAGGATTGATGAAACCCATTTGAGGCTTCAAGATTTAAAGTCTCTATAATATACATTTATTCTCATAATTCTCCAAATTCTCAAAATATTACATGGAAGTACATTGTAATTGACTTTATTGTTCAAATGATGTATATTTGAACTTATTTGAAATATTTGAATATTTCAGGCTCCATGGAATCAGTTCATTTTTAGAAGCACAGGAACAGCATTAGGTGAAGATTACTTCGATTTGAACTCCGATGGAACAGTAACTGTTAGACAAGCCTTATATGGAGATAAAACAAATGTTTATGTGGTAATATATTTCATCAGATTTTTTTTTTCAAAAAGAATGAGAAGTTATGTGTTCATTTATATTTCACAGTTTTATATGTTTATGTCTTTAGCTTGAAAGTGTTGATGCAACAGAAAATCAGAATACTTTTTATTGCTCCACTGGTTGTATTCATGTGTTTTTGATAAAAGAAAAATTTGTATCCAAATTGAGCCTATATTAATTTTTGTTTGTTTTACAACTGTATTTCATAAGAGCAAGACCTGAGAAAATCAAAACAATTTTATTATAGTTGAATGCAGTAGCTGTAGATAACAATGGTAACACTGATGGTCAAGTGAGCCAACAAGCAAGAATTGAGATAACTGTCATCAGGAACAACCAATGTCCAACTTTCCAGAATGTGCCGGCACTAGCACCAATAGACGAGAGTCAAACACCACAAACCCTTATAACCTTGTCTGATTTCGTTGTAGATTCAGATCCAGAGGTAATGCAATAGACTGTATTATTTGCTGGTTCTCCATATTGAATATTTTTTGTATACATTGAATATTGATATTTTATGGTTGGTTTATCTTTTATCAAATGTTGGTCTTGATTTGATCAAATGTAGGTCTGGATTTGATCAAATGAAGGTCTAGCTTTTATCAAATGTAGGTTTAACTTTCATCAAATATAGGTGTAGATTTTATCAAATGTAGGTCTAGATTTTATCAAATGTTGGTCTAGATTTTATCAAATGTAGGTCTAGATTTTATCAAATGTAGGTCTAGATTTTATCAAATATGGGTCTAGATATTATCACATGTAGGACTAGCTTTTATCCAATGCAGGCCAAGTTTTCATCAAATGAAGGATGAGATTTTATCAGCTTTATGTATAGCTTTCATCAAAATGTAGTTCTAGATTAAAATGTAGGTCTAGCCTTTGCTAATTTCTAGCATGAATAGTATCAACATCTAGAGATACAATGTATTTCTTGCTCGAGTTTATTTAAATCAATTAATTGATTAAGACATTGTTTGTATGTTTATTTTCTTTTAATTCTTATATTAAATATAAAAGAGTTTTGACAGTACAAATGTATTTTAACATTGTTTTTAACTTTGAGTTATTACATTATGAAGTATATTTTCATTTCGAATTTTCAGACACTTATATTCGGTCAACACAATTTCAACTTGATAAATGAAAACAACATTGGTGCTCTATTCAGTATAAATTCAGCAACTGGTGAACTTAGAACACAATCAAGTCTTTATTCTGATGATGATCTAACATACCCAATTAGAGTTACTGTTAGTGATAGGGGTCCGTCAGCCTGCACATCAACTACTGTGGTAACAGTAAATGTCAACCGAAATTTGGTCGGACCTGTATGGACTAATACAAAAATTGGTAAATTTACTTATTGCTAACATTTATTTTTATGATAAATGACAAGACTCGTGTAAGTTCAATATAAAATCACAAATTTTATTGTAATTTTAAGAGGAATTATTATTTGTCCACTCTGTTGGAATGTTATCATATTAAAAAATGAATATCTGTTTAATTTTCCAAAATCATGTATGATATATATATGATATTTATATTGATTATTTTAATTCAAATGTTTTTAAGGAAGAGAAATTGCTAAGATAAAAAAAATAAAAAGGTTATATTGGACTTATTTGTTTCTTAGAGAGAATCAAAGCTTTGCAGTTAAGTATATAGATATAGAGAGAATCATATAGGCCTCTATGATCAAGTGGTTTAGATCATAGACTTTGAAACACTTGCTTCTTATGGCTCGGGGTTCAAAGCCACCAGGGACTTTGAGTTCCTTCCATCAGGGAAGCTATTCTGCTAGCTTACTGAAGGTTTGTGGTTCTACACTGGTGCCTGCTTGTACGACATGATATGAAAAAGGAAATTTCTATTTTCAGGTACCACTGATGAGTATGAATATAGAATAAGTGAAACTCTCAACCCAAATACACCATTCTTTTCTATCTCTGCCACTGATGGGGATAGCAAGGTAAACTGTCACATCACATTTTTGAACAATGAATTTGATTTTGACTGTTCAGGAAACTAATTCTTACTTATTGAAAGTCTCACCAAATAATTAGCTACATGTCCTTGATGTTAAATTTGACAGATTTTATTTTTTTATAATAAAGAAAGGAAGAAAAGATTGTGACTGATAGTTAAATTGAAAGTCTTCAACATGGATACTTAAAGTTCAGAATAAATTAAAATATTCAGGTGTAAAAAGAGCAACAAAATTTAATCTCAAGAATTTTTCGCTTGTCTTGAAAATGTTTTGAAAATGTATAAATGTTAATAATTTTTACACAGGTTCCACACAGAACTGTGAATTACGAAGTGGTTACATCAACCAATCTTTTTGGTGTGAGAGCAAGCACTGGTGAAATTTACTTACTTGTCAGCCAACTTGGACTTACCCAGGAAGTATATCAGGTAAGCCTATCTGTTGGGTAACAAGCTAAATTTCTAAAATTGTCATTTGTAACTTGTCAAATTTTGTTCTGTTTAAAAAAAATACCCAGAAAAAAGTCATTTTGTAATAATTGTAACATATCCTTTTACATGTAGATATGCAACCTGCAAATAATTATTTTGTATTGATATCTATAGGAAAATACAAACGTTTTTTTAACCCTTTTGCAGTTTGATATTGCTGCCTATGACCTTGGTACACCATCTAATAGGATCAGTGGTAAGATGACATTAAACGTAGATCGCAATAGATTCCCTCCAGAAATCACCAACTTGTATGCCATTGAGGACCTGATTGAAAGCACTCTAGCCAGGCCTGACCAGTCCATCTTCAGGGTTACAGCTCGTGACAATGATACTATCGTAAGTTTAAGATATAATTGTAGTGTATTCTTCATAATGTACACGGTGTTCTTACTGTAAGTTTAAGGGATTTTATCTGTACAAGATCATAATGCTAAATTTATGCACTTGCATGCATAGAACTGAAAACATGTTCAAGCTTGCCTGGGTCTACACTTTGGCACTTGTAAGTATATAGTGCTGCCAGTGTACAGAGAGTTAAATTCTTCTCATTAGCATTTTATTTTTTTAAATCATAGATATGTTTAAAAGGAGAAAAAGATAAAAAGACTAGATTCATATAATTGATTTTTTACATTATTCCGTTCTTTTTAAATGTGAGGAAGCTATTTAGATTGCTAATGAAAAGATTGCTATTCTACTTAGGTGTCTGCTTTTACTTAAGGTAGTGCATAAAGCCTTAAAGGTGCACCTGAGGTCACCATATGATTTCTGCATTGTCAATGTGACTTGAAACTTACACAAAACAGTATTTTTCATGCATTTTTAAGGTTCATCAAAACATTATTTATACTTAACTTGTCAATTTATGTTTAGAATTTTCTTATTTTTACATAATGCTTACATTTCAAAATCATTTGTGTGTAAGCAATTCAAAATCATTTGTGTGTAACATAACATTTCAACATTATTTGTTTTATTTTAAGCCTCCATTCAATGAAGTTACATTCAGTCTGATAGGAGATGGTTTGGCTCCACAATTCTTCAGTGTGGCCAGTGATGGAAATGTTTACCTCACAAGATCTCTCGAGACTGATAATAGCTTTAATACAATACAGGTAGATCACCTTTATATTTTTCAATTTTACTTTTAATTGATTTGTTTATATACCTTCACAACCTTCATAACATTAGAAATTGATTTGCTGTGAGTTGTAGTTGGACTTGTCTATTGTTCTTTTAAAGACAATTTCACTCGTACAAATAAAATCTGATGAAGTGAAAAGAATGTCATAAGTTACTATATTTCATTGTTTTACAGTTGAGAATACAAGCACGTGATGGAGGGCCTTCACCAAGAACAGATACAGAGCTTCTTGTTTTCAACATATTAAGAAACAGGAATGCTCCAACATTCCAAAATCGTGCATACAATGTTCGTATCTTAGAGACAAAAACAACAGGGGTTGAGCTAGTGACTGTTTCTGCTACAGACCCTGATGAAGAGGTATAAATAATACTAAGTTTCCAGTTGAAAGAAAAAATAAATTAAAAAAAAAAAAAAACATGTAAAAAATGACTTTGAAAAACAATGTTGTGCCTTAAAGAAATTCGAACGTTAATATAAATTTATTCAGAGTTTGACTATACATGTATTTTGAATTACCTTGAAATATCCTCCCATGTCATTGTTCTGAAGTGGTTTTTTAAGCAAAGTCTTAAACAAGTGTTTAGTATCAAGTTTTTATTCAAGTTGTTTTGGTTTTTTTTTATGGAGACAAATACTAAAGTGATTTTGTTATTTCAGTCACCAAACAATGACGTTGACTATATCCTTGATGCTGCCACAAACAATGTTAACATCAGTGAATTCTTCAATGTCGGACGGAGGGCTAGTGCAAATGGAGACTTAGGTATTTTGTCCTTGAAGAGGTCAATGAGGGAATATCCAAACTCAAATGCTGAATTTTCAGTTACAGTAAGTTGCTGTTTTTTATTAGGTAATTAATACAGGTACTTAATCATCTTGATAATTGCCTTTATAATGTTATGAAATATAAACTTATTGTGATCTATGTAAATATGAAAAACTGAACAACCATTGATTTGGCTGCTATTATTTTTTGCGCATAGAAACTAAACTAGCACATGGTGAAATCATATCTGTTGGTGGACTAAAAGTAAATTGTTTGTGAAAACATTTTTTGTTATCTTTCTGACACACAATATAAATTGAAATTAGAAACTGATAATTTCCAAAGTTGTCAGATTACCATGTGCAACTAGTTTTATTTGACATTTGCAATAAGAGAACTATGGGATAAGAAAAAATGAGAAATAATTACACTTTAACTATAACAAAATGATCTTCAAATAAGAATGGGACTGTTCCATACTGTGACAGATTATAGATTTGTATTTTTATTTGTCATTTTTAGCTCGACTTTTCTATGAAAAGGGGAGCTATCCTACTCGCCCCGGCGTCGGCGTCGGCGTTGGCGTCACACCTTGGTTAAGTTTTTCGTACCACCCCACTTTATTTCAGAAGTATTACAAGTATGGCTTTGAAACTTACCATACTTGTTCACCATCATAACCTCCATCTACAGAAAAGAGTACATAACTCTGTCAAGGTTTTTGACAGAATTATGGCCCTTTTTTGACTTAGAAAGTGTATTGAGCTTGGTTAAGTTTTTTGTACCACCTCACTTTATTTCAAAACCATTGGAGGTATTGCTTTGAAACTGACCATACTTGTTTACCATCACGACCTTCATCAACAGACAAGAGGACATAACTCTGTCAAGGTTTTTGACAGAATTATGCCCCTTTTTGACTTAGAAAATACATTGAATATGGGTAAAATCCACTTATTGCCTTAACCCTTTGAGATATTGCTTTGAAACTTTTAATGCTATTTCACATCATTACCCCCATCTGTACGCAAGAGAAGGTAACTCTGTCAAGGATTTGTTTTAAAAATTAAGGCCTTTTATCGACTTAGAATCTTGGTTAAGTTTTTAGTACCAGTCCACTTTTTGACTGAACTGTTTGAGGTATTAATTTGAAAGTTGGAATACTTGTTTACAATCATGATTCCCAAACATGTCCAGGAGAAGGTAATTCTGTCAAAGATTTTATTTGAATTATGGCCCTTAACTGTCAATGTTTTGTATTATAGGCAAGCACTAAAAAACTTAAAAAATCTAAAAAAATTCATTCCTATCCACTTGTTCACTTTACCATAAATTATGTCATATAAACATTGCTGTAATATTCAAGGGTATCAAACAACTAGTTATTTTTCTCTTTTTGTACTTGAAATTAAAATCAGTAGTATATGCATATTTTACATTTTATCTCGCCTATTTGATTGGTGGACAAGTGACCAGCTACATTGTACAAAAATATACTGCTTCCTTGGCATAGATTTCTTGAAAAATTATGTTATTATGTCATTTACCAAGGTGTTCTGAGTGACGTAAAAATACCTTATTCTCTCAAAGTGGGTTTAATACTATTAAATTTATTTAAGGCTCAACTCAGTTTTTTTTTCTTTCTTACCAGCCCTCTTTTGACTTAAACATTTCAAACTTTGCTGCAGTGTTCAAGGGTATCACACAATTCAGTAAAATAATTCTTCACTAAATATCTTAATGCTCATGGCCATTGTTCACTTTAAAAATACAGAGATTCTTGTATTGCCTTTTACTGCAAAAACTTTTTTTATTGGCAAGCAATAAAAAAGTCGAGCGCGCTGTCTTACGGACAGCTCTTGTTTTGTATGATTATTAGACTCTCTTTAATCAGTGTGTTTGTTTTGACAGGTAAATATTCTAGCACGAGACAGAGGAACTCCAGCAAATCAATCTCCACTTGCAGCGCAGGTTGTTGTCACGGTAATCCGTAACACAGCACCAAGATTTATTAACACAGATCAAAACGATGCATACCAGTCAGGTGGCATACAGATGGATCTACCGGCAGGAAGCACAGTGTTCCAGACTACATATTTAGATACTGATACTGATGTAATTATTGTTGTTATTTCATAAATACATCTATTGCATGCCTTTTTTTCCATCTTAAAATGTTTCTTTAATAATATGCTTTCATAAAGGAACATAGCTTAAAAAATATAACTCATTACATTATTTTTGAAGTCTTGGTTATATATATTCATTTGTATATTTATGACAACCAGAAGAAAAAGAATTGATGATTGTGAAAATAGTTTAAACTGTATTTTTTCGTTTCAGTCTCCATTCAATAGACTAGAGTTTGCTATCAAGGCAGATAATATAGCCATGTCTGTGTTTGATATCACTTCAAATGGAAGGGTTATTACCAAGCAGGGTGTCAATCTAGAAACACAACCATATATAGAATATAATGTAAGTTTAATTTTCCTTATAGTATTCAAGAATAATCGGAAAATTTCCTTTTAGCATTCACTTATTTAATGTGATTCAGTAAAATCTAATACATGTATATATATATATATATACAAAAAATGAAAACTTTTTGCCCTGATGATCATAAGAGAAACCGGTTGGCAAATAATTAAATAAGTTAACTCATGGACTGTGTTTTTTTGTTTTATATATATATATATATATATATATATATATATATATATATATATATATATATATATATATATATATATATAAATAACACTATATATATATTTAATTGGCGAGAATAAGTGTTCATACAGTGCTTACATATAAAATACCCTAGTACTTTTGGTGTATAATGCCTTTGTCAGGGGTGTATTACATGAATTATATATACCCAGCAAAACATAAAATCTATACATGTGTATTGTGGAAGTATCAAAAATTGTTTGCATTATTGTATCCTTGGGACAAAGATATTTTGAAGGCTATTTTATAGATGTATATATTTTCAAGAAATAAATTGTTTCTTGATTTTATTTGTCAAGTTATGAAAGTTTATGTTTCACAATGTTAAGAATTGTATTATTTTTTTCAAGCTACTACTGGAGATTAAGGATGGTGGCTCACCACCCCTTACAGACTATGCAAGCTTGTATGTGTTTGTGGAGAAGAACCTTTTCCCACCTGTGTTTGAAAACAACAACCAGAACCTAGAAGAGACTATAGATGAAAGTTTACCTTCTGGAACTACTGTACTCACTGTCAAAGCGGAAGATAGTGATGTTTATGTAAGTATACCATCATAATTATGATAAATATGATTTGACAGCTGTGTTTGAAAATCCATACTAAAAACAAAGACAGAATTTTTAGAAAGTGTAAATATGAATTCACTTTAAAAAATTGATCTTAGAGATGAATCATGATATACAATGTGATAATAGAAAGTTCATTGTCTAATCTAAAGATATGATATATAGAATACAGTAACATTATTTTCATGTGGAATTAAAGTTCAGTTTTGTAGTGAACTCTTTTAGGTATTTAGCATGAAACAATTGAGATTAAGTACATGTTTTATAATTATTTTGCCTTTACATTATAGGAGCCAAACAACCAGTTTGACTATGAATTGAATGACAGAAATAGTGGCAGTGGACACAGCAATTACTTTTCTTTGGATAAGAATGGGAAATTAATCCTAATTGAAAGTGTTCTAAACACAAACATACCAAATGATGAGCTTCTGGTATGTATTTAGTTACATTGTATTGCCAAACTTGTATACCATTCACCACTGAATATTAATACTTGTTTTCCATTGCTTATTTAAGGTATTGTAATATCAAGAACATCAAAATCAAGGAGTTACCATTATAATCATGTCAGACTGCATAAAGTTAAACGGTACTCTGGTTTAATACATATAAAGTGTTACTTTCATTTCATATAAGATACATGTATATGAACTATTTTAGGGATAGTAAAAATACATGTACATGTATAATTGTACATCCATTTCAGTCTGCCTAGGCTTTATACAATTTACATTTAACTTTCATTTTGATATCCCCAATATAGATGACAGACAGTTCAGTTCCAAAAAACTATGTAAGCTGATCAAAGCCAGACATTTAAGAAATTCAGTTGATAAAGGGTTAATGTGTGTCAGGTTTATACATTATATATGTTTTGGTGCATTTCTTTTGACAAAAGTGCCTGTTACAATATTTGGGCATTATTGTAGTAATGTTTTATGATTTAGCCTGCTGATAGCAATTGTTTTAACCCATGTGACCAGTGCAAGCCAATATCTGTGCCTTCTGATCATGGTCTGCATGATAATGTATGTTTGTTTTGTAAAAAAATGAGTAACCAGGTGAATAAATGAATGTTGAAAAACTTGTTATATAATATCAATGAATGAGGACTACAACAATACAACTATTATTTCAGTTGAGAGTATTTGCTAGAGACAAAGGAACACCTCAAAAGTCAGCTTTTATAGATGTAACAGTTATCATAAACCGGCTGGAGGGAACTTTGCAATTTTCGTCACCAAATTATGAAAGAACAATAGACGAAAGCCTAGCTGTTGATTCCACTGTTCTGCAAACAAGAGCTTCACCAGGAGTAAGTTATTCTTTATTTTTTTATAATACATGTATCATAAATTTTATACCTAGATATCCAATTTTGCAATTGTATTTTATAGGCATAATATAGCTCTTTTATACATTTAATAAGTTAAACAATTTTTCTAGAAATAGGGGAAGACAACAAGCAAAATCTGACCTTAAACAAATGAAATGATTTTCAACAAATTTAATGACACACAAGTAAAAATATAGTTATTTACTATAAAAACAGTAATGTAGATATGCAATGAATTTGTAACTATTACTCAGTATTCAATCTTTTCTTCATTACCTCTAAGACTTTAAATGTTTATTTTGATTTTTGTTCCTATTTCTAGGCAAACATCCAATATAGTCTTCAAGATGGCCTTTTTGGTAACCAGTTTTTCAAAGTTGCATCAAATGGAGACATTTTAGTTGCTACTGATCTTACAACAGATATTAACCGTGAACGACCAACCTACACTGTAAGTTTTGTTTTAAGATACTCTCTCACTAGCATTACTGAAGGAAAGGGTGAAATTCTCGTCACTGTTTGCCCTAGACTAAGTCTGCTAGGAAATGTAAAAAATGATATATTGTCCATGGCATAAGCAGACTATAATAGCTTTATTTACAGTTATAATCTCAAGCCCTTTCTTTACATGATATGATTACATAGTCTACTAATTTTGTTTTATCTACCTGAAATATAATGTTTTTATGTATGTTATAGCTTTATTTTAAATGGAGTAAAATCTATATTGCAGTTGACAGTTGTGGCAAAGAAAGAAGAATTGGGCATTACCCAGACTGCAACAGCTGGTGTAACCATCAATGTTAGACGTAACCAGAATCCACCCGTGTTTACATTTGACGTTTATTCTGGACAGATCTATGAAAAAGCAGATCTTGCCTCCAATAGAGACTTGCAGCTAGATAATCCTATCCTAGCCACAGATGCTGATAATGTAAATTTTTTATACATATCTCTATTTTTGTTGTCTAACCACTCAGTATTTTAAAGAATTCAGTTATGGCTCATTATAAAGATAAATAGAGGATATTTGTTTGTTTGTGTGTAAGATGAAATTTTATTTCATCGAGTGGGCTTTAAAAACAGTATTCTCACGAGTGGCGAAGCCACGAGTGAGAATACTGTTTTTAAAGTTCACGAGATGAAATAAAATTACATCTTACACAACAAACAGACAAATTTTCTTTTTATTTTATGCTTAAAAACAAGTTAAAACGAAATTTCCATAATTTTAACGTTAATATTAAAACTGTTTCCCCCATTGAGAGCCCCATTTATTCGGAATTTCTCATTAAAAAAAAGAAGTCTTGAGCTGAAAAATAAGTCCGCCAATCAACATTAAATGACGGTGATATTTATTAATTTTATTAAAAAAATATGAATGATCGCTTGTTTTGATAATAAAAACAAACAATTCTTGTAGGAGAAAAAGTCCAACCATCCATCCATATTTCTGTTACTTAGTGCGAATTTATATTAGACCTGGCTTTGTAAATTGTAAGCGGCAGCCATTTTTTAAAGTTGTGTATTTCATGGGAGGAAAATAATTGTGTAAGATTCAGAGGGATATAATTTGGATTTGTTAGTCATACACATTTTTAAAAGAAAGAAAACTTATTTGAGGATTGTAACAGACAAAAAATAAGTGTTGACAGATGTGAAAACATTCAGAAAAGGAGCTAGGAAAATGGAAAACTTGGAAACCTGCTCAAGAACGCTGGGTTGATTTAACTTATTCTTCGAGTTATGGCTGTCAATGCTTTCAATTTTTCATAAAGCATACGGCAGTTATTGCTCGTAGGATACTTTAATATGCCCAAATGTCATCAAGAGCAGTTTTGCATGGGGAAGGAATGTATTTTTGAGACTGTCAAAATGAAACAAAAAAACGAAATTTGGTGATTGGAATTTCATGAATTTGAATGAATAGAAGTAAGTTTTCTTCTTTTTATTACTTTTGACATTTAAGTTATTAATCAATTTCAGTTTTGCTTTTTCTTTAAACAGCCTGACATTGTCAGAATTGTCAGCAAAAATAAAATTGAGGTACCACATGGGGAAAATCTTAAAAAAGTAGTTTCGTCATTGAAAAGAGTGAAATTATATTTTGATAATTTTCACTGTAAAATTACCAGATATAATTTTCACGGATAAATCAGTAATCCACTGAAAAGCATAAAATAAAGACATATTTGATCAACTTATGTTGCTGTCAGACAGTTAATGAAATATCACTTACTACCTTTTAATGATCAACACAGATGCTGATGATTTGTAGAAATAGTGTTAGTAGCTATATGTGTATATACATCTAGGTAAATTAATCAATAGAATCATTGCAAATATTGTTAACTTGAAAGGTATGAAGAAAATAATAGAATCAAATGCTAAGAGTGGCTAACACAGCTGACAAGTAATCTAAGGATTGCTAGTCATGTGGGTTCAAAACCTGCCAGAGGTAAGTTGTTGTTTCCTTGAGCAAGAAACTTTACATTTAATGCTTAGTACTGCATGGTTGGTTCCAGGAACGAATTCGAGAGTGTTTCAGTAAGCTTACAGCTTCCAACACACAGAACTGAAATAAATTAGTATAAACTAAAATCAACGCTAACATGGTTACAAAATGAGTAATAAATAAATATTTGAATGTCTGAATATTTCATTTCCAGGATGTAGTAACATACAGGATAGTATCTGGTGTCAGTTCTGATAAGTTCTGGATAGATAGGTCTTCTGGCCGATTTTTACTCCTTGGCTCTTTAGAAGGGGAGACAACCTCTGTTTATAGGGTAAGTAACTCTTCTTTTTCTTCCTTGTTAGTTTATCATCATTTTGACAATTACAATGTGCTTAACTTTATATCCTTTTTTCAATGAAATGAATTAGTTAGATCTAATGAAAATGTTTCACATATTATATATAAGTTTACTCATAAACAAATACTTTTTTAAAACACTTATTATAAGAAAGTTCTTATCAGAATTTTTAATGAAAAGTTCCATTTAGCACAAGATTTAACAAATACATGTATTAGCAATTTTACAAAATATTAAATTCTAAATTTAATGTTTTAACAGATAACAATTGAAGCCTCAGACAATCGTAATCCTCCTAAAACGGACACATCTGTTGTTGAAATCACTGCTATTCGAGATGCATTTCCACCACGATTCACCAACTTGCCTGCCACGGCTCCAGCTATTTTGGAAACAAGAGTAGACACTGATGGTGAATTTTTCACCATTTCTGCAACGGATTCTGATCTGAAGGTCAGGAACATTACTTTTCTCATTGATTGAATACATCAATGTTTTTAAATCTTTTTTTCCCACTTAGTTGCACTGATAATTTTCTTATGAGTATAATTATTGTTATCTGGTTAGTACAGGTACAAATTGCTATTTGAATGTTTTACTGCCATAGCTCTCATCAGGTTCTTTAGACCCATTATAAGTGATTGAAGTTAATTACCAAACAGCCCCTAATTATTTAATAAAAGTAAATTTTCAAACTAGGAAATTAGAAATCAAACTTGGTTATAACTTGGTTATCAAAATCTTAGGCACAATTTTGTGCTTTCCAAATAGTCTAGTGACAGTTTTTGCTGTTATTAAAATTTTGGTCTTCTTACTTTTCAGGATATAGAGGATTTAAAATTGTATGATATGAAATATCTTGTGTACATTTTACAGACAGACCAGGTTATATTAATTTTATATTGTTCTAAGTTTATACAATTTCAATTTTAGGGAGTGTTGACATTTGAAGTAGTAGGAGATGACTATGCACCAGCTTTGTTTGAACTGGAAGTTGTAGGAGACACTGCTCGTGTTTCAGTAAAACCAGCTAGCAGACTGCGACAAGATTTTGACGATCAGTATAATGTAAGTACAATGCCACTCATTAAGGTCTTCAATACAGTTTAACCATTTTATTACTTTATCTGATATTGAAAGTGTCTGCTTGTGTGCGTGTGCGTGCGTGCTTGCATGCATGTGTGTGTGTGTATATATTATGGTGCTGCATGGATGCGTGTAAGATATTTATAATAAATATTTGCATGGGAATCACCAGAAATAAATTACTTACATTAAATATATGAAAAAAATATTTATAATAAGTTTTTAGAGGAGCCTCTGTGGCAAAATTTTTTTTAGTAGCTAAGTTTGAATCACAGGTTTGATTATAAATGTGGATTTGAAGCCTTTCAGTGACTTGGATTATTTCAGATGAGGAAACCTATCTATACTGAGTGTAGAGGGTAATTTCACTCCACAAGTAATGATAGTCTTGTATTTGATATGATGTTTTCAGTTACGAGTGCGAGTATTTGACAGTGATTACCCTGCAAATTATGATGAAGATGTACTGTTGATTGATGTGACACGTAACCCATCTAGGCCTAGCATCCTTGACATTGGCAATCTTCAAGCTGAGATCTGGGATACCCATCCAACTGGAGCTTTTATATTAGATGTAAATGCTACAGATACTGATGGTGTAAGTGTCCCACTTTTCTAATGGCATTTTCTTAATGATAATATCTGTATTTCTGCTCTTCTGTATTTCTTATGTAGATAAAAATAATTATATAAAGAAAAAGTGTTTATTTGAAAATTCTGTTATATTCAGTAATACAAGTCTTGCAAAATATAGAAATCTTATATTATTGATTATGCTTTACTAGACTGAGCTTGTATACTAGTATATGTACTCTAGAACTATGTTTAATTAACTATTTTTATTTAATTTTCAGGATGCACTCATTTATAAGATAGTTGACCAAGCCAGCAATATATTTTACTATATTAATCCAACAACTGGAGTAATTACATTGAAACAGAGTTTGTTAGGATCCTCTCAAACAACTAATCAGGTATGTTTGGCTATCCTTATATAACATTAATTAAATTGCTTTTTACTTAGAAAATGTTGACTGAAATTAAATTACCTTTTGGCATGCTGGCTGCAGCAGAATGTAACCATGTGACCAGCGCAGACAATGATCAAGTTTAATTGTTCACTATTCTTTCAGTACATACTTTTGTAATTTTCCCTTTTCTTTTGTATGAGGATTTTGTGATTCAATCATTTTGACAGGTTTTAAGTATGACCACAAGTGTAATGATGTCGGAATATCTGATTTATGACAATTTATTACTTTTTAAAAAAGTTTTTTTCTTGTGTATTGTTTCTTGATGAGTAAAGTTTTTTTAAAAAATATTTTGTTAATACACAGGTATCATTGGAGGTGTGCGATAATCGTGGTCAGTATGCAAAGTGTGCAAGTGCATTTGCCACAATAACAATCAAGCGGAACTCAAACTCTCCAACTTTCCTTGATAACTACTTCCAACTTATCGACAGACTTACACAAGCAGGAACATTTGTCATTGACACTGATGCTTCTGATTCAGATTTAAGGGTATGTAATCATTAAAGTACCGGTATGACAAACTTAATACTGATATTTGATATAGTTAACTATCTACTGAATAATCTGTGTATACAATAATAAAAAAGGGTTAATATTGTTCTGAACTTATGTTTGCTCAGATTTTAAGTAGAAAGAAAATTGAAATGATTAACTGTTATGATTTTAAACATTGAATTTCATTGTGTTGAAATTAATGTATGTTAACTTTTATGGTGTTTTTATGTTTTCTAATATAGGGTACACTGGTATATGAAAGAACAGGACGATTTGATTCATCCAATTCCTTCTTTGACTTAGACAGAAACAATGGTACCGTCAGAACCATTAAAGATATTGCTCTTGATGGAACAAATAATCAGCTATACTTGGTAAATGTTTCTATACAATTTATTAAAGGTTTTATATACAAGTGTAGTTCGTTTTTAGCAATTTCCTCTATACATAAGCAAATACAATATTTTATAAGTACTATTATTGTATGATAAATATGTATATATTTATGTGTATATATACAATCTTTGTTGTGGATCTTAATGCTGACAGTGAGTGACTTTTAATTGTTTCACATGTTGGTGCTTAGTGGTTTTTCCCAGGTTTTTGCTTCAGTATGAAATAATGCACACTTAGGTTTACATCCACTATTAAGTATTTAAAAGCCCTAGTAATGTTGCTAAAACTTAACAAGCACCTACCATTTGAAAAGGACATGAATACAACTAAAGCTCAAAAGTTGTATGACAGTGTTGATGTGTTTTCAAAAAGAAATAAAATATGATAAAAAAGTGATCAGGCTGTGTGTCACTGATTTCTGTTTTATATTTGCACATCACAATCCTCAAAGGTTTTCTACCTGGGTATTAATAAGAGATTGGGTGGCCTAATTAAGTTTGTTTATTTTTCAGATGGAGATTGTAGCCTATGACAGCTTCTATATGAACGACAGAGCAACTGCCACAGTGTCTGTCAGTGTGAATAGAAATCCAGACTCTCCAGCATTCAGAGATAATAATGGAAACAATTACTTCAAATCTATTGATGAAATGCATGAAGTTGGAACAGTTGTACTTCGCCTAAATGCCACAGACACAGATGGGGTATGTTTTATGGACAATTTCTGTTACATTAATCAATTAAAGCAACATTTTGGTATCCAACAAGCTTATGGTAATAAGTAGTTATTTGAGGGTAGCAAGATAATCTAGAATTAATGCACAGATGTACATGATAGTCTTCTTATGTTCTTCTTCAGCTTAAACTTGTGTACTGGTAATCTTAACATTGTTTAAGTTCTATAAAGTGAAGGTAGATAACATGAAAAAATTGCAAGATGGAAGAAATTTGTAAATTTTCAAACAATTTTTTCTGTAGTGTTCAATTATAAGATGCACTGCCCACTCTATATTAGAAATTTTAGTCTGAATAATGCGTCTTACAACCAGAAATGGACAATACATGTACTTGAATTCATACAGCCTACAAGCTTAAGTTTTCATCTTTTCAAATGGCTAAAACTTTGATATTGTTTTTTTTTTCAGGACAAAGTAACATTTGTCAGACATGCAAACTGGGAACAACTTGACCTTGATACTTTCTACCTAAACAAGGACACAGGTGAAATCCTCCTATCAAGAACATTAGATGACGCTTCTGTAACCAGTAGATATCAGGTAAGATATAGATTTTGTTTAACTTCCATAAACTTTTGTTTCCCATATTGTAAAGAACAAAGGTTGAAGGAGGAAAGGTATAATTACTTTCATTGTTTTGTGAGAAAAGCATATTTATCAGCTTCCTATTGCTATTTAAGGTCTGTAATGTAAATGTGTAATGTTTAAGATACCTTTTTGTGTGATACATGTATGTTTACATTTTCAGCTTATTTGAAGATTTATGACTTCTTCTACTGAAGGAGAAGAATTATATAACAGTCATCTTTCATTCTAATCTTTTACATAAATGTAAATACAAGTGTAAAAGAAACAGATACCCTTTTTCCTCTTTCAGATGACATACTTTTTTCTCTCATGTATGTAGTAGTTTCAATCCAACCTTTCACAAAATATAATTTCTGTACAAAACAATTTTATTGTGTTTAAAAAAAATCTAGGACATTTTACCTTCATTGCTTAGAAATAAAAAATACATATGCAGAATTTAAAATGTTAATTGTTTAACAGATGTATTTACAGGAAGTTTATATTTTTCAGTTCCAAGTACGAGCAGAAGACTCTGTTGATGCTCCACTAACTAAGTCAGCAATTGCTACGGTAACCATTGAGGTAGTATTTGACACTCCACCACGGTTTGATGCAGCCAACTACACTGCTACTGTTCTAGAGACAAGAAATATAGGCTATGAAATAACAGCAGAAATTGAAGCAGTTGATCCGGATTCATTTGCTGTAAGTTATAGCTTAAGTATTTACTTATATGATTAAAAGGCATGCTGTATAAATTTGTTATCTATATTTAATATTATATGTGACGGTCTCTAAGCTTGCTGATTGTTTAGAATTAACTGCGTCTGCTTGAGGAACTTTGAAATTAAAGGTACATCACTGATGATTATCATCAATTTTTATTTTGAAAAAGATCTATCCGAACAATTTATCAAGTTCTTTGAACGTGCAAGTCACACATGTAGTGAAAACCCTAAAGGAATGACAGCTAAATGTATGTATAAAATATCCAATCTGACTTGTATTAAAATGATAGGCTACTTTATGCTAAAAGCTGTTTCTCATACATTGTCTTTGTTTCTTTGACTGTGTTTTGCTAGATGTATTTTAATTTGAAATATCTTTACAGGGAGAAATGGTTTACAAAATTGTTGGAAACCTGCGCTCACCATATTTCTTTGATATTAGACGGGATCCAGTAACCAACAAAGCAGTTGTAACTCTGAAAAACAGTCTTCTTGGTGATCCAGTAACTAATTATGATGTAAGTTTTTTTTTGTGAAAAAAAAGAAAGATAACATTATCAGTCCTAGTTAACCTAAATCATTAGTAGCGAATTATATTTTACCTTATGTATTAGTTTAAAAGACAGTTTTATTATAAATACTTATAGGCTTAAATAGAAATTCTTTTGATTTAAAGGGACTCCACTGCATTTTTTTTTACTTGAAAGGGCTGGAAATATTACTTTTGAGATTTGTGTACGATTTGACGTAGGTCTGGACTAATAATTTTGTTATTATCATTTGGAAATGTTTCCATTTTAAATGCATCATTTGATTTAGGCAAGAATTGCAAATTTAGAATTTTTGACCTCAGTGGAGCTACGTTTATTCAATCATTTACATGTATGTACATGTAGATTACTGATTATCATACTTCTTGCTCTTCTTTCTAAAGAATGTTATTATGAAAATCATTTTAGCCGCGTCATGACAAAACTAACATAATGGGTTTGCGACCAGCATGGGTCCAGACCAGCCTGCGCATCTGCGCAGTCTGATCAGGATCCATGCTGTTCGCTATCAGTTTCTCTACTTGTTATAGGGTTTGTAAGTGGACAGCATGGATCCTGATCTGATTGCGCGGATGCGCAGGCTGGTCTGGATCCATGCTGGTCGCAAATGCATTATGTTGGTTTTGTCGTGACGCAGCTCATTTCTAGGTGCATGATTGTGTGGACTAATCTTGTTGAATGTGTAAATTTGTTTTGTTTCTAGGTGCTGATTGAAGCCTATGACTCGAACTATCCTAATAAGAAAGTTTACACACACTTGTTTATAAATGTGGTCCGTAATGTGTTCACACCTCAAGTTAATAGTGCTACTATAAACATCTTTGATTATCACGATCCTAGAATCATGATACATCAGATGACTGCAACAGATGGTGATGGGGTAAGTTTTACTGAACACATCTTGTGCTCTAACATTAAATATTTCTTCACCTTAGTGTAGTAACATGTTAACTCCTATTAAATCTAATAGGAGTTAACGTGTTACTGCACTAAAGTGACGTTTTTTACGTGTAAGATGATAATTACTAAGTTTTAAAGAATTTTCCTTTTATTATGTTATAGATTACTTGTTAAAAACTGATTTTGCTAATTATTTGTAGTGGTCTTTGATAATATAGACTTATAAAATTAGTTAGGAATATTTAATTGGTTTATAATTTTATTGTAATACTATCTTTTTAATGTTGTAAATAAAAGTTGATAAAACTACCATTTATGATATGTTTCTCTTTAATTAAGGATGAATTAGTGTATTCCATGAGTGGACAAGGTGTACCTGAATTATTTGATATTGATTTTCTGGAGGGAGGAATCTATGTAGTTGGAAACCTACGCTATAATGGAACACAGGTTTTCCAAGTAAGTCAAAAAATAAATGTTACACATATTTCTATACCCAAACTACATGATGAAATGGAAATTTATTTTTTGAATAGATTTTAGATGTAATAAATTGTATTTAGCCAGTTTGTTCTGGTGTATTTCATCATAAATTAATAATTTCCCATGTTTTGATAATTTGCAGCACAGATTATTGAATAATTGTAATAAATATTAAGTTTTAAGGTATGGTCCATCGTTATTAATCATTGGTATGAATGCATATTTTTTCTTCTTCTTTTATCTAATAGACTACCGTGTTAGCTAGAGATAGGCGAACACCAGAAAAGACCGGTACAGCTCAGATCACAATCAGAGTTGAGTATGATGATAATGCACCACGAATTGAAAACGCATTAAATGGTGTCATCACAGGATTCATCAGTGAAAATGTTGAGATTGGAACAAGCATAGAAAAAATTACTGCTGTAGATCAAGATATCATTGAAGATGGCGAGGTCAGTTTGATTAAATAATTTATATCAGAAATGTATTCTTAATTATTTTCATGCTTCTTACTGCACATTGTAATAAATGAAAGTTTAAATAGACATCTCATAAAGCTATATTATGAAACTGAATGAAACTAAAAATATGTATTAACAACAATTAGATAATGTGTAAATAAATTAATTTCTGGTTTCAGGGCAATATTGTATACGAATTACTGCCAGGTTCAGTAAGTGAAGGTTACTTCACGTTACTTCCAAATGGTGAAATACGAACTGCAAGATCATTTAATACTTCCCAGCGAAACATATTTCAATATGATGTAAGTTGTCTCTTGTCACCTTTGAATCATTTCTATATGGTTAAAAATTTCAGCTATACATGTTTGCATTGTTAACTTTCTGCTATGCCTGAAACATATTATTTGACAACTGTTTTGTTGCTGCTGTTGTTGTTTTCAGATATTTGTAGAGATGATGAGATTATTAAATAAGTATCTGGTGGATAAATAGAATTTATTTACAAAGGCATAAAAATTACACACAAAAAAGTTTTCAGGATTATTCCTGACTCCAGTACTCAACACCCCTATAAGTCATCTTGTTCCTCATTAAACTATAAACAAATTGGATCCATGACAACCAAGCATTCGTATTTATATTTTTACTTCATAGGTTACTGTGGCAGCTTATGACAGTAGATATCCTGAGATTCGTACCGAAGTTATATTGAGGGTAACAGTGAACAGGAATTTGAATGGACCAGAATTTAACCCTGCAAGTTACAGATTTGAAATTGATGAGACTGTACCAAGGTTTACATCGATTGGACAAGTCTTCGCTGACGATAGAGATATTTTGGTATATATATTGTTGTTTGTTTTTTTGTTTTTAATTTTTATTGTTTTTTTTTAAATTTTAACCCTGAAAAAATCTTATTGTCCATGTCTAGTGTACCTTTACCTGATAGATCTACAAGGGAAATAATTCACTTTCCTTAAAAAATAATCTATCTTTGTAAAAAAAATTATTAGGTAAATGAATAAATTACATTTAGATATTCTGATATCTGAAAAGCATATGAGGGATTTTTTTTTTTTTTTTTTTTTGGGGGGGGGGGGTTGGTGCAATGACTTATACAGAATACAGTTGAGCATTCAACTCGAGAACCTGGGTTTGAGCACCTCTACTGGAACAAAAAGATTTATTCTTTAAGTCTAGTACTAAGTTTAAAAAAAAAACTGTATTAAAATTTTTAATAAGTTGAAGTTACTTTGATTATATAAAAAAAATTCAAAGCTTCCTTAACAATAAACTGGACATAAAAGTAAATGCTATACTTAAAAGACAATAATTTTCGCTACAGGATATAGTTACATTCTCTGCATCTGGAAACGGATTGTTTGATGTGGACCCAGCGTCAGGAGTGATATCTGTGATAGGAGATGTCTTAAATGAACCAACACGGGCAACACAATATACTGTAAGTATTATAAAATACAAGCAACACAATAATGTTTTATGAAATGCAAGCAACACAATAATGTTTTATAAAACACAAGCAACACAATAATGTTTTATAAAACACAAACAACACAATAATGTTTTATAAAACACAGGCAACACAATAATGTTTTAATAAAACGCATGCAACACAATAATGTCTTATAAAACACAGATAACACAATAATGTTTTATAAAACACAAGCAACACAATAATGTATTATAAAACACAGGCAACACAATAATGTTTTATGAAACACAGGCAACACACAATAACTTGTTTTTTTTTTTAAACAAAGGCAATACAATATTCTGTAAAAAATTTTAAAGCACAGGCTTTGAGTCGGTAGATATTATTTTATGCTTAATGAGTTTAACACTATTTTCATACTACTATTCATGTTATCCTGTTTCAGTATGTTGATGTAAGCTGTCATGATCCCCTACCCCTTCATCCCATACCAAAACAAGAAGCTGAAATTACATGTTCTACATATTTTGTCATCATGTCAGTGTTCAGCTATTTATTACTCCATATCATAACATAACACCTTCTTTCAAATACAAAGCCAAAACATAAACATATTTGATTATGTATATGACTTTTGTTGATTTATTTTCAGCTATCAGTTACTGCATCAGATAACTTTGTACCAAATACACAGACACGAACTGTGATTGTTAACATTGTTGTTATTCGTGATACCACAACACAGTTCACAGGAGATGATCCTCTTAGACTGTTTGTGTCAGAAAGGCAACCAGTCAATTTTACCATTACAAATACTAACAATAGGATTACAGCTGTAGACAGCGATCTTACGGTAATTTTTTTTTTTTTTAAATATAGTTTATAAGTTTATTATAACATGTATGTTAATATGATTTTTATATTTTATGTATCAACCTGAAAGTAACATGTATTAAAATGTTCGAATAAATCTATGATTCATATATCAGTATTAGGAGAATATAAGTAAGAATTTTGTGACATTGTTCTTTAATGTCATTTATTTAAAACAGTGTCATGCTGAACTCTCTATTTAAATTAAAAAATTATAATACTTGAAACAGTGATGATTAAAACAAGTACTAGATAAGAGGAACACATTTATCGTTAATTTCATGTTTTAAATTTATAATGGAAGATTATTTGTGTAATATATTAAGACTTCTTTTATTTGTATTGTACTGCTAATTAATTTTTTTTTCTGGTTTTAACATTACAGGATAGCCAAATAACTTTTGAGGTGGTACCATTTTATGCAGAAGATGTTGCAGTCCACTACTTTGATATAAGACGAGTGGATGGAAATTCAGTAGATGTTTATATAAAGAATAATCTGATGGAAGGTTTTAGAGATCGAACCAGTTTCCAGGTCAGTAAAAAACTTAAAGGTTCAAGGTTGAAAGTGAGAAAATATCAGTCAATGTTCAATGTCAAAACGTTCAAGGTCAAACTTTAATATCATCTTCTTTTTCTCTTTTTTTTTCAAATTTTCAATATCATAAAGGTGCTTTAATCTGGAAACTTCACCTTGAAAGTCCTAAAGAAAAGATTTTCAAGCTGCAATATTCATGAATTTACATGTATGTATATGCTTCAGTCAGTATATTTTAGTATGCACTTACTGGTATTATATGTATTTGCAGCTTCAAGTTGTAGCGTACGATGCCAACCGACCACGTAACAAAGCATACAAGCTGGTGATTATTCAAGTACAACGTAATTCTGGAGGTCCTGCTTGGACATTATTTGTTGAAGATGTTAAGATGAGAGAAGACTTACCACAACTTGGGCTAGTAACCAAAGTTAATGCTACTGATGTTTTAGACAATGTAAGTACTCTGGCTTTGCTCTTCATGAATAACTCGGCATAATTTGATATAAGGGTAAAAGAAATATATGTATTTATTAACATTACTTGTTTCATCAACAGAAATAAATGTTTTTGCCATCTGATGATATTTCTCAAAACATACATAGAGAATATTGAATGAGTGTAGATTTGAGTAAATTGTTCTATAAGTTATATCTATATTGATATTATTTTATCCAACAAGTTTAATAAATCTAGTGATGAAATTAAATAAATATAACATTCTATTTGTGACATTCCCAAAAGGAGAACATTTTCATAGTAAAAAAAACAAAACATTTTTCACCTCCATCAACGCACTTACAGATCTACATGTACTTTAACATAAATATTAAGTGTATGTTTATGCTAGCTATGTTTAAATAATGCACATGACATCATGTCAGAATTAAAGCATTGCCATATCATTTTAAAAGAGTCAGAAAAATGGCACAGTTGCGATAAATTGAAATATGATATAAACATCCTGCAAGATTTTCTATTTCAACCAGAGACATAGATAACATCTATGTTATCTATGTCTCTGGTTCAACTATAGAAATGGTACAGAAATTAATATCCTATTAATTAAACATTGTATAAAATATTAAACAATAATGTTTCTGTAATGGGTTATTCTTATATTTCAGGATCGCATTAAATTTGACATTTTGGATGAAAATTTGATCAGATCTCTTGTATCTGGTCCATCAGATTATTTCCTGATTGATGAAGACACTGGACAAATTCAGTTAAAGAAGTCAGTTGTTGGCACTGATATTGACTCTTTCGAGGTAGGCAAGAGTAATTCTAATTTGGTCATCTATTTGTTATTTGTCAGTTGTTGATTTGTTTAATCAGCTTTCCAGCTAAAGCAGTTACCTAGGATGTAGATTATAATTGAGAAAGTGCTTAACACATGTGCAGGTCGTCATTCTGTAATGACATTGACGTCATGCTTGAAAATTGCAGTCTGTTTATCTTTGGTGATAATGTTTACTATTAAAACTTATTTTTATGGCAAGCTGACAATTTTAGCATGATTGGCCATAAAGATGACAATTTAAGCATGAATGGATATAAAGATCATAACTTAAGCATGATTGGACATAAAGATGATGATTTAAGTATGATTGGCCATAAAGATGATAATTTAAGCATGATTGGCCATAAAGATGACAATTTAAGCATGAATGGATATAAAGATCATAATTTAAGCATGATTGGTCATAAAGATGACAATTTAAGCATGATTGGACATAAAGATGATGATTTAAGTATGATTGGCCATAAAGATGATAATTTAAGCATGATTGGCCATAAAGATGACAATTTAAGCATGATTGGTCATAAAGATGACAATTTAAGCATGATTGGACATAAAGATGATGATTTAAGTATGATTGGCCATAAAGATGACAATTTAAGCATGATTGGACATAAAGATGATGATTTAAGTATGATTGGCCATAAAGATGACAATTTAAGCATGATTGGATATAAAGATGATGATTTAAGTATGATTTGCCATAAAGATGATAATTTAAGCATGATTGGCCATAAAGATGACAATTTAAGCATGAATGGATATAAAGATGATAATTTAAGCATGATTGGCCATAAAGATGACAATTTAAGCATGATTGGCCATAAAGGTGATAATTTAAGCATAATTGGACATAAAGATGACAATTTAAGTATGATTGGACATAAAGATGATTGGCCATAAAGATGACTGTGTAACTATGTTTGAACATAATACGGTTAGATGACAATTTAAGTACTAGTATTTATTATAACTGGGTGAAAAGCAATAACTAACATTTCAAGCAGTTTTATTTCATTTATAGCTGACAATTCAAGCATGTGATTCTGGTGTTCCTCCAAAGTGTATTGTAAGAGTTATGACAATCGATGTAGTCAGAGACAGTCAGCCTCCCCAGTTTGGTGCAGATCCATTCCAGTTCTTTATGAATGAGAATGAAAATGTCAGCTATAGTATTGGCATTATTACCTCAACTGATAGCAGTCCAATTGTAAGTATATTTCTCCCTCAATGATACTGAAATATCAAGCTGCACAAATAAACTGCTTTTTACATTCAAATAATCATGATAATTACATAAATTTGTGTGAAACATGAAGATATCCTGAGTTTTATTGCGCAAATTTGAACTATTTGGCAATTGTTCCTTCTAATTCTTTAAATACATATTTGTTGACAATTTGCTTTTATCATACACCTCATATTTACAATTTACCCTTTTTAACTTATCCTGCTTGGACCTTGAAACAAGTCAATAAAGATATCATCTTTATGGCAAATCATACTGAAATAATGAAATAAAATAAGCTGAATTGAATAGGTACTAATGGCATAGGTTACAAGCACTTGGTGTTGAAATGATGTTTTTATGCTTTCAGGGACAAACCGTATATGAACCTATCGATATGCCAATGTTCTTTGAATTGAATAGAACTACAGGCAGATTAACACTGAAGAGGTTATTGCTTGGGTACAAAGATTTATCTTACAATGTATGTATTTACATTTCTTCCTTATTTATTCATATGATTTGATATTAATATAACTGAATTTAATATTAACATTTTCATACTTTAATTTGTTAAAAGCATTAAAACACAAAATGCAAGGATTAAAGAAATCTTATTATAGAACCTGTGTACAGGTGAATATAATGATATTATACAGCATTATGATATATTCCAAGTTATTACATTCCTTTTACAGCTGTAAATGAGGTAGAGAAGGAAATATGTTTTTCTGTAGTAGTGTAACATACATGTTAATGTATCGTGTGTAATATCTAGTGTCATTTTAAAGAATCTAAGTGTTCTTAACTAATTGAATAAAACTTTTATAAAATATTTTTGTTTTTAGTTCCGAGTACAGGCATATGATACTGGAGAACCATTGTATATTGCAACAGCTTCTGTTTTTGTGTTTGTAACAAGAAATCCAAGTGGTCCATCTTTTATTGATTCACCATACTTTAGAAGAGTACATGAGACTTTCCCATCTGGAAGTTTACTTATTGATGTGAATGCTGAAGACACAGATGGGGTATGCTATAATCTTGTTTAGTGTGTTTTTCTTGAATTATTTATTGAGTTTATTTGATTAAATGAATTAAATAGCTACTGGGTTTATGCATAATTTTTAATAGCAATTTTTGCCTATTTTTCATCAGTTTTAAATTCAATTAATAATGTTTTCCAAGCTTTTAAAAAGAATTACAAATACAAATCATTTCATTATCATTTGTGTTGTTTTTTCTTTGTGATTTTGTCCAAAGAAATTCATGTTTAACATTTGTTCAATTTCCATGTTTGCAGGATACTTTGGTTTACAAACTCATTGGTAATGCTGATGATTTGAAATACTTTTACGTCGATCCCAGCACAGGAGAGATCAATCTGAAACAATCTCTGGTTAACCCACCGAAAACACGATTCCAAGTAAACAAATTTTATTTATTTGTGTTTTTATTTACCTGATAAATTGTTGACTACATTTTTTACAAAGGAACTGAAATAAATAAATTATAATTTATATACACCTGTCTTTACAATATTAAAACTGTAAATCTTTAATTAAGGTATTGAAACTGTGAATATGGGAGCAGTTCATATCCCTTTGAGTTTAATGAATTGTGTATTTGAAGTAATATTGTTAAAATTCAACAAAATAGAACCAACCAAATTTATCTGAAATGTATTAATAATATCATAGAGTATGTGAATACACATGTATATGTTTTTATATAACTCTGTTAAATGATTAGTAAAACAAAACTTTAAGATTAAAATGTTGATTATTACATTAAGAACCTTTGCATTCCAGTTTACTATAGAAGTTAATGATCAGCGTAATATTCAAGCAAAGACAGATCAGGCTACTGTTACAATAGAAGTTGATATTGATGACAATCCAAATTTTGTCAGTGGCACAATTATTCCAGCCCTTCCTGAGACTGCTAAAGCAGGAGATTCAGTTCACAAACTTTCAGCTGTTGACAATGATTTGGTTGTAAGTTGTCAAGGACATCTTAATACAATCACTCTGTTAAACAGTTTTCATAAACAATGTCCATATTTTGTGCCCTTACCTGAATTGAAGCTTCTGGCTTCAGCAGTGATGTTATTCTCTGAAACTACTGGTTTAATTTACTTCAAAGTTTACTTTGTTTTTATAGAATGCTTTTTTAAACTGTGAAAAAATGTCATAAAAAGAGAAGCCTTTTAATGATATTAACTCAAATTGGGCTAACAGTCACACAAAAATATGATATTCAATTTAATTATGACTATATTTCTTTAATATTGTTTGCATATCTTTTTTCATTGTAAATGCCTAAAATGGTCTATGTGAAGAAATTAAAATTTTATGTTTTTATTCTTTAGGCTTCATTTTAATTCCTTTTAATAACACTTTCTGACATAAATCACAGAACCAAACCAAATAAAAGATAAAGAAAAAAATAATCTTTATACAAAAGAAAATTCATTATTTGCTAGAATTTAAAAATAGCTTGCGAGATATAACTGTAAAAATAATATATTTACAGGGAAACATGACTTACAGACTGGTTGGTATTTCACCTGCTCCATATATGTTTAATGTTGATCCTAGAACAGGCGAGATAACATTAGCTCAAGATATTCTTACAAGTGGTCTCAATCGACTTAACAGCTATACCGTAAGTATACATCTATGGTTATTCTACTTAGTTTGGTGCTTTTCATGATATTTTTTAAGTTTGCTAATTTTATACTTCTTTTGATGCTTTATAATACTCAATGAATTATTTATTTTCTTTGGTTGATTCAAATTATTATGGTAAATTTTGTTTAAGTTTAAACACAGTATTTTAGTTGTAAACATTTCATTTACATTATTATAAGTGCTAGTAACAAACTGTACAGATTTTATGACCTATTCTTGTTGTGGCTCAAACTATATATTTTGATATTGATGTTCTGTAAACATTGAAATGACTTAATCCAGATTCAAAGCAGGGGAAAGCCATTATGCAAAGTCAGCATGTTAATGGTTAAAACTGCAATTTGGCATTCAAAACTTACTACAACCAATAGCATTTAAATTGTGTTATTATTTTACAGCTTGATGTGGAGGCCTACGACAGTGCATATCCAGAGAACAAAGCTACACAAAGATTGATAGTTTCAGTTATAGTGAACCCAGGTGCCCCAGTGTTCCAACAATCTAATTACCGCTTCCCAGTGAATGAGTCACAGAATCCAGGATTTTTGGTTGGCACAGTTCTTGCAACAGACACCGATGGCGTAAGTTTTTGTTTGTTGTATTTATTCATAAAGATAATCAATTCTTATTTGTCAATTGATTTGGTGGCACTTGTTTGCTGTGTTTTTGTTTTGTTTATAAATGTATTGCCTAAATCTTAATTAAACACTTATTAAAACATTTTTATACTTAATGTTTATGTACATGTAAAAATGACATTTTACAATCAAGGGTTTTTTTGTGTTTTAATGTTTAACAGAAGTTTAATGAGACTCTTACAGTTGCTTTTACAAACCCCATGCTTTCAAACAGTTGTGCATGTTGGCAGGCAAAGTAGGACAGCCATTAGAGTCTTCTTTTTTTTAAAGTGCCTTTTAACAGTAAATTAGATCAAATTAGATCTATACACCACCTTTACTTGATGGTAACAACTAGGCAACACTGAATTATTTACTTAGAATGTAAAACATTAGACAACTTGTTCCTGCTTAAGCTTTAAATTTTCTCCACATGTGTTTAAATATGTACAGGATTTCTTGACTCTTTTTGTTTCCATTAAGACGTTTTGGTTTTGTAACTTATAATATTATATCATGATATTTATTACATTATACATATTTTATTATGTTATTACATTATGCAGTGTAGTGGTATCTGGTGTATTCGTATATATAATGTATAACTACAACATATGACATATTCACAAAAACCCAGTATCTTTCATCTTTAATTCCAATGTGATAAAAGTTAGGTATCAGACCATGTTTTCAGAAAAGAAAGAAAAAATAGAGAGGAAAAAAAAACATTTAAGATAATTAAGTCATTAGTACTGACCACTGACTGACATGCCTTTGGCATTTATTCTATAAATTATTTAAGTTAGATATATATAAATGTGTAATATTGTTACATATTTCTTAAGAGATATTAACCTGATTTGTATAGCCAAGTGCTTCAGAACAAGAAGAAATAAAAGTTAAGAAATTTCTGTAATATTCAAGTTTTGATACTATTTTGATGTGATTTCTATTTTAGAGAATTGTGGTAAAACACGAGTGCTGCAGATTTTAACCTTTCAATATTCATTCAGTTTTGTGTATTTATTTATAAAATTGAAACAGACTGACAAGTTTGTTTTTTTTTCCAAATTATTCAATATTTTCTTACACCTCAAGATTTGTGAATTTTTTTATCAAAAGTCAATAATTCTTAAATATTTGACTTTTTGTGAAGTAGAAATTATTTCTGGTGTAAGATTATTATCAAAATGTGAGGCAAACAAAAAATATCTTGGCTGCTATTTTAAAAAATCGTCAAAACTGAAGAAGTATTTGAAAGGTTTAAGATGAATATTAAAAATCATATATACTTTATTATATAGCTAATTGTATATATTATTATTATATATAATATATTGTTTTTTCTCATTGAAGCCTGTAAAATAGCTATATTGATGCTTAAAGATTTTTCATTGTAGAATTTTACAGGGAAAGCTAGTTAGTTGCTAGCTTTAAACTTAGATGATATAACATTATAGAGTATGTAAATATATATGAGAAAGTTTATAATATATGTACAATAGAAGAATAAAATGCATGGCCAATTTAGCTTCGATATTTCTTTCAGCAATGTTAAGATGTAATTCATCATACAACACATACAAATTTGCATCATTATGCATATGCATGAATATTGTAGTTGTTGGGCCTAGGCAATTGTTAACAGCAACATAGGAAGACAATACAGCTGTAAATAAAAAATTTGACAAAATGATCAAAGATTTAGAGACTTTTTATTATACAACATTTAATGTTTTGGCCTTTGCTTATGTATGTACAATTATGCCAAAAATATACCTTAGATATAGACTATAACTTTAGATGATTTCTTATAGGATCTTAGTATGTGTGTGCCTGTTTTATTTTTAGTTTTGAAATATCTAGTTGAAATGATGGCACACCTAATGAATTTTGGCTGCAATTTTAACAATATTGCTTAAGAAGCATTTGCATCAGGACATAGTTTGCTGATTATACAGAAATTTTTCCAGCAATGTCTTGAATTTTGTGTGATAATTAGAATTGTATGTTAGCATCTTATGTTCACAAAAGTTGTATAAATATTTTACAATTTATCTAGTCATAATGCTGGCATATTCAAAGATAAATTATTCGTGTTATGAGTTGTTATTGTTTGTATTTTTAAGATTCGACAAACCATCTTTTTTTTCTTCTATTTATTTTCTATTAAATAGTTAATCTTGTATTACAATTTTGTTAATAGCAGAACTATCATGTCTATTTATTTCCTACCTCACATTTATCTATATTTTTATCATTTAATGTATCACATGTCTATCAATTCTTAAACATAGTAGTCTTTTTTAAATAATAAAGATTTTTTTTTTCCATACAGTATGGAACAGTCAGTTGTTCAGACTGCAAATATCTGGTGACTGGGTTTTGCTTGTACTGGTGGCATCACCCTGTTACTATCATTGATACACTGCAAATATCTGCATCTATCAATGTTAGATTCTAAAGAGTTTTAGAATCAGTTACCATAGAGATGAAGTGTACTTTTTTATTTTATGAAATACTACATTCCCTCTGAATTAAAGAAGATTCTTCTTGTTTGTGTAAATTTTCTTGTACAACCTTTTAATCTTGTTAATTTATTTAATGATATTTGGTCAGTGTTTCTAAATCAATTAAATTTATTTTATTTTTCTTTAATTGCAGGACACAATGACATACAGGATTATAAGAAGTACAGGTGACCTTACTGACTATATTCTTCTAAATGAGAAAGCTGGCACAATTGTAACAAGAGATGTATTGACTAAAGCTGCCTTTGATACTTACAATGTAAGTGTTTTACTTTTTTCTGAACATATTGTTTAATAAGTGACACTTGCAATGAAATACCCCTTTTTATACATTTTTTCTCTGCATAATGCTCTTTTTAAATAAATTTTGTTTTTGAATTTCGATCATTACTGTATACATTTATAAAAAATAAGATATTTCCCTGTAAACATATTAATTGAATAAAAATATTTCAGATGACAGTGGAGGCTGATGATGGCAGAGGTCAGACAGCCCAAGCTTTTGTTGAAATTATCATACTGCGTAACCCTGATGATGTTAGACCAAGGTGGATAAATTTGGAAGTCAATGGGCAATATAGGGAATTAAACATTCTCTACAACTTGCCTGAAAATACCATTGTCAGTAGAAAGCCGAAAGCTTTTGATGACGATCTTCTTGTACGTTATTTCTTTTATATGTTTTAATGCAGTGTTTCTTTTTTTCAGTTCTTCATAAGTTATTAAAAGATGCATGTAAATCTATATTTTCAAACAAGATTGTCAAATGAAATATTTTATGATGTATGAAAATCATTTAATGATATAAAAGTACATGTTTTACTGTAATACAAGAGTAGGAAATGAAATATTAACTGATTTTATATTTAAGAAGTTTTTCAGCCAACTTGTTCAATTGTTATCTTGAAACAGTGCCTTGATTATTAATAACAGTGACAACATGATGATACTTTGGAAATTTGTGACAATATATCTGTTCATATTGCACATCCTGGCTGTTGATACTTTATACAAGTGTTGAAGTCCTCAAATATTGATTTGCTATTGTAAGAATTATGGTTCTTTATCTAGATTATTTAAGTATTTGTTGTCATCATATTACAGGGCAGATTACAGTATGAACTTACTGGTGACAGTGTGGCATTAGAATATTTCAGTATCAATGCAGATAATGGTGATATTACCTTAACGAAAAGTCTTGAAACAGATTCATTTTCAGCCTTGGTATATAGGGTAAGTATCTATGACATTTTCAAATGCTGCTTTAAAGAAGCGCAAGTTTGTATACAAATGACATATTCCATTAGTTGTGTTACTTTTGCCTTTGTTCTATGATATCGCAGGATGACTGATAATATACATGTACTTTATGAATGGATATAGAAGGCAGTGTTACAATCAAATATTGCGTTTACAAAATTATTAATTAGAGAAAAAGAACTAGCAGTGTTGATCCATGAAAACACAATCCTCCATATTTGATATATGGATATAATGATATTTTGATTAATAATTACTTTGAAAAGTTACGCAAGAAAAAAAAAATACCAAAAAACAATGCAATTTATATTTAACTGTTTATGCTATATATTTTTACAGTTATATCTTGCTGTTTATGACAATGCACGACCTGGAAATAGAGCTGAAACTGCACTTATTATCACAGTGTTACGTAATCCTGGTACACCTTCATTTGGTGCCAATGAAATCCAGTTGAATGTCCTGGAAAATCAGCCAATAGGATTCACTATAAATCAGTTGACAGCAACAGATACTGATAATGTAAGTAAAATAGTTTCAGCCACCTTTGAAGCCAACAAAGCTCAATGGTTTTTTTCTTGATGTCCTTGCTTACAAAGCTGGATTGTGCCGAGAGTAAACTCAAACTCTGTTTTATCAACACATCTTTTAGTATCATCATATTCTGAATATTTTGTTAATGTGGTAATGGTTATGTTGAAATTAAAATGAAAAAAACTTAAATTGACACAGTTCAACAACAAGATCAATGTTTACTGTAAATTTGACTGCTTCACACAAAAGTAATAATAATAAAAATAATTTAGTTCTGACTGACTAAATAATATATATATCAAAAGCACAATGTTTTAAGACATTAAAAATGTGTTCATCTAAACGACATTGTATATACTTCCATCCTCTGACATGCTACACATCATAAATGTTTGATAAAGATAACAAGATTAAAGTAATATTTCAGGATACCATCATCTACAGCATTGAAGGAGCCTCTCCTGGAACAGAAACCTTTTTCGTACTGAGACAAAAAACAGGGTTAATAGTAGTCAATGCTGATTTGAGAAACAGTAAGCCAACTGGTGATGTGTACACGGTAAGTTTCTCTTTACTTACCAACATTTACTTAATTATAAACCTGAGGGAAAACTTTCCAGGACAATGATGTATTTATTACCATCCAGTCTGTACATTAGACACTATTATTAATGTATTTCAATTTTTAAAATGCAATGGTATGAAATATTAGAAAAAAATGCAAATTCAATAAAAAAAAAATAATAATCATTTGAAAAATAAAAATCATTATTGTTCCTTAAAGAGATTTTGAATTTGAATAAATAGGGAAAAGTTGTCTATTATTGCTACATTCATTCTAAAGGTTAACCTTTACAATGCTAAGAAACATCACGATAGCCTTTGCAAACAGGTACCAGGATAAATACCTGAATACATCAATATCTTTATAGGTAACAATTCTTTTATTTCGAGAAAATTGCATAAAGTTAAAGAAATTAAATAAACAACATTTTTTTTACCAAACAACAATTTTCTAAACATAGAAAGTGTAGAGTTAATGCCATGTAAAATGTTAATTACAGTTTACTGCAGTGGCAAATGATCAGGGCTTCCCACCAAAGTATGGTCGTATTTTAGTGACAATAAATGTTGATAGGGATCAGTCTAGACCTGTCTTCCAAAGGACAGAAGTGAATGAAACAATTGATGAAAGACTTGGAGTAGACCGCTTTGTAACTTCTGTTTCTGCCACTGATGCTGACATCCGCCAGGTAAGTAGTCTTATACTGTTTGTACTGATAACAGAAGTTCCTGAAATTTCATTTGAAAGTCACGCAAAAACTACATCAAAGCTCTAAAATGTTTTTTGGGTAAACATTGAAGCATAACATTTACATGTATTTCAGAGATCCTGGTTTTCATGAATTGGTTTTTATTAAAATCTAATGTTTCATTATTAAAATACATGTACATGAAAAAAAAATCATTACCAGATTTTAAATTGGACCTTGTAATATAATGTGATTTATTTTTGCAGGTTATTAACTATAAAGCTGTGAGTGACAGTAGTGCTATGGCATATTTTGAGGTTGGTTTGACAGATGGTTTCATCAATGTGAAGAAAGATCTGATGCTGACTAGACAGACATACTTTAGAGTAAGTTTACTCCTGCCTGGGAGGGATATGTAGTCATTTTAATAGGTGCAAAGATATTTCAATTTGTTATGTTTAAAAATGGTTATATATCTAGAATGTATGTATCATTCTATGAACCATCTAGTGTGATCATCGATGTTATAAATCTTAGCTGAGGACCATCTGCTGTATAAAGTATTAGCTACAGAGGAACATTACATTGACATTGTATTTTGATTTGTTACTACCTTTTCATCAAAAATATTAACATTACCAGTTAAACAAGACAAATTCCCAACTTGGACCTTTTACTATTAACCCAAACTGGTAGTTTTGTTTATATGAATATGACAGTATGGTACAGATATGTTACTTTCATATTTTAATTTTCAGATGGAAATTGATGCTTATGACACCTTCTTCTCCACCAATACAGCTAGAGCTGTCGTTAACATATTTGTGACTAGGAATGGTGATGACATTTCCTTCGTTAACCCATCACAATATTTCGTAACTGTTAATGAATACAGACAACTTGCTGATGAGATATTCACAGTTGCAGCTGTTGACCCTGATGGTGTAAGTTTATTTCTCTTGTAACATTGATAAGCAAAATACTACCTCATTAACCCATTATGATGTTTAATGGAAATAGAATAATGCTATAGAATTGTGCCACTTCATTGTTAATTTTAAATGCAGATTGTAAATTTTAGCATCCAGCATTTTATAGCCAGATCAGTTTAAGGGTAAATGTAAGCTGGCATGGCATTATACTGATGGCATACATGTTGCCTTCTTCTATATTCTGTCCCAAACATGCTAGCTTACAACAAAATATCACATGCAGAATATAAATAGAATCAATAGAGCAAAACTGATGTTTTTGTTTACAAAATAGATATATCTCATGCTTGGTTTCCATGTTTGAGCAGATGTATGAGTTAAAGTAGATTTAAAAGATGCTTTTATTGATTGTTCAAATAGAAGATTGTTGATTGTTTGATGAGGTGCCTTGGTAAATAATCTGTTATTGCTGGGAAAATGTTTGCAAATTTCTTTAGTTTCTATGTAATATATCTTAAGTATCTACTAGTAATTGTCTTGGTATTTATGTCTTATTTCTCCAGTATTTATCAGTTTCTTTGTCCAGTTCTTATGTTATGTCTTAGTTTTCCAGTGTCTAGGTCTTATTTCTTCAGTATCTATAACTTGTTTCCCCAGTTTCTATTTCTTATTTTCAGTGTCTTTGATCAGTTTTTATGTTATCTCTTATTCTCCCAGTATCTATGTCTTATTCTCTCAGTAAATATGTCTTATTTTGCCCAGTTTCATGTCTTATTTCCCCCAGTATCTATGTCTTATTTTCCCCAGTAGTTATGTCTTATTTCCTCCAGTATCTATGTCTTATTTCCCCAAGTTATCTTTGTTATTTTCTCAGTTTCTGTGTTTTATTTGCCCAGTCATCTACAGACAATCTAGTGTTTTGTGAGAATGCTCACATATTCTTGTGTAAACTAACATCATAAATTGTAACAAATTTCAGGATTCAGTGACATACCACATGAAAGATGCAAGAGAAGCTGAACAATATTTCTACCTTAATCCTTACACTGGAGTCATCTCAATCAAGCAGACTCTAGCACAAAATAAAGTCAATGATACATATGTGGTTAGTCTTTTGTTTGAAACTATTTATATTAATACTAGTTCATACATATATTTAACTTAGCATACATATTTATTTCTGGTATTGGTTGGTGTGGGGTGGAATTGCAGGAAACTAAGCCTCTTTCAGCTGCTTGCTATAGCAGGATCAATGGAATCATTAATGTCTTACATTTGGCTTATTTGTCTACATTTATTGTTGTCTTTTACTTGTAGTCTACTGTTTTGTTAAGGTCATATGTCATGACTTTTTGACATAGATAGTGATATAGAAGTTTTTATGAAATGAAGAATTTATCTTGAGACTGTTTGGCTCTAGTTGTACAATTTCAACACACTGTTTTTACTTGATACTGTTTTTTGTGTTTTCTAAAGATAGCAACAGAAGTCTTATGGCCATATTTCAATTTAAATACATGTGACTTTGCTGATTGTTGAATGATCAATGGATTATTGTTTTTTATTATGAAAACAATTTGTTTATGTTACAGTTTATGATTGAAGCAAGGGATTCTAGAATGTATTTTACAAAGACTGCTACAGCAAGAATGACCATCAATGTAGTCCGTAATGTTGCTCCAAGATTTAACAACCTCCCAGAAGATATCACAATCTCTGAAAATCGTGCAACAGATGAGGTCATATTCACAGTGATCGGTGTGGATCAAGATCTCCTTAGAGGAGTAAGTTTTATTTCATCTATTTTTGTCAAAAAAAGTTAATCGTTAGCATTGCAGATCATTTTTTGTTGTGCTTTTGATAAATGCTGATAATTCTTATTACAGATTTTTGTTGACTTTTAGAAAATACTCTTTTCTGCTTGCTATTGTCACAACTATAGTAGTTTCTTTAAAATTGATCCCCTATCTAGTTCACTTTGTCATTTTAAGTTAGCAAATTGCTAACAATTTTGTTGACAGCAGTTTCTTTTATGCCATGTTCTAACACTGCCATTGTTTAATATGACTAATATGCAAAGAAACTTTCATTTTCTTGTGAAAGAAAAACAATTCTGTTCTAATTCACAGCCCTGAAACTCTTTATAAGTAGCTATTTGCCAGTATACATGTGAAGTACAGTAGTTTAATAATGAGTCTGAAATTAACTTTAAAAAAACAAATCTTTGTAGTGAAGCAACTATTGACTTCAGTGTCACAGTGTTATATATGTACATATTTCTTATTTGACAGAGTGTGTTGGTGTATACTGTGGTTGGTGATGGTTTTGCTCCAGGTTTATTCAAGATTGATCCAGATAGTGGACAGGTCTCTATTAGATCCAGCCTCAAAAATGCCAGTGAGCTTGGCTACAACGTATGTCTTTTCCTATTTTTTTGTTTTTTTATATTTACAATGAAAAAGATTAGATATTTATGAATTATTGTAATATAAGATTAGTGTCCAAAAAGATCTAGATTCTCATAATTAAATATCTGTGTGTGTATTTAGTAGATTTATTTTGGTATGGAATACATGGTCATTTATAACAACATGTATGGTACATACATTTAAAACATACACAAGAATAAATAAGCCATGGCATGCACACCAGCACCAAAGATAGCACAAAAAAGAGAGTCTCTTATTTCTATTGTGATCCCGTGTTGGTGGCTTGTCATTTGGCCTGGCCTGAAGATGTGGTGGGTTCACACTTGCCCTTCACTGCTATAGGTTTATGCCATATCGGGCAGCTATCCATCTAGTTTGTTTAATTAAATATTTAATTGAATATATCCAGTGTTAATTTTGATTCCAAAAGAAGAATTGGATTTTATTTCTTGCCTTTGATTTTGAATTGATATATAACAAGATTTGTTTTATATATAGTTGAAAGTGGGAGTTTATGACAGCCAAATACCAAGCATGGTGACATATGGAGACTTAGGTATTATCATGACCCGTAATGATAATCCACCCGTATTTACTGAGAACCCATATGTGAGAGCACTAGAATGGCGTGACGTTCCTGGTAAAATTGTCGTTGAACTGACTGCCACTGATGCTGATGGAGTAAGTACATTTTATTTACTTCTTGTTTTTAGACGGTATTCTTGTATTGTTAGGTCTATTATTAATATATTTAGCATAAATTTTTGACATTCTATATTTGTATAAAGTATTTGCCCAGCTTTGAATTTTGAATTTTTTATCAGCATGTGTAGGGATATCTGTGTAAAAAAAATACTAAAATGTTATAAATAACAGCATAAAGTTGATGTGCAGATGGACCTGGTTTATTTTAAAGTCATAATTATTAAAAGGATTACCTGATGTCCTGACAGGGTGAAAATGATAAAGGTTTTACAACTGTTTTTAAAATGGTTTTATATGAAAGATTTTTTTTCCTCTCTAAAATCCTTTTGGTTGTTCTTATAGGAAGGTCTATACCTTTATATACTGTGGCATATGTCAGGGTTGATTATTATTTATGTTAGTTGACTTACTGTTATTGTTGCAGAAAGTAAAACACAAAAAATGTAATAACCAGGAGACTTAATAAGTGGTTGTACAAGTTATTTTATAAATGTGTACAAATATTTCAGGACACTGTGAGCTATAATTTTGGAACCAATGACCAAGTGATTTATGATTACTTTACTCTTGATACCACAACTGGAGTTATGACATTAAGAGACACTCTACCACCTCAACAAACAACCTTCACAGTAAGTGCTATCCTTTTTTTTAATATTCTGAACAAAAATGATGGGATTATTTTAAATGAAGAACTATCTGACCTGCATTGCTAAATACATGTAGCTGTAATATTAATATCAGCATACAAAAAAAAAGAAAAAAAAAGATTTTATTTAATCCTAAATTTTGTTACCATATTCTGTACACTGCTCACTTGTTTATGTTTTATAGGTGCAAGTTGGAGCAACTGACAACCGTGTCCCAGAAAAGACAGCATCATCTCGTGTGATTTTCAATATTGAAATTGATTCATTTAACCCTGCTTTTATTCCACCAAATGCTGTAATTGCCTTTAGAACAGTAGAGACTCGACCAAATGGGTATGTTATAGGTAGAGTAACCGCAGAAGATGGGGATCTAAGAGGAACAATAGTATATGAAACTGATGGAGTAAACCCAGCTGATTACTTCTTCTCAGTAAACCGAACAACTGGCGAGATCTACATTAACCAAAACTTGAAGGATGATATACGTGCTAGACTGACTTACACTGTAAGATAATACATTAATATATTGTAACACTTTCTACACTAGTAAAAAGAAAATCCTGCAGGTTTATTTTAGGTCTTAAAACAAATTTGGCTGGGATGGAGCTTTAGTTTTTTGGGAGATTTTTAAATAAACTTGAGAAAATTTGTCATTATCCATGGCAAAGAGTAATGGCCCTGTACTGTTGACATCAATTTACAATTTGTAGTACAATGTTTTGTACAACTAAGTTAAGACTTTATTTGTAGATTTATTATTTTGCCTCTGAAACATTAAATAAGGACCTTAAAAGAAAGTTATAAGCCAAGTATATTTGATTACACCTCATTAAAAACAACAAATATTAAGATTTAACAGTAACCATTCATCTGGTCAAATTATGTTAATGATTTGCCCAGCTTTGAATATGGACTTGTCCTTTCAATATTTTAGGTATTTCATTATCTAAGTACAAAAACTAAGCTGCCAACACTAAAGAGCCTGGTCATACTGCACAGTAAGAACGGCTGGCCTGGTTTTTCATTTTGGATCTAAGGTCAAAAGTTGACCATATGGCTGGCTATTCACTAGTGTAATATTCCAATATAAGACTTAATCTGTGTTGGTGTCCCATGAAACAGGATAAAAATGAAATTTTCTTCAACATTGTATTAATCAATTTGCCTATTAAAGTATTTAATGTTTGGTTTAATTTGGTTATTTCAGTTGTATGTAATTGCCTATGATAGTGATGTACCAGAAAACAAGGCAAGGGTAGAAGTCCAAATCACTGTAGACCGTAACCAAGGGATACCACAATTTCAACCTGCTGTTTACAATATACGACTGGATGAATTCTATGATTTAGCTGTCAGCGTTGTCAACATAACTGCAGTAGATCTTTTAGATAATGTAAGCTTACAGCTGCATTAAGCCTGTCAATGTCAAATTTGCAGTCACTTTCTAAGAGTTATAACTTCAACATGAATTTTTATTTTCCTTTGTAAACCTTTAACATATTCCTGCATGGTTCTTGTTTGTTAACAGAAACTAATTGTGATTTCCCTGTGACATCTCATGTTTAATTGACAAACAAGAGTTTTCCATTAGTTGTTTATGATAAATCAAAATACTAAAATCTAACAGCTGTCTGTACAGATCATGATTAGACTGTAAAAAAGAATCATTTTCAATAGCTTAGGTATTTTTAAGAATTTTAGTCATTGAAATTCCTTTCAAGGGAAGCCTTACCAGTAATTCAAAAACAGTTTGATAATTTGTTTTAAAATCTTAAGAATATGTGTTCTATTTTCCAGCATGCTTTTGATTCTAACAATAGAGCAAGGAAATTATGTCTTTCTGACATAAAGGCCCATTAAAACCTGTTAATTATAATTCTATGAATTTTCTGGTTACAGGATAGAATCAGCTATGAGATTCAAGATACCAGCTTAAACAGAATTGTAACGCAATACTTCTACATCAACTCTGTCACAGGCGATATATATCTACGTAAAAGTTTGATTGGCACTGACATTAATCGCTTTGATGTAAGTTCAAAATATCTTTGTGATGACTTTTTTTAGAGCACAACAGAATTCCGTTATTTTGTTTTTTTTTGCAATAGATGAGTTAGTTATATGTTGTAAGGGTTTATTTTATGTATGTCTTCTACATAAGCAATTTCAATTCTCTTTGAGTTAGTATTTGTTGTTCACTTTAACATCAGAACAAAGTTTTTTATGAAAAGTATTGTGATTCATTGTAAACCCTTTTATATGTGTCTGTGTGAAAAAAACTAGAAACTTTGACAGGCTGGAAAAATAATATAAACTGTCTGTAATATGGCTTAAACATGGAAATGAATTAAAAGATATTGAAGGATTTTCTTTCTTAAGTTACATTTCATATAGAACTTAAAAGTTTTGTTACAATAGCAATATGAGCTTTTTTTATTTTGAAGTCTAAGCTTATGTGAAAAAACTTGTATATATATATATATATATATATATATATGTTTACAGTTTACTGTTCGAGCCACTGATGATGGAAAACCTGCCCAGTCTGCCACAGCAAGTGTTACAATTGAAGTGATTAAAGCTGGTATACCAAGATTTGAAGAACCATATGAAAACACAGTTGGAGAGAATATTCGAATTGGAACTGAAGTTATTAAAGTTAATGCTGTCCATCCTATACCAGGGGTAAGTTCTACTTTAGAAAACAAATGGTTTGACTGCTTTAAAGATTTTGTAGATTTTAGATTATGAAAAACTGTTTTACAAACCATTTACTGATAGGAAAAAAAAAAATATCAGTAACTTTTATTATGACATTTGTAGACTTTGCAAAACTTAAGAAATAACAATTCTGAGGGCAAATATGTTAATAGTTTTACACTGTTTTCAATATAAACTTGTCAAAAGTCTGTACAATAAAAGATATAAACATATTTTCTCAGATTATGATAAAATTTCTGTGTATTATTTACAGAGGAATGATGACTTGGTATTTGAGATAATTGGTAATCCACCTAGTGCATATTACTTTGCTATCAATGGTACTGATGGTGATATCAGTGTCATCAGAAGCTTGAAAGAAGACGACAGGGACTTTTATATTGTAAGTTGTTGAATTGTCTATTCATCGATTTAGTAAGAACATCTAGATTATCAAATATTACTTAAAAAGATATAAGTGCATCTCTGATGCTTTTTATATGTTTAACAGTTGTTGCAGAAATTCACTGAATCTATCTTATAAATATCTTCAGATGACAAATGACTTTCTTTCCTTATTTTATCTTATTGACTTTGTCTTTCATAAACATGTAGTATTTTCTGTCATAAATAAACTTGAATAATATATATCTATTCTTTTTATTTTAAGATCAAAGTTAAAACCTATGATCCCAAAACAGAATCTCGCACTGCAACTCAAGACATCAGAATTAATGTGATAAGAAATATTAATGATCCAGTAATACCAGATGACTCGTATACAGTAACTTTATATGATGATGAGCCAAAAAATACAGTTGTCATTCAATTAAATGGAACTGATGCTGATGGGGTAAGTGAAACAAAGCAATGATTTTTCACTCTAAAAATTGTGTAAAATATCTTCATTTTCCAACCATAAACTGATTACTTTGTAATTATTTTGTTCAAGAACTTGTGTAATATTGTTATGAAATATAAAGCACTGAATCCGAGTAACATAAGTATTGAACCATTTATTGTTAGATTGTAGCCTAACGGATATTGGTTGCAAACATCGGCTGTTAGTTTTGATCCACTTGAACTTGTCCCCTAGACAATGTTTTAATAAACAGCTGTGAATGAAAAGTATCAAACACCATTTAAACATGTTTATTGTCATAAAGTTGTGATTTGGGTCCAGCTAGTACATAAAATAATGTACAAAGGGTGACCTAGCTGAGGTCTTCAACAGTAAATTTTCAAATTTTGCTGTAGGACCTTTACAGTTTTTGTGTGACTTAAAACCAAACTAAACCAACAAAAGATATAAGAGAATACCAAAAGATTCTAAGTCATGTCAGTTGACTACTTTCTACATGTTATAATCAGTTATTGTATCAATTTGTTTTGTTGAAGTTGAAATAGAATCTCACAACTAGCAGGATTCGAACCCACGACCTCCACATAAGGAACCCAAAGCTCTACCCATACACTGCTCTTTTGTCACACATATTTAGCAAAAAACAAATTCTTTTGATTTACAGGACCAGCTTGAATACTCTATAACTGGTGACCAGCGTTGCTTTGACACATTTAGAATACAATCAACTATAGAAAACTATGGTATATTATACTTGAACAAGGATCTTGTTGACACAACAGGCATTAACTTTTTGGTGAGAACAATAACTTATTGTAGTAGTGTAACATGTGTACTAAACCATGATTTCAATTCTGTCGGTACAATCACTTCTTTATTTAGTCAAGTCACATACACTTTATCACATAAATTACTAATTTTCAAAATATCTGTTTGTAAATGATAATGACAAGACTATTAATTTCTGATTAATATACAAATATAAGCTAATTTTCATAGGAAGGATTTTTTTCTTACAATCCTTAAAGTAGAGATTTGATTTTTAGAATGTGAGATTTCACATATGATTTATTTTTTGTAGTGCAACATTTTGGTCACTGACAATGGAAAACAGCAGCCCAGAACAGATACCACCAGGGTTAATATAAATGTCATTCGTGTACCTCCACCAGCTTTTGTCCCCAATAATGAATATAGATTTACAATCAATGAAAATGAAAATATTGGATTTGATGTTGTAACATTGAATGCAATAAAAGATGATTTAAAGGTGAGTTTATGCTTACAATATTATGTTATGCAACATTGATATATTATAACAGTATATGCAACATGTTATATTCTATTACAGTATACACAGTGCTGTTATAATTATCATATTTTGCAATTATAGATTTCACTTCTTTTAGTGTTTAGGATTTAATACAATGCTGGGGGGGGGGGGGGGGTGGAAGAGAGATGTTGCACTTTCCATTATTTCTCATATATATTTTTAAAAAGTACAACAACAACAGCTGATATTTGCAATTGTATACAGTAAATTAAGCAATGTGCAACAACATAATATGATAATATTATATAAAGATATAATGTATTGTTTATTTGTATTATTTACATCATGCCAATGTTATTAGATACAAATAGTTAACAATACAGAATGTATTCTTAGTGAGTTATAAACACATTCTGTTTTGTTTCTGTTTTTCTCATTTTTAATCACCAAAATGATAGGGGAAATTGTGTCTAGGCATTATAGTCTATGTAATAGATATTTTTTGTCAAACTCAAATTCCAGAGGTGTGACTACACTAGTGTAGGGACTTGCAGCATTTTTGATATTGAAATACTTTAAATATGTAATAAACAGTTTTGAATTTAAAACATGGAAATATTGTCCCGTAAGTTTATTGGTGGTGGAAGATATTAAAGGCCTACTGATGACATTCGACTTGTTTTTTTTGTTACAGGGACGTATCTTTTATGAGATGGTAGGCAATTACCCAGCAGAATCTTTCTTCCGAGTTGACAACAGAACTGGTCTTGTAGAGTTGTACAATGATCTAAGATTAGATTTATTGCGAACAATGACTTACGTGGTATGTTATTTTAATTATACATGTATGTTTTCCTGTTTTAAAAGATCCTAAATAGTATATATTTTTTCCATTCATAAGTTATATTGTTAAAGATTGTGAAGGACATAGATTATTTTAACTTCATGCAAAAGGATCATGTGAGGAAGCTATGTTGCCATGATGTAGAGTCAGTGATGCCTGACATATTGCATGTATTCTTTCACCACTGAAGCTCGGAAGTGAACAGATGACTATTGTATTATGAATTTCATTTAACCAACAAATGAATGAAATTAAATGAAAGATATATTGTTTAACATACTGACATGAACAGCACAAAAATAATTGTACATTTATGTATTTTAAAAGAATTTTAAATCAAGATTAAAAAAAAAGAGGAAAGATTAAGTGATCATTTGTTTTTTGTTTTGGTTAAAATGTTCATATTTTGTTTTGTTTCACAGATAAAGATTGAAGCCTACGACACAATGCGGCCCAATTTGAGAACAACTGCTACAGTGTATGTAACTGTTACGCGTAACCTCAATCCTCCGAGGATGATTCCTCCCACTGTAGAAATAAACGTTGATCAAGATGTGAAAATCCCATCCTGGGGATATCCAGTCAATGTTACAGATCCTGATAGTGTAAGCTATATGTTGAATGGAATATCCTGAATAAAATATTTTCACAATCATCTCTGTACTTTACAAAATTGCTTGAAAAGATAAAGCAAAGAAAGAAAATGTAGCATAGCCTAAAACTCTTTCTATAATGGAATTGAATCTAAATCAAATCTCGTTTTTTTCTTGAATAATGTTTGATTTGCACATGATTCTAATGTAAGTAATCTTTTGTTTCAGGCAAATCCAACCTGTTCTATCATTGGAAATCCAAAGGCACAAGAATACTTCCAGATCAACCCAGATACTTGTCTGATTACATTGAAGAAAAGTCTAGCTGATGATCCAGATCTTACCACAAGATATGCTGTATGTTTTTTTTCCTTGTATTTTAACCAGTAATTCAAAAGAAAGCGGTGCATTTAGATACTTTATTTGAAAATTTAGAAATGCTTTCTATGTTTTTTTATGTTTGAATATATTAGTTTTTCTACCCAAATGTCTTAAATTATGCACTGAAAAAATATTTTTGAACCTTGTCCACCAATGAAGCATAAAAGACAAATAAAATATGAAATTATAAAAAAAAGAATTAATGAATAGTTTGTTCGTATTTGTTTTCTTTTTCAAAGATTCAAGTTAGAGTTGATGACAACACCTCACCAAATAAGTTCACAACAGGTTTTGTTTATGTGAATGTAGAGAGGGACCAATTTAAACCTCAATTAAATCTCCCAAGGACAGTCACTGTTGAAGAATCAGCTCCAATTGGTTTTCTTGTTTTTGATGTGGATGCCACTGATGCAGATAAAAAGGTAATTGAAAACTGAGTTGTGTCACAACACAAGCAACATAATGGGTATGCGACCAGCATGGATCAAGACCAGCAGTCTGATCAGGATCCATGCCGTTCACTTACAGACCCTATAACAAGTAAAAAAACTGATAGCGAACAGCATGGACCCTGATCAGACTGCGCGGATGCGCAGAATGGTCTGGATCCATGCTGGTTGCAAACCCATTATGTTGGTTTTGTCGTGACATGGCTCAATTGATGCTTCAAGTTGTTTTTGTGGCTATCTAAAAATTGTAAGTTTAAATGGCAATGATGCTATATTTAAGCCTAAAAATGTGGACACAAAAAAACTAGGTTCAAAGCCCTCAAAACAAAGACAACAATTTTTTTGTGTTTTAATTTAAAATTACATATACAAATAACGTGATAAATTTAAGAGCATGCCAAACATATAAACATGTTAAATTATTGCATAGGTGCTCACAAGTATCTGTTACATTTGAAATTTATAATTCTTTTCGGACTTTTACCACATAATATGTCATAGACCTAAAGTGTATTCCAAACTAATTTAATTTTTAAATAATGAAAGTAAAATAGCTTTTGACAAGCGGGAGTGCTCTGATGTGAACAGAACAATAAGCTGTTTTTTATGCATCTTAGTATTAATTGTATACATCATCATCATCATCATTTTTATGTTGTGTGTTATTTTTGTGCTTGACCATAACATTTCTATATATGTTAATAGGGAGATTTTGTATACAACATCATTGGTGACTTCCCAGGTAGCCAGTATTTTGTGATTGATGATCAAGGTAGAATTACTGTCAGATACACACCAAAATCAGACACCTTAGAATCTTCTTCATACACAGTGAGTATTTTTCTTTATATATTTTTTTTTTAAAAGTACAAAAATACAAATGATAGTGTATGTTGTACTGTGAACCCAACAAAGTCTGAGATTTTCAAATTTTGTTAGTAGTCAATATTTTATGTACATTTTTTGTTGTTGTCTTCTGATCTAAAACAGAATGCATTTTAAAAACAATTTTGATAAAAAGCAAGGTATTTTAGGTTCTAAATCGATTTTTTTTTCTCACTAACAGTTACAAGTTGAGGTGTATGATAGTGTATGGCCTAACAACAAAGAGCGTGGTACTCTCACAATAAATATCAACCGAAACCCAGGAAAACCAGAATTCACACAAGATGTCTATGAGAGAACAATTAATGCAGATTTCCCAGTTGGTGATATTATTCTGACAGTGAATGCCACTGATTCTGATCAGGTAAGGACTTTCTTTAACAGTTATGTACATTAACAAATTCAGATTTTCATTGTTGATTTGGTTTCTTTTCCTTTTACCGGTGATAATTAAATATGCTGTTGTAATGCATTGCTGTTCTGAAGGAATTGCATTTTACTTTCTTTACATTCTTTTTTGTTGGTATAATTAATTTCATTACCCTTTTATATACCAAAAAGATTACATGTTTATTTAGATTTATAGATTATGATTTGAGGACCTGTGTTTCAAGGATGTCTGTATAAGTATTGTACTTTGATTTTATGGCTTATGGTTTTTAAGACATAATTTTTGTATATTTTGTTCTTACAAATTGTTCATATGGTGATTTTGGAAGAGTTTGATTTAAAACCCAGCCTAAAAAGACCATGTGTGTTTGTTCTTTATCTGGTCTATGTTGTACATGTAATAGTGTAATGTTTAAAAAAAAAATCAATATGTAATCAGTATGCTATGACTTGTTATTTCAGGACAAACTGACCTTCATCAAACTATCACCTGATCTAAATGACATTCTATACATGTCTGAGAGTGGAGTTGTGTACCTGTTTGAAGATTTGAGTGATTTAACTGTGAGAACTACATACACTTTCCAAGTGGAAGTCCGCGATAACCGTAAAACAAATCTACAACAGGATACTGCCACAGTCCGTGTGAATGTTATTCCTCTGGCTGGACCACCCACCTTCCAAAACCGATTCATCGAAATTGAGGTTCCAATTACTCAAGCAATTAACTCTACCTTCAATTCAGTCATTGCATCGGATGTTGATCTAAGAGTATGTGTTTTGTATTCTTATGAAGTTTTTAATGCTGAATAATTTATTCTTTCTTTATCTCTAATCTGTATGTTGTTTACTCCTGCCAGTTTTAATAACTATATAAATAAGGCATTATTAGAAGTATTGTTTCAGTAGAGAAGTTGTATAAGCAGAAATAGATACAGGCTTTGGTTGTTTATTTAAAGATACAAGAACAAAGAATTGAATTTTCTTTCCTTTTAAATAAAATGCCAATGAAATGAGTTACTGTTGATAATTGGTTTGTTATTTGACTCATAACTTTGGAAAACATTTGTGTTTGTAGCAATTAAACCTAATTTTTGTATCACAATTCAGTGTCATTGTGGGTTAAGTACTAATGTTGCATCATTTTATTCTGCAGGGTCAAATTCGGTATGTTTTGGATGGTATGCCACCAGGGACATCATACTTTGGTCTGAATGAAGAAACCGGAGGAATTTATGTAACAAATAGTCTTGTGAATGACTTTAGACAGTACACGGTAAATGAATTACATTATCATACTGACCCATATATATCTTGTGTATTGCCTGAATTAAGAAGTTTGGCAAGACACCAGTGAAAATATGGAAAATGTGTTTCATTGCAGTGAAAAATAACTTAACAGTGAAAATATGGTAAATGAAAATATGCGTTTTATTTCATCAATATTTTTTAATTTTTCCTTTGTAAGTAGATAATTACTGTATTGTAGTTGATATAATATATATACTCTTTACACATTGCATACATTTAAGAGACAAATTACAGATATGAATAACACTTCATGTTTATTGATTTGCTCTTTTTATTTTATTTCAAGCTCCTTATCTATGCCTACGACACAGAACTTCCAAAAGATAGAGGTTTCATTACAGTTTCCATTAAGATTCTAAGGAACTTGAACGCACCAAGGTTTGACAGTGGGCAGACTACATACTTTGCCACAATTAAGGACTATGACCCGCCTGGAACATCTGTTATACAACTAAAGGCTACTGATAATGATATTACTGTAAGTTTTTACTGGAATTATTGCAATCTTGTACACTAAATTAATATGTCAAACCAAATTATACAATGACTAAATATTTGGGGGGGGGGATAAGTATGTTTACTTTTTGTTTCTGTTTCATTTGGAAGATGAAATGTGCTTTTTCAACATTGGGATGTATATTTTTGATTATTTTATTATGAAATATTAATAAGTCTGCTCAAAAGCCCTCCCATTGTTTAGGAAGTATTATAATGTTATTAGCATTTTTTTCATGACACAGCAATTGCCTTAAATTTTGTATTATAACTTGTTTGCTATTTTATAGGTTTGAGTGTTAGTTTCATTTGTTTTGTTTTCCGAAAAAAAAAGAACAAAAAAACATTTGGTAACTTAATTTTTGAATTTTTACATGGTGAAACTTCTGTGGTATACAACATCCCATTTTATAGTTATTTCTTTGATAAGAAAACATGATATAAGAGAATATATATGTATTTTTTTTGTTGAAAATTTAAAATAGCTGTAGTTTTTGTTGAATTGTAACAATTTGGTAGAGATTTTCTTTTCTTTTCTGTGTATACATGTTTTTATACATAATGACATTCATCTGAAAACTTCTTTTAAAAAACAAAAAAAAACAAAAAAAAAACATGGATGATGTTGTTAATGTACACATACTGTTTTGAAAAAGAAAAAAAAAAAAACCTATTAACGTTATTGTTTTTTTTTTTCTAGTCTCCAGAGAACCTTGTGGAGTATGGGCTGGCTGTTGGCAATATTGGCACAGATTACTTCAGAATTGATCCAAACACTGGACTTATCTCCGTTATTCAGCGTGCTTCATTTGATCCAGCTAAACCAAATACATATGTGGTAAGTTTATTATTGTATATATTATACATGTACCATTGTCACATGTTCCTTATTCAAATTTAAACTTTAGTTTACTTTATTTGATTGACATCAACTTTAAAACCATTAGCACAATAATCTTTGTTGTCAACAAAAAGTTTTTGGTTTTCTTAATTTGTCTACAAATATACTAGTCCATGTATCTGGACATGTTATCATACTGTTGGTTATTTGATTATAACATGACATGATTTTTATGCCCCAACTACTAAAAGTGTTGCTGGAGAATGGTGGTTAGGGCATGGGGAGGGATATGTGTAGGTTCGGCCTTGTTTGACATAACTGGATGTTATATGACATAAGTGATTATGAAACTGCTTGATCTGACAAGACTTGTGAAATGTTAAGGTCTATATGAATGTTTGCCCAAATTTTTACTTTTTATAAAACACCTTTTTTTTTTTAGACCATTTTTTTTCTTGATTAAAATTACATATGTACCTCAGATTGATATTTTATTTTCAGTTATTCATTACTGCCAGTGATCGTAGTGTAGACCTTAATGATGTTCGAATGGTAACAGCAACTGTTACTGTTAATGTAGAACGAAATGTTCCTCCAACAATTTTAGACAGGACAGGCTATGTGAAAACAATAACTGAAGGTATTCCAATAGACACAGAAGTGCTTGTTGTAAGAGCAACTGATGCAAACCCAGCTGACTCATTAAATGGACAGCTTGTATATGATATTATAGATAGTGAAGCAGCTAAGAAATTCCAGATTGACAGAATGACTGGTAATATAACAACAAGAATATCTCTAAAAGGTATAAGCCCCCTCAGTTGGAACTTCAATGTTCTTGTGAGTGACAATGGTATACCCTCATTGAATGATACAGCACAGGTTACAATTAATATTCAGAAAATTGGTGGACCAAGCTTTGATCCAGCAGAACTTAGTGTGAACTTTGATGAGAACCTCGCAGATGATGCTTTTGTTGTAAGGTTGAGAGCAAATGATCCTACACCAGATGGACCTTTGATTTATGTGATCAGAGGAGATGGATTGGCCCCTGAATATTTCAGACTGGAAATGGATGGTGATTCAGCCGTAGTATATCTAAACAAATCATTCTTGTTAGATAGCAACAAAACACCATTTTATAAGATGAGAGTTCACGCATATAGGCAAAACGATCCAACTGTCTATGCAGAAGCAATTGTTTATGTATATGTAAGAAGGAATCCAACAACACCCAGTTTCTTACATGGAGATCTTGTTTTCAACATTGATGAGAACATTCCTGTTAATACTGCTTTTGGAGATGTAAATGCAACTGACCCAGACAAAGGCTCGAATGGAGAAATAAAATATACTATAAGTAACACTGAATTGTCTCCAAATTATCTACGAGAGTATTTTGCTATCAATGAGTTCACTGGCAAACTTATAGTAACTTCAAATCTAATGCAAGACCCAAAAACATTCCAATATGTGATGACAGTAGTTGCTCAAGATCAGGGTGTACCTGTGAGAGAGGCATATGTAAAAGTTACAGTGAATGTGTTCCGTAATCCAAATCCACCACGATTTTTGAGGACTCCATACAGGACAGAAATAAATGAGAATGAACCAGTAGGCTATGAAGTTATCCGTGTGGAAGCTGTTGATGCTGACAATGATCCAGTCATTTATGCAATCAAGGATGAAAAGCCACAATCTCTCTACTTTAAGATTGACCCCAGGACAGGTGTTATCACAACAAATGCAGTCCTGTATGATGACAATGTACTGTCTTACACCATAACTGTAATGGCTAGGGATGATACAGCAGCTTCTAGAGTGTCTGAGATCCCTGTTATTGTTGACATATTAAGAAATCCAAATTCACCAATATTTACTCAAGCTGGGGGAAATGTATCAATTTCTGAATACAGTGAAATTGGTTTTGATGTGATCACTTTAACTGCCACAGATAAAGATAATCCAAACAGCAACAGTGGTATCCTCCGCTACAAATTTGGTACAATACAACCCTCAGATGCAAATCAATTTTTCTCTATCAGTCCAATAGTTGGTGAAATTAAAGTTGCAAAAAGTATGATAAGAACCACACCTATACCTATGTCAGTCTCTCTTGAAGTGCTAGCATACGATTTGTCAGTTCAGCGCAAGACGGCAACAACAACAGTAACAGTGAACATAGTACGTAACCAGTTTGCACCAGTTTTCCGAAACGGAATATCATATGAGGTAACAGCATACGAAACTGATCGTACAGGATTAGTCATAGTAAATCTACCAGCAACAGATCCAGATAGAAATGTGCCACTCAATGCAGATACACCTAATGCTGAAATAGAATATAGTTTAGAGGGTGACATCAACTCTTACTCGAGATTCTTTGAAATAAGACAAAATGGAGAATTGATCATTAAACAACAGCTCTACTTCCCAACACTTCAAGACAACTTTATCACAGTAAGTTGATGATCATTTTGCCATATTTTGTTCTTATTTTCATTTCTGATTGATTAGTATGTCATATTATAAAAAGTGTCTTTATTCCTGGTTACCATACTTTATTTTATGTGACAAAGGCAAATACATTTATGGTTGTTTTTGTTTTTTTACATCTGACTATTGAAACCTGCATGCTTTTGAAATGTTTAAATGACACATTAAAACACAAATGATTATCTGTTCTATTTTAGTTAAATGTCATAGCCTCTGACAAAGGTTGGCAACCAAGATCCACTACTGCAACAATTAAAGTAAATATAATAAAGTACAATGGCACAGATGCAGAACTTGGCTTTATTCAACCAGTCTGGGTGTAAGTTGTTTTACTTTTTTCAGTTTACAAAATTGTATTACATGAATAGAGATCTGGATATTTTATGTGGTTTTATCATTTACCTTCTTCAGATAGCAGAAAATTGATGGTTATTTGTCATGTAAAAAAGTTTTGATTTTGTATGTATAAACATATCTTGCACTGTATGAAGCCTTTGTTCCTTTATAACCGTTTAGTTTATTAAAATGCTGATTGAGAATAGATAGATCTTATGTTGTGTAAAGTAGAAGTAAAGTTCATATTGACAGAAGTTTGTGAGATAGATGTTATGACTGTATGAGGTGTCATATATACTACAGTTTGATGAGATGGTGAATGGAGTTAAGATTGAAAGTCTTAACTTGTATGTCTACTGTTTGCCTTTTCAGAATACCAATTAATGAAAATGAAAGAGCTAACACAATAGTAGAGGAACTTGATGTTGTTAACCAGGATGGTGCTGTTGTATGTACAATCTTAGATGGAAATTTCCAGGGACAGTCTGGCCCTCTGTTTTCATTTGAACCAGATGACTTTAACAAGAATTGCAAGTTAATCTTACGTGGAGAACTGGATTATGAGAAACAACAGAGATACATACTCAGCGTGCAAGTCGCCGAGTCAAGAACTAAACGTCAAGGTATTGCATTACCCATAATAATTACCCTAATAACATTATCTTTAAATAAAAAAACAACCAATTTTTGCATTTTAGCATGGTCAACATTTTGTTACACATTTAACCTGTTTTTTTTGCAGTTATGTATTTTTATTTGCTTGAAAAATGTTTTAGAGGTTAGCGTTGTAGGTTTGAAATCATTATTCTAAACATCAACATTTATGGCATTTATATTTCAGCACCATCCATATACAATGCATGGAGACAGGCAACTGTTTATATAAATGTGATAGATGTAAATGACAACTCACCAAAATGGGTTATCCCTGTTTATCCACAACAAAATGCTGAAACAAAGAATAAATACTTTGGGCTATACCAGACAGGCATGTTTCCACAAACATTGATCACCTCCATCTCTGTAAGTAACAATTGTTGTTTTATACATGTATATTTTTTAATTTTGCAATCCTGTTTGGCTGATTAATTTATGTTGCGACCTACTTGCTTTTTCATAGCTTTCATACCACCACAACAATACAAATGTACACTATCTGTATGAAAACTGTTAAGCTGGTGTTGTGCTTTCTTTTTTGAAATACTAGTAATGCATGGATACAAATCTATGGTATCTATATATGTAAAACTCATCAGTAAAGATAGTGTTGAGGCCTGTCATCACCAGGTAAGCTGGAAATTCACCTTTACAGAGTTGTCTGGTTGACATGTTTTATATAGATCCAACTAATGATAATTATTGTCATAAGTTTTTTTTAATTTTCTTAACCCTTATCCTGCGGATGGTAAATGATTTTACCCATGTAGTTTCTGAAGTTTCAGCATGGGCATCAGAGTTGTCTGATCATGGTGTGTACTCTATACCACTCAGTCAATACTTATTTTGTATGTCCAGATAGAATGATACTACCATAGACAAGTCCGTTTAAAATATTAACATTGATAAAGGTTAAAAGTATCTATTATGAATAAAGAGTTGTCACTTGAATGTTTATCTAGGCTACGGACATTGACTCTGCAAATCTTGGCCTTGTCGAGTACAACCTTGGTCTGGAAGAGAAAAATTTCCCTGCAGACATCAACATGCCATTCTCACTTAATAGAAATAAAGGAGACGTAAGAACTGATAGTGAAATGAAGGGAGAAGTTCCAACCTATAGGTTTCCTGTTCAAGCCAAAGACAACCCAGGCCAATCCACAAACCAGAACAGTATTGATGCTGAAGTTATTGTAAGCTTTTTATCATCTAACTTTTTCATCTAACTTTTAAGATTTTTAGACATACCCATGAATTAAACTTATGATTTGATAATTTTTGAGTAATGATCAGTCAGAGGTCAACAGTTAAGAAATTGTTTAATATCTTACTAGTTAAACAGGTTAAATAACAGGTTATATGGCCATTTATAAATGATCATAAGCTTATATAACATTAACCATTACACTGGGGTTATATGGCAAACAAACATTTGTACATTGCAATATATAACCTGTCAAAGTCTTTATAATGAACAAATAATACTAATACCAACATTATTGTAGTATCTAAAAATGTATATACATTTAAAAAATATAGAGATTCTATTGTTTATGAATGCACAGAATGGAAAACAATAGAACATATTTCACCAGATTTACTTGATTTTAAAGCCAAAAAATACAAAAGGGCAAGTTAAAGCAAAATTAAATGTCAACAAGAAATTATTCAGCATTTATTTTTAGGCATATTTTCATTTTGTTTCTTGTTGTTTTATACAGATTCATCTTGTAGAAGACAAGCATAGATTTATTGCTGTGTTACCTGGTGTACCTTCTAACTATGATGAAGAGGTGGAGACTCTACGAAGGTATATATTAGTTAAATTTTCATAGTTTTTTCTTTTTTATTTCAAAAACTATGGCAACAAATATTTGATGTAGAAAATCATATTTTAGCAGTAAGAAAGGTAAATAAGTATAAAAAAACATCAACATTTTTATCTATGTTTGATAAACCTTCATAAAAGCTCATGATGTTTTTTTGTATCTTTTACCAATTTAATTTTGATTCAAGGATATTTTCTTGATTTATTGATAAGTAAATAAATGATAGTGAATGAGACCAAATGTTAATTATGAAGCTAATTGATTCATGTTATTCATTTTTTCAGAGCAATCCAAGAATTCACTGGCTACATCTGTTTGGTAGATAAATATCAAGATAAACGTGTACAAAAGGGACAAAATGAGGTGGAGAGAATGAATACTGGGTGAGTGAATTTTTGCTTAGCAGTTCTATTAGGCCCCTTATCTGGTCCTTGGAGTAGACTATAGGTTTACTGTCTGTCTGTATGTTAGTCCTGCCAAACATCCAATAGTTTATGAGCTTTATTTTGATCATATCTATCTTAGAAAAAAAATAAGGAAACTATGTAAACTGTCTGAGGTAATTCTCATAGGGTTATGTGGAAAAATGGCAGAGAAATATTAAAGAAAACGTCCATAAACACAAAATGTTGGAATATCCATCTGTCAGTCAGTCGTAAAAAATAGTTTCCTTACAGTCAATTTCTTAATCAGCTTTTGATAATACAATAAAAGGGAGTGGAAGAATATGAGAAAAGGGAACTCATCCATTTCCATCTTCATTTATCTATCTCCTGGCATAGAATGTTCCTTTTGTTAAAACTGTTTTACTATATTTCAGAACTGATATAGTTTTTGCCTTGGCTCAGCCAGACGTCATGCCCAACTTCCCACTTCTTCTTAACACAGACCCAGCTGTTCAAAAGTAAGTGATTTTATTTTATAATTCAATAATTGCTGCAATCAGATTTTTTTAAAGAAGAAAAAATATCTTGTTCATATTTAATAACAAAAATATTGCCATGATATGTTTAACTTTTTTCATTTTTTGTTCACTGAAGCTGGTGTTAGTTCTAATTCAAATACAATGTATGATAATGAATGCATTAAACCATAACCTGTTGAATTTGTGCAGTGAATTTGCCCAGATCTGAATTCAGAACAATCTGTTCAAAATATAAGGAATTCATATGAAAATACAAAAATTGAGCTATCAACAGTATAGAACCTGGTCAGATTACACAGTGCTGCAGGCTGGTCTGGCTCTATACTGGTGGCAGTGATTTAGAGCAGGTTATGATCTTGTGGGATTCTATAAAACCTGTACCTTATATCAAATTGTCAACAGCCCAATGCTTTATTTACTTGCTTTTTTTAAGTACTCATAAGCTTATTAGTCAAATTAGAAAAAATTATATTAACCTTTATATTCCATGAATATTATTCTTAGACACAACTATGATTATTTTAATGAAACACTATCTTTTACTTGCAGCTTATATGATGGTCAGTTTATACGGTTCATTAACGATGACCATAACCTGAAAGTGGAGGAAGTTCACCAACCATATCCTGGTGCAGTCACACGTGACTTTGTTCTCACAAAATCCTATATCTGGTGGACTGATGATCCATGGGCATCCCTCATTGCACTTGTTGCTATATCTATTTTACTGGCTATTGTGGGAATTATAGTCCTTGTGTTCACTCATTCAAGGTATATTTATTTTTAGATCTTTTAGAACTTTATTATTTAGAATATTTAATTAAGTATACATCGTATAAAAAATCATGGTTTTGATGGGTAAATGCAGATTTTTGATTTTACTTTCTAGTATTTTTGATTTTACTTTCTAGTATTTTTGATTTCACTTTCTAGTATTTTACATTAAGATATTAAAACTGGTCATATGCTATGAAACTTTGAGTGCTTGCAGCAAATGGAGGTCACATAATATTTCTATGTACTAGTGTAATATAATTCATTTCTTACATAATTTACATATACATGTACCTTTTATAATAAAAAATGTGATGATTGTATAAAAATGGAGCTGATGGAAGATCTCTATCTATTTTTAGACTTATTAAATACAGTGACCCAAAAGAATCTTTTAAAACAGGCTAATTAATTCAATGTTTAAATTTTCAGATACACTAAATACATTAACAACTACCGAGTCTACCAGACGACTTATCAGACTCCAGAGTTTGTAGAGCCGCCAAATTTCTTAAGAGAATACGAGACTCAAAGTTTAGCTATGTACGTGCCGCCTGACGATGCTATTGGTGCTGATGGAGAGATACATTTGCATTTATCAGCTGAAGGAATCTCATCAATAGATCAGACAGGAACAGCTGCTATAAATCCAGTCTACATTCCGTAAGTATTGTTCATTTATCAATTACGAGACAAAACTTACCAATATAGCTAATTTAGTATTTAGAATTATACAATATGAATCATTTAGTCATTAGCAAAACCAAAACAATTACTGGTAATTTAAATATAGTTGATAACTGTCAATGCAAACAAGTGATGCCTGATAGAGATTTTTTTTTTCAAGTTGACATGTAATGACTGGTCTAGACAGTAAGAATATCGGATTACCTGGCCTCTGGCGAGACTGATAAAGCAGCTATTATATATTGAATAAATTAAATGAAAGAAAACAGTATAATAGATTCATGTCTCTCGGCCATACTGCAAATCAGGTGTGTATAAATGCAAAGCAAAATTGGTAGAGGATTCTATAATAATTTCAATAGGATTGTAACATAATGACCATCTAGAGAACTTGGGGCCTCTTGTTCAACCATATCACTTCTACCCTATGTAGAACATGTTTAAATAATATAAATAAATGGAGTAATAACTATGATTTAACTTGTGACTTTCAGAGACAATGATGAACAAACTGTGGTACAAACAACTTACACTCGTGATGCACAAGACACTACTCTGCTGTAAATACAATATACAACTGCTTGCCATATATCTGAACAATAAAATAATGTGCAAAAACTCTACAACCATGTGTCATTATAATTCTGGAACAAATAACCAGAAGGAAAAAAACAAAAAACTTTGGACTCATCAGAATGTGCAAACAAAATATAGACATTAGTGTTTGCAACTGTTAATGTTGAAAAATCAAAGAATTGTTACGAATTTAGATAAAGTTTATTTTGGATAGAATTTTACTATTTTTTCTGCTTTGTTTTGAGCTTCTATTACTTTACACTTTTCTGAATTTTGACACAAAATATTTCAAAAGGGTTGTTATTTTTTTTAGTATATTAGAGTTGTTAAATTTATAACATGAAATGTTGCAGAATATAGCTGTTGTTTTTTTTTTTTTCTTCAATATTTGTAGTTGAGCTTTTATAGACAGTCAAACTTTTTCAAAATACTATTAGGTCCAGTGATTTTTTAAATCATAATAGTTGTTTGTTTTTTACTATCAAATCACACTTAACATTTATTCTCATTTTTGTTATATAAATGCTTTTCCCTTTCCCACAATACTTGCTTTAGCAGCACCTATTATGAATTTTTAATGAAAAATTTGTCTCAGTTTTAATTGAAAAGAATCTCTTTTGTTAATATTTGTACCTGAAATGATACTCGAGTGTTAGTGAGCTTAGTTTTATTTTAGAATTTCTCCTATAAATAAGTACATATATATTATATATAAAGTTATATGTTTTGCAACTATAGTTATGCACAAATAATGTTTACTGCTGTTCTTATATATATATATACATACATATCATTTTTATTGTTACAGTGCTAAGAATTATTTTTGTACAGTGAGAGAGATAAATCCATGTCATTATCTCCCCTAGACTTATACCTACTGTTTATATACCAGTATTGGTATATACATTAGTTACTGTGAATGGGGTGAACTATTACTCTTTGTATTGTTCAATTTGTGCTATAAATGAGAAAACAATGAATTTTTCATAAATAGCTTTTGCTAAATTTGAGATTTGTATTTTTTTATAAATAAAGTAATAAAAATGATTGATAATATTTCTCCTTTGTTGTTTTTCCCATAAAATGTTTAAAAAGAAAAAGAAAATTGGCCTGATATTTAGAAAGGATTAATTATTTAGTTTGAAATCTTGGTAAACAAAATGGTTTAGAATTATTTCAGTTAGAAACATTAAGGGAACAGTGACCTACTGGTTATGGTGTCTGCCTCACACCCAAGGGATTGTTGGTCTTATTTGTATTATATACAACACTATAAAAATAGTACAAGTTAGTGCCAGGATGTGGATGAGTGTTTTGGATAATATACCGGTACAAGATTTCTTCATAATGGAATTCATATAATGATTAACTGAAAGATATTTATTTTTGAAAAAAGGTACATGCAATCACAATGATCTTGATATGAAGTCACATTAACCTTTTCTTTGAAATTCTAAAATTAATTCAAATCCACAATATTTATGTCTTTGCAACACCCTGAATCGGTGCATCTTAATACTTCATACACTACCAGTCGCTGCTTAACTCTCTGAATACCAACATCTTTATTAGCTTACCTAAAACTCCCCTGTAAAGCTACACCAGCCTTTATGATGCAACTATGTAGTGGTAACACTGCTAGCTTCTAAATTTTAGAACTCTTCCATTGAAAGTCACAAATAGGCATATTTTTCCAACATATTCCATAACACAAATATGGAATAACCTCCAATTCATTACTTGATCTATATATTGATTGGAGTTTGATTGCTGTTGGCTAATCTGAACTACATTTGAACTGAGTATATAGCACACTAAGGATCTTAAAACTACATTTGAACTGAGTATATAGCACACCAAGGATCTTAAATATTCAGAAAATGTGTAACTGTTCCTGTAAGCCTCAACAAGAAACTCATTAAAAACAATGGGGCATTTGTGTCGTAGTCACAAGAAAAATATTCAGTATGAAATAAAATTATTTCACCATTTAAGTAAAAGATGTTGTTTATAGAAATGATGAATGTACAAATAGTGACAGTTTCCACCACTAAACCTACAGTTTATTTGCTTGGGAAGGAAAATGGTAGCATAGGTTCATATATAGTAAAACACTTCTTTTTTTCCAATTGTATTTATTTCAATTGTTGAACAATAAAGATAAATTATGATCTGAACACAGGAGTTGATGAGCATGTAATTTTAGTTTATAGATAACACAAATGTTTGTAGCTAACATGTAGACCTTTGATATTAGTGTTTGGATTAATGTGTGCAATATTAAAATGTCTGTTACTGATTTACTATCATTTACAAAAAGTGATAACTATAAAATTACCCGCTTCAGCTTCTTAAAATATATGGAGCAAACTTTTATTTTATCAATAGCACATCAATAATTCAATTATTGTCCCTGAAAGCGTGTTTCCTTTCTTTTTAAAACACTAGCTCTTCCATAAAATTGTTTTGTTTCAACTGGCAGTGCCAGTTAAAAAATTTGATCACTGATCTAGTCTTGTTTCACATTCTCCCATGCACTGTTATGATCAAGTTACTCCACTGATGTTACTGTCCTGTTTTGTATTTCCATTGATTTCATTGTAGAATACAAATGAAACATTTTGTATTGTATCTTGTAAATACCATGTCTGAAACAAAGGGAAGCAATTCTATATAATTATTCACCAAGAATTTCAAAAATAAAGTAAGTTGAATGAATATAAATTTTATTAATTGACAAAAAGGAATAAAAAATAGTTTACTTGCAATAATTTAAATTCAAAGTTGTCATTTTGTTAAGAATAGACGTGCAAAAGAAACTCTGCTTTGGATTTGGAATAATTCTTTAGTTTCAAATTTATAATTATATGATGTTTGGTATCATAATGAAGGTTATTTAATTTCCTACAGAATGGTATTCTTGTATTCAAATAGTTTTATATAAACGCATGGTTTTCAATTTCGTGTATAAACGGTCAAAATAAAAATTATACAAATTTGTGATATTGACATAGATTCTGATGCTGTGAATTAAACTGCAGTTTATATGACTTGTAATGATTTTGTTGTGATCATTTTGTCTATATCAGGGTATTGCTACAGTGATGTCTAATTAACTGAACAATATGATGTCTCATAGATTTGATGTAACATTGTATGAGATCAAGAAGTATGTTATTTACATGTATTTTAATTTATAGAGCATTCTGCTCACATTTTGTTGACAACATGCTTTGACTTCACTTTACAATCAAGAAGATCCCAAATAAGCTCTATAGAACTGAGGTCAGGAGAAATGGAAGGGTGAGGCAAGATGTTGACACTTATTCTGTTTATGTATTGCTGCTTCACATCATTACACAAGTCATAAAACTTTGTTTAAAGTGTTAAACCATATCACAATTTGTATTTTCATATTGAATCTTACCATACATTCTATACAAACTGCTTTTTGAAAACAAATAATATCAATGTGGTTACTTAAATAAACTAAATTATGGTATAAAACATCACATAATTTCAACAGTGGATATCGCACATTCATACCAAATGCCAGGTGCAGTTTTTCATTTGTGTTTGAGTATTTTCTTTATTTTTTTTGGTTGGGTTTTATGCCGCACAGTATAGGTCATCTGGCAATTTTCCAGGTTTACTGGTGGAGGAAGACGTCTGGTGTACCTCTGTGCATTATTTCAGGCACAAATGAGCACCCCGAGTAGAACCACTGACTTTTCTTATGCTTGCACATGAAAAGATTCAAAGATGCTTGCGCAACTCAGGCAGTGAGGGGCAAGTCGTTTGAAGTCAAAAACCTTAACCACTTGGTCACAGATGCCCCATGTTTGAGTATAAAATGAAACATCAATTGAAACTAAACAGAATGAATGAGTGCACCTAATGTTTAAATAATATTTTGAAATATTATATTGTTGAGACATCCTTTAAATGAGATTCTAACTTTTGAAAGTAAATACCTTTATCCATTGAAATTCATTAAGTTTTTTTTATATATAATTTAGAAACCAAGGAGAAACCATTGTTTTACATTAATAGCATATTTCTGTTATATTATTTTGGATATATAAATATATCTACTTACGGGATGTTTGTTTATGACAGAACTGGGCAAGTGTTTCCATTCCATCAACTCATCCATGCCTAAATTCTGTCTCTTCTGTACAAAAAAATAAAATAATTCTCAGACTTTTTACCAGTAAAATGAAATTCAAACTAATACATTTGTTTTTACTTTATGTTTCATTTGAATTGTTAATAAGGTAATGTTGTTTCCTAATTGCTTGTGCTGCTTAAAGCATTTTTCAGGCACAAGTGTGCACCTTGTAAGAGATAGAACCATTAAAGATCCTGTAACATAAACTTTTTATGGTTTTATATCATAAATATGATGCTCAAATTAAAATTTATCAATTTTGTAAGTTCCAAAAAGCATTATTTATAAAGATATTACCGAATTTAACAGTTCATGTAAATACATATTCTTAGATGTTTGAAAATTGTTTAATAAGCATAATTATATACATATATATAATTTCACTTAAGTGTGGTATACAACCTCAATTACAACATACAGGATCTTTAACTACCAGTAAGCTATCTGAACAGATTTTCTCACATTAAAGACTAGAAACTTGAAGCAGGATGGAGCAAGTGAATTATGGACAACAATCTGAACTTCTTGCTCAGTAAATTAAATACAGGTTACATCCTTACAGGTTCATCATCACTAATGACTCATTATTTTCACCCCATATGTGATCATTTCTATACAATGAAATTTTCCTCTGCTAAAAATATTTCATAATTTCTAATAAATATAGTGTCAAAGTGTGCTGAAACTGTGCAGCCTGACCAGGGAACCCTGAGAATATGGAAATTTAACAAATTTCAAAATATTTCAATATACATCAGTGGAAACAGATTAAATATGACTTAGGCTTCAATGACAAGCAATATAAACACCTAATCTGTCTAAAAAAATAGCAAGACTTGCCAGGTTTTTAGCTCGAACTGAATTCCTATTTCATGGATTTCAATCCTTATTCGTAATAACTTTGCCATGGAGTGGGTAATAAATAAGAAATTCACTAAGGCCATTAACTACTCACTACACAACAAGACTCTTCAAAAACACTGGATTCTTTAAACTACTAAAAGATTGTTCAGTAAGTGGACTGCTACACTTAGAGATATTAAAATGCTTATCATATTTACAGGCATAGCTTTGACCCCTAGTTGACATGGTCTGTTAGTGGCTGTGTGAATATTTTGCTGGACTGGTTGAACAGTATTTCTAGCACCACAATCACAGTTGAGTAGATCATGTGTATCACAGTCTGTTGACATGTTTACAGAAAATAAATCCTGTAAAATTGAAAAACAAATTGATAAACCATCAATATACATGTAATTTGTGACATCAAGATTTTTTTTATAAACATCAGTAAGATTTACATTAAAACTTGCAGCTTATTTAGACAACTGCAAGTCTCCATTCTTTGCTTCACACAATAACATTATGTAAAAGTAAAAATTGCATGATCACCCTGCTAGAAGTTATCAGATACCATGACATTTTTGTTTGTAAAGACTGTACCATGAAGCAAAACCTTAAGCTAGCAGTAAATTCATCAGGAGTTGTTCATCATTAATACTGAATTATAAATCCATTCATATTAATATGTTGTTTTATGTTGACTGTATATAGTTATGTTATATTGTATATCTATGATGAGGCCCACTTGGAAGATCCAGAAACCAAATGTGTAAGACTAATTAAATAAAGTTGTTACTTACTTACAAATCCTGTACTAATAGCTCATCCCACACTGTCAAGGTACAATCAATATCAAGCAATTTGATAAAATATTTTGTTAATACCATTACATGTATGTATATGAACAGGAGCTGTCTGTAGGACAGTGTGCCCTAATATTATAAGTGTTTAAAAGTAAAACAAGTGTCATGAAAATGTAAAATTTTCAAAGTTCAAAAAGGGCCATATTCTATCAAATTTCGTGTAAGAGATATGTACATTACACAGTGACTTCCTATTATGCTTTCAAATAAGTGCTTGAAGTTTCAGTCTATTCCCATAAGTAGTTTTAGAGATACCATTACTTGCACGCAAAAACTTAACCAATGTGCGATACAGACACTGTGTTAAGTACAAAAACTCTCCCTATTCTTAGAATATTTATACCAAAAATTCAAAACACATTCTTGCACTCAATTACATGTAATAAAGTTTCACTAACCCTGAGATCTTCCAATGAGAATTGTACAGCAGTATTTTTCTCCCTGACATCCATCACTGCTCCACTCAATCCTTGTTTACTAATCTGTCTCTGATATATCTTCTCCTCTATACTTCCCTATACATACAAACATTACACTGACAGTAACACAGATTGTATTCTATCTTAGATAACAACATCAGACACATAGTTATGTTTGAGATCTAGGTGACAATTTAACTGTTAAGTTCACTTGTTTACAAATAGATTAATGCCATACATTGTAACAAGCACTCAACATCTGGATTGAGTCTTCAGTGTTTATCAAAAGCTAATGTTTTTTAAGTACGTATGTTCTAAAAGTTAGTATTTTCAGAAGTACAAATGGATAAACAGTATAAAATTAGTTCAATATAAATGACAACTTTTGTGTACCAGCTTGAAAATAGCCCTATATTCTCCATCAGAATTTAAACCTCTAATTTATTACATCATCAAACACATACATTTATCTCTTATTGAGACAAATGAATTCAATCACTTCTAGAATCTCCTACCAAATATGGTATAGATGCTATAAATATTAAGAACATTTGTTTGTTTCATTGTATGTAATGAAAACTACTTTATAGTGAAAGAATTTTAGATTGAAAGATATTTCACAGGTAAAAGCTAAGTACATGTATGTCATATCAAACAAATTTCATTCATAACTTCAACAATACTTACATATTTGAAGAACTTTGGTATATTTTAACAGGTACACAAATGTTTATTAGCTTACAGTTATCATGTACATTTTTTTTTGAATATGTGAAGTGTTTTCCTTTAAATTTCCATTCATTCATGAAATACACTCTTAGTTCATATTCAAATTAAGTGAAATCACATTTAATTAACAATTCTGATAATTTCACCATGAACTCATTGATATACATTACACTGGGATATTTCAGTGCTACTTACTGTGGTCAATAACCTATATATATGAACAACATTTTTCTGTCCATCCCTCCATACTCTAGCCATTGCCTGCAAGTATCCAAAATAAATTAAGATTTCATCATTAAAAGTTTTACAGTCAATAGATTTATTATTTTCATTGAGGTTAAGGTCGTTCTGACACTGTTAAGGTTATATACTTTCTACATGTAGCTTTCCTGGGGGAGGAAGACACCTTCGGTCCACTTTTGTGCATTATCTTGGTACCTCAGTAGTAGCTAGATAGCTTCCTAACACGAAACAATCTGAATGAACATATTCTTAACTACTAAAACTTTTTTTTTGCCATACAAAACATGTAACACATGATTAAATCTGATTACCTGTAAATCATTAGCTGGGTTCCAGTCTATATCATAGAGAACCAATCGTGATGCCCCAACAAGATTCAAACCTACGCCTCCAGCCTTAGAACTCAACAAGAAAATAACTGGAATCAAAGTGTGTAACAGAAACTGAACAACTGGCATAAATCGAATATAAACCCTTTTATAAAGTCAAATAAAAAGTAAGAAACCATGTTATGTATCAAGATGTTTCATAGAAACATAAATGTACATGCCGTAACTTATTCTTTATTTACTAACATTGGAAGCAAAAAAAAAGTTCTTAATTTTCTAAAAATCTGACATACTTCTGACATGATAACAAAAGTAGGAAAGAACCTAATAAAAAAATCTATTGTTATTACATGCACTTAACATTTGTTTTTTATATTTCTTTTCATTTCTATTGAAATCCTGTACATATAAAAACATTAATAGAGTAATAAAAAGCCAGCAGTAAGTATTAAATCAGTAGACTTACATTCTGGAGAATGTTTACTATTAAATCTCTGAACAAGTTCCTGTCTTTTACTGGTTGGAGTCTGTCCATCAAGTCTTAAATATTTATACTGTATCTGATCACATAAACACTGAATTAAGTCTAATGTCTGTAAAAATAAAATGTTCAAATATCATCAACTTCTTGGCTGTACAGCATCCCTTTGTAAAATTTAATTATTTACTATAAAGAATAGAGATATTTCATGCACAAACTCTTTGCCATTTGGCATCTCCATTTAAAGCAATGTTTATAAAATAAGAAATATTCTATTAAATTTCTATCAAAGCAGTTCATTCTCCTTCCTTGACCTCTTTAGTTTAAAAGAACAATGAGTTTGTTTGTTTGTTTTATAGGGTTTTATGTCACACCAACACAGTATAAGTCATATGGCGATGTTCAAGCTTTGCTGGTGGAGGAAGACCTCAGGTGCCCTTCTGTGCATTATTTCAGGCATTAAAGAGCATCTGAGTAGAACCACCGACTTTCCATAAAAGAACTATGAAAGTAATAATGCAAGTAATTTCTTATAAAAATATGTCTCATCATTACAGCATTTACATAACCATATGAGCAGATGGTCTCTTAACTATACTGTGTACCCTCTTTTATTAACAATACTTGAGAGTCTAAAAGGATATTCACAGTTGTGTTCTTCACCTCACTTGGTTTGCTTTGGATTGTTTCTGTCAATAAAGATTTATACACATTATATACACTAAAACAACAACAATAATAAAACAATAAGTATACCTTTGTATGATTGGATACAACAACAATTTTCTCTGGTTTACAAGACTGTACTGAGTTAAGATGTTGTAATAAGGAGCTCAATACAGCCAACTTGCCAGAATGTTCCTCCAGACCTTTATCTATACAGAATCCCTCAGGGAATAAGCTGTGTAAACCTCCATATACTGACCTCTGTAAATTACCAATAAATTCATTACAGTGCTTCTTCCTAATCATATATATATGCTACTTTACATTTTCTGTAACATTATAAAATTAATACTGTAAAAAGTTTTTCTACTATTAAAACATTTTGTTCATGAAAAAAATATATATCATATAATTTTTCTAAATAAATCTTGAATTAACTCCACTTATAAATCAAAGTCTCGGTTTCCTTTACATGTCTCCATGCAAAGAGATTTAAAAAGAAGAGCTGTTGGTAGGACAGCACGCTCAACTCTTCTCAATGTGCGATAGTAAAACAACAGCCTGGATAAAATAGTGCCATAATTCTGTCAAAATCCATGGTTAAAGTTATGGGCCTTCTGTTATGCTCTCGAAAAAGTGTGTGAAGTCAACCAAATTTCTTCTACTAACATGCACCCAAATCCGTAACAAAAGTGTGATGCTGGGGTAAGTACAATAGCTTTTCCTATTTTTCCTAATCGAGGTAATAATTAACAAAAATTACTGCACAGTACTATTATTTTTGCAAAAACAATACTGATGAACTGATGAAAAAAAATAACCACAGAAATTACATAAAGTTTTTGTCACATCATAAAAAGTCTTACATTTTCATCATAATCTTCACAGTTTTTGTTGTCTTCATGCTCCAATGATTTCTTGTATACAAGAGAAGGATGGTTACACAGCTGTTTTAAAGCTCCAATACAAATTAGGTGTGGTGAACCAGACATACTACCAGACAAACAAGACCGGATCAGTTGACAGCGTAACAATTGTTGATACAAGGTAAGTTGCAGGGCAGATGGTCGGCAAAATAACACTATGTCTCCTAGAATAATAAATAAATAAAAAATTATTTTGTAATTGCGAATGTGGTACAAATTGTTTATGAATCACTATCATTAAATAGTACATAAACATACAAATGATGTATCATTAAATATGGAGAAATTTAAAGTGAATGTAAACCAAAGTAGATGTTAAATGATTTTTTTAAAAGCCAAAGTCTATGTAATTCTGGATCTCCTTAGGTAACATACATTTCTTCACTTTCAATATGTCAATGTAATTTTTTTTAAATTTTGATAAATAAGTTATTACTATTTATTCAAGTCTTAATCTATCGCAAAATATACCCATTCAAGTACATTAATAAATATATATTTGAGATATGATAAAATTTCAGAAAAATTACGTTTAGGTGGGAGATATTTGTTGTTGATTTCCTGCGTCCTTCTCAATATAAACATCTGAGTCATTCTGCTAAGCTCCACTCCTCTTTCTTCACCCAATGAAATCTCTTCCTTAGTAGCACCTGGTTGACGAGATGCTACAATTGGATCCTCGTACACTCTTCTAAAACCAGCGCTAGTGCCTGTGCAATACAACCAGGAATTACAAATAGGTTATACGGTCATGTTATAATAGCCTCATTTCAGTAAGAAAGAAATTAAGTGTATATACAAATATTAGACACCACCAGCTTATATCATTATGGAAAGCATCAGAATTGATTGCTGGGTCACTAGTTCAGGTGAAATTTCTCTGTGATAATTGATATCAATTCGAATGGTAATCATATAGGATTAATAATCAGCCACTTTGGGAAAAATTGGTAGTAAATTGTTAAATATCCAGAAAAACTGGTTAGGTGGAGTGACTGGTGGTTTATAACCAAAAATGTATTTCTATTGGCATAAAAAACCAGATAAGCAAACAAAACATGTTATAGACAAAGTCAACTGGAGGAAATTCAAAAAGTTAAGATTCAATAGTTTTATATCATTAAGATAGATTAGTTGTAACAAGTGACTGTAAAGTATACCTAGCACTCCTGGATTACAAAATTCTACTATAGAAAAGAATTCTTGTAAATCATTCTGTATTGGTGTACCAGTCAATACAACTCTTCTCTGTGTAGGTAAACTCATTATCAACTGTAAATAAAACAATACATAACTTTTTCTGTTTCCAGTACCAATGTAAGTACATGCATAATGTAAGTAATAATATTCATATTAGTTAAAATTTCAAAACTTTAATCCCACAAAATATCTGACTTCAACCATATAGATGAAACATAGCTATTAAGTTTAAAGATTCATATAAACTTAATTGATGACAATATTTTATGAGAAACATATTATGCATTGTATAATGGCCATATGATACTGACACATCTGATGTCCTCTGGATTGTTGCATTCAAAAGTAGACACTTCAGTAAAACCACTGGTTTTGCATCAAGAGCTAGGTAACTTCCACAACTTGAAACAAGATTGCATTTGAGAAAAATGCTATGCCACCGCATTAATACAACACTAAATAGTAGTGTAGGAACAGATTTTTTTTGTTTCTTCACAATTGAAGATTGTCATAATGCATAGATCCCTGACCTATCTAATTCTTATTATCAGATTAGTGGTTAAATCTATTGTTAACCCAATAAAAGATCGGAGTAGGAATATATCAATGCACTTGAGTCTATTGAATTTGGTGGTGAAGGTCCTATTTCACACAGCCTAAATTTCATGACTGCATCAAAGGACAACATGTAATACACTTTGTCAAAATCTAGGTCAGCTGATATCAAAGTTCACTTTTAATTTTGACACTAGAGGCAAAATTTGAACAACTTTGGTAGAGTACCTATAGATGATATCATTTAACAAATATTAAAGCTCTAAGCCTTGTACCTTCAGACAATAAGATTTTTTTATTTTTTACTATATGTATATATTGAAAATCAATGACCCCGGGCGGGGACATTTTTGACCCCAGGGCTATTATTTGAACAATCTTGCTAGAGGTTCACTTCACAATGTTTCATGCAAAATATCTAACCTCTAGCATTTGTCAATTGCTAGAAGAATTTTTTTTAAAGTTTTAACTATAAGTTTTTACTATGTAAATATGAGGAAAATCAATGACCCCCGGGGCGGGGTCGATTTTGACCCCTGGGCTATAATTTGAACAATCTGGGTAAAGGTCTACCAGACAATGCCTTATGCAAAATATCTAAGCTCTAGGCCTTTTGGGTCTTTACAAGAAGGTATTTTAAGTTTTTACTATATGTACATATAGTGAAAATCAATGACCCCCGGGGCGAGGCTGATTTTGACCCCAGGGCTATAATTTGAACAATCTTGGTAAGGGTTTACCAGACAATGCCTCATGCAAAATATCTAAGCTCTAGGCCTATGGGTCTTTACAAGAAGGTGTTTTAAGTTTTTACTATATGTACATATAGTGAAAATCAATGACCCCCGGGGCGGGGCCGATTTTGACCCCAGGGCTATAATTTGAACAATCTTGGTAGAGGTCTACCAGACAATGCCTTATGCAAAATATCTAAGCTCTAAGCCTTTTGGGTCTTTACAAGAAGATTTTTTAAATTTATTCTTATAATTCCTTTTGGTTGCCATGGCAACCAGATTTCTGCATGGAATTAAATTCTTTGAACAACTTTGGAAGCCCTTTACCCAAGGATCAATCCTGCCAAGTTTGGTTGAAATTGGACTAGTGGTTTTTCACAAGAAGATTTTTTAAGTTCACTATATAATCTATATAACACACACACACACAAACAAACAAACTAACACACACACACACAGGTGAATCGCTATATGCCACCGCATCGCAGATGCTGCGGTGGCATAAAAAAAAACTCGCTAGTGGGAATGGGAAAAGTTTTCTGACATTAAGAACTTGGCCACAAGGACCTGCATAAATAACATCAAGGTTAAACTTGTATTACTATAATAGAACAAGGCATGGTCACAGAATGTCCAACTGGATATCGAAATGATTTATATAAACCGTGTCAACATACAGATGTAGTTTTAATGTTGGTATTCTTCAGCCTATGACCTTCATCACAAACAATAAGGTCAAATGTTAGCTGTTGTAAGGTCTCAAACATTCTCACAAACATCTCATATGAGATAATCAACACTGGGTATAAAGATGTCTTCATAAAATCCTGCAAGAATCATAAATATCGACAGAACTTTGAGTACTTTCGAGTACTGATGGCCTTATTGAATTGTCTGTTTCAAAAGTAAGAGCAAGGTCAAGATGCAAATACATCAAGCCTGACAGGACTCTATACTGCTAGTTATATGACATGGACAGTTATATATTTAATTTAAAGTGGGGCGTCCGTGGCCGAGTGGTTAAAGTCGTTGACTTCAAACCACTTGCCCCTCACCGCTGTGGGTTCGAATCCCTACAGGGACTTTGGATTATTTCATGTGAGGAAGCTATCCAGCTAGCTTACGGAACGTCGGTGGTTTTACTCGGGTGCCCGTTCATGCCTGAAATAATGCAAGGAAGGGCACCTGAGGTCTTCCTCCACCAGTAAAACTGGAACGTCGCGATATGACCTATACTGTGTCGATGTGACGGAAAACCCAAAAACAAAAAACAAAATATATTTAAAGCAGTACAATACTATAACATAAATTTAGTATGGTGACAGTTAATGTATATTAAATATTGGTAATGTAAATTGTGCTCTTAATATATTGAAAATTTCCTGAATCTATTGTTTGTTTGTTTTGTTGGGTTTGAACCTACAGCTGTGAGAGGCAAGTGAATAATGGGCATGTTAAAACAAGTCTGGCAATTTAAGTGCAGCTTTAACAATTGATACTTCAAAAAGCTGTGCATGACATGTTCTTCAGGAAGGATTTATTTGATAACAAAATGTCTAGTCTCAATACTTTACCACTACTTTTCAAAAAGAATTTGGGAGCATTTTGATGTGCCTTGCATAAGAACAGGCTAGCTAGTGCTCATATAGAATACAGCATATGACTAAATCACTGTTATCTTTAACATCCAAGAATGAAAAACAAGTAAACCCTTTTTAATTAATTTTTCATCAGCTAAAACATTTACTGTTTACCTCAACTTTCTTGTCTGAGCTTACAGCATAAACTTGCAACCTTTCAAATCCAAGCCACTTCTTAAATTCCTGATGCCAATTCTGTAAGTAAAAAGATCATTTTCTTTACATTAGACATAATACACAATAATTTCTTTCAACTGGGTATAGTTTTTAAAATGTTAAAAGTTCTAAATTTGAATGAATACTATGCCTCTAAAGAGCCTTGACTGAGACCTTTGAACTTGATGTGGGTCTGATGGTATATTTGAAATTTTGGGTCATGTTGTCCTTGGCCTTTGACCCATGATGTCTAAGTGGGTCTTGCAGGCAGAGCTTATGAAAGTATATACACATGTAAAATTATAGTTCTTTTAATGACAGCATATTCATTTTTTGACCAAGGTTAATATTAACTATTTAAGTTCATGGTGACCTTGCCTATTACCCTTGTCACCTTTTTGTGCATCTGGTGGGTAAGATGGAAGCACCTGAGAAGTTTGGAGACTATAGGTGGAAGAACTTCTGTGTTACTCACAGTTTAACTTTTGTGACAAAAAGACAAACATGCCCTCCCAATCTATCTATCCAGCAGTATAAAAAATCTTTTTGAAATAACCTAAATATAAATATACACCATAAAACTCTTTAGTTTATACAAATTTATTTTAGTTTAATTGTGTTGGAAGCTTATTGAAACACTCTCAAATCCATTCTTGGAACTAACCAGTACTAAGCAATAATTGTTTAGTTTGTTGCTCACTGAAACAATGGCTTTCCCCTGACAATATTTGAACCCATGTGTGTTTACAGGTAAATTGACTTTAATTAACCTACTATGCTTGAATATAACTTTAGAAGAATCAATTCAATCATTGATAAAACTAAAGACTAGTATGAAAAAGATTCTGACCTATATAACTTGCTACAATCAAACAATGGAAGTAAATAAAACATTATACACACCTTCACTAGACTACCTGGTGTTATTACGAGTATTCTTTTAGCTACAGGCTTTCCTCCATATGGTCCCTGTTTGTACAGTGTCCTAGAGGTGCAAATGATTCCATCTATATCAATTACACTTTATTAAAACTTACCTTCTCCCTTTTTAAAACATAAATGTACAACAACTTTTATCAAATACAACACCAAATAGATGTTAATTATTTTAACCACTTGTTCAGTGTTGTCATTTGTGACTGTAACTTTGTAAGTCATTGCTTTTGAGTTCATATTCAACAAAGAACAATACTATTATTTAAGTTTTTTTATTTATTTATTATTATTATTTAATTATTTTAATTGCAAAATTAAATACTAGTAAGTCTTAACTTTTAATGTACTCTTCATATTAGGTCTGATTAAGTTAATATTTTTGAGACAGCTGCTACTGATTGTACTCTGGAATTCATTATTCATAATAATATATTCAATAGATCAACGACACTCATGCATGGTTGCTAGTGGTGAACTATGCTATACATACCATATTAAAGAAATACACTGCAATGTTTTCCCAAGCCCCATGTCATCTCTGAAAAGAAACACATATATACACAACCAATATTGCAGTAAATAATGCAAAAAGTAGGAAAATCAAATTTCTGTCAGAAAGTTTCAACATGTGCAAAATCCTTCATAGGAAGGAAAAGATCTGGGGTTTTCTGCTTAAATTGGAAGCATGACTTTGTTTCTAAATTCTATCTCCTTTGTTTAAGTCAATGTTAATCATAACCAAATATTTCTTGAATTAAACATTCTTAGAGCCTGTAACCTTGAATGAAGCACCCCTTCCTCTTAACACAAACCATTCTAATTTTCTAATGGAATATAAGTTTCAATAACAAAAATAACCAGACAAATTTATTCAACACTTTTTCCCTATAAAGTGATCAACTCATCTGAGGTGTCATAAAATAATTATAAAAGTGGGTTGAAAACATGTGCACTCTTCTTTTGGAGGAAATTTTAAAGATATTATCATTATTATTATATCATATTAACAAACTTACGCAAGAATTGCCCCCTGCCCACTGTAATTTCTATATCCCATGACACACTCATATAAGAAAGTGACCCCTTCTCTTTGATGAGGTCTGAGATTGGAGGAGAGATAAGGATCAATGACAACATCCACTACAGGAAGGGATCTCTTGTTCCATTGCCACTGTAATATACATTGATTCATACAAGAAATACAAGAGTTTTATTATGACAGACCATATAATAACATTATTCAGTTTTTTCTATGCTAATTTACTGTCAAAGTCTTTTATTAAAAATGTTCCGTTTCTGTATAAATGAATTGAAATTTAACCTTTTTCTTTCCTTTGTAATGAAAAAAAAGCTTACTATATAAATATTTCATACCAAAAACAGTAACAAAATAAGCTAACTTATACTACAAAAATATTGGTTAATAAAATATTGTAGCATCTAATGCATGGCAACTTGACTAGAAAGTATAACAGAATAATGTAAGATAACTTGTTACCTGGTGACTATCACTGGGTGCTGGCATAACAAGGGCACCAGGTATAGTTGGATCATATCGAGGTTTGACCACTACAGGCTCAGGTTTTGATACTGTACTGTCTATGCATCCAGCCTTCAATGGTTTACTGAATGGCTTTGATACATTTTTCACTGGCACTATGAAACACAAAATACCATTCATTGTTAAGCAATAAATTATATCATTGACAAATATATATACAACACACTTAGAGACTTATGACAATAGTTAGGGAATTCAGTCTCAAGAACCAAAACTGTAATCCAGTATGAATAAAGTTGTTGTTGTTAAAGTTATAATTACTATAACATTATTTCAAGTATAAACCTTAAAAACATCACTTGACAATTTGTACAAAACATTGCATCGGTGATGCAAAGTAACAATCAAAGCTAGCATCTTAAAACATCTTTTTAAACACCTAATTTGCTGAATTTTATTAAATGGACTTGTCCAGCTTCCAGTTTTGGAACTGTTCATAACCATTTTGGGGATATCAGGTTGTACACGGTTAGTCTGTGCAGACTTGCCTGGCTCTATACTAGTGGCAAAGGCTAAATTAGGGTATGGGTTAAAGATTGAGTACGATATTTCTTCCTTTACAGTTTACAAGTTTTGAAATAATAATACAATTGTATCAAAACATTTTTTTTGGTCATTTTTGTATTCTTATCTATAGCTGTATATATGATAATTTGACAATTGTATGAGTGACAAATTAACTGATCAAAATTTTGTTGAAATAATCAAAAGTTATGACATAATTATTCTTTCTGAATCATGGACTACTAAAGACTCTGTTTTAGATATTGACGGTTACTATTGTTATAATTACCGTACAAGTGGTTTTTTCTGCGGGCTCCAAATTCTGCGGTTTTTCCAAATTTTGGCATGTTTTTATTTCTGCGGACTTTATTTCTGCGGCACATTCTTTGGACAAAACGTGATTTAAATTCTGCTACTCGTCTTATCAAAATCTAAGTCACATTTCTCAACCTATTTTTTTGCACGTACACATTTCTTTAGCTTCGTCACCGCAAAACAATAAAGTAATTACAAACAAATGTACTGTTTGCTTGCAAACAAATATAATGCGCAACAATAGAAAGGTGTGCAGCTTTTGATCAACGTGAAATGACGTGTGAAAAATATAACCCTGTAGTATCTTTAATTGTATAATTAAAAAGTTGATAGCAGTTGACCGTAAATCAGATGACAATTATAGTAGACGACGATTATTTAACAGTATAAGGGTTGAAATGGTTTGAAATAACTGTATTCTTAAATTAGCATCATTAACAATTAGTACGTCCTTTAAAAAGACAGATTACATAATAAGCCTACAGCAATTTAATACAATTTGAAAACCCCCTTACCGTTATAATACGTTAGTCGTTATTACTGTAGACGAAACAGGTCATAATGCAGGACACATATCGTAGCAGGTGAGTGAAATATTCTGCGGTTTTTATTTCTGCGGTCATGAAACTGACCGCAGAAAACGCAGAAATAAAGTCACCGCAGAAAAAACCACTTATACGGTATTATAGAAAGTTCAGGCATAGAAGAGCTAGAAGAAATAGTGGTGGCATAGTTATTTATATAAAGGAAAACTACACTAATGGTATATCTGTTGTCAAAAATACTCATGACACAATTGTTTGGCTAAAAATTGATCACTCTTATTTTTCACTTGATACTGATATTTATTTGTGTGGAGTTTACCTTTGGTCAGACGAGTCCCCTATTGCTGGTATAATTAATGATGATTTGTTTGATTTATTATTTGATGATGTATCATATTTTGAAACGCTAGGAACAGTAATGGTTGCTGGGGATTGGAACTCACGAGTTGGTAGCCATAAGGATTTTATTTCCTTTGATGTTTGTAATGATCAGCTAGATTTTGATTTTTATACCCCTGATATTGCTCAAGGACGGGCCTCAGAAGATAATGTATGCAATGCTCGGGGGTTTCGTATGCTTGATTTTTGTAAGTCCACATCATTGCGAATAGCTAACGGTAGAATTGGTGATACCAGTTCGTTCACATTTTTTAACCAACGATCATGTAAGTACAATTTGACTATTTGGTTTTGAATGATAAAGATTTTAAGCGGATTAATACATTTCAACTGTTACCGTTTAACGAATACAGTGACCATGCACCACTCTTCTTTGAAATTGATATTAATTCTTTGATAAGTAGTCAAAATATAATTATTATGAAAAATACCTCGGAGTATACATTTTATAAATGGTCAGATGATCACAAGATAAACTTTAGACGTGATATCATTTCAAAGCTTCCGAGTTTAATGCACTTCTACTTAGTAACGGTACATCGGAGAGCCTTTCTATTGATAATTTAGTTGAGGGTTTTTCCTCGTTGATTGAAGAAGTGGCCGAACCGTACTTTAAACATTCGCGGATATCATGTAATATGCATTCTACATCATGTAATAAAGAGTGGTTTGATCGCGAGTGTGTAGAATCAAAGAAACTGTATATTTTAGCGCTTAATTCATTTAATGGAAATAAATCAATAGATAACAGACAATTACTTTTTGAGCGTAAACGTTCTTATAAACTTTTAATGCGCAAGAAAAAAAGAGTGTTTAAGACTAAAAAGTCGTGTGAATTATGCGAACTTCGTAAATCAAAACCAAAGCAATTTTGGAATCATTTTAAGTCAAAACTTGAAAATTGTTCAAACGATGTAAAACCTGAAGAATTTCGTGAATATTTTTCTAGCTTATTCAATGATATAAGGTCTACACGTATAGAAGATGTAGAAAGTTTTATCTCTGAAACAGACTTTAATATAAATACCCCATCTTTTGAATGCCTGAATACGCCTATTACGTCTAATGAAATACTAATGGCAATTAAAGATCTTAAGCGAAATAAGGCACCATGTCCTGCCGATAATTTATTAAATGAGTTTTTCATTGAGACGTCCGACATACTTATTGGTCATATTACGGACTGTTTTAACACTATATTTGATTCTGGTCATTTCCCAAAAGTATGGTCTTATGGTTATATCGTACCATTATATAAAAAGGGAAATAAGAGGGTACCGAATAATTATAGAGGAATAACATTAGTTAGCAATTTTGGTAAATTATTTACAAAGGTATTAACAAAACGGGTTGAAAATTGGGCACGTGATAACAATATACAGTCTGATGCACAATTCTGTTTTCGTTCAGGTGTAAGCACCGTTGATGCAATTTTTGTTTTGCACTCTTTAGTGGAACGAATACTATCCCAAAATTCACGTCTTTATTGTTGTTTTATTGACATTAAAAAAGCCTTCGATTCAATCTATCGTAATGCTCTTTGGTATAAACTTTTTAATCTCGGACTTGATGGTAAAATGATCAGGATTTTTAGAGATATGTACTCTTCGGTGTCTTCCTGTGTTAAGCACTGTAATACTTTGTCAGACTTTTTTGATATTTCTATTGGTCTAAGGCAGGGCCAAAATAATTCACAGATTTTGTTTGCTTTATTTCTGGAAGATCTGGAACAATACTTAAGAAATGATGATAATAATAACGATAAGGGTTTCACTTTTTATGATATATGTATGATTATTTTACTTTTTGCCGACGATATGGTTATATTTGGAAAGTCAATTGAAGAATTGGAATCGAATCTAAATAATTTAAAGCTTTATTGTGATAAATGGGGCCTAGAGGTCAACACAGATAAAACTAAAACAATGGTTTTTAGGAAGAGGGGAAGCATCAGAGAAAATGAAAAATGGTCATACGATAATACTTTATTAGAGACTGTTGATAACTTCAACTATTTGGGTGTAGTCTTTAATTATACGGGGTCTTTTCAACTTCATAATCAGTATGCTATAGGAAAAGCTATGAAAGCCCAAAATGTTTTACTTCGTAATATTAACAAATATGATGTGACCCCTTCCGTTTCACTCCAACTCTTTGATGCATTTGTTTCCTCAACATTAAATTATTCTTGTGCAATATGGGGTTTTACAAAATCTAAGGATATAGAAAGGATTCACTTGAAATTCTGCAAATCATTGTTAGGGGTAAAACACAGTACATGTACTGCAGCAGTTTATTCGGAGTTAGGCTGATATCCTCTTTATGTTCAAAGATATGTTCAAATAATAAGATTCTGGTTACATATTCTTCATTCAAATAATAATATCTTAAAGTCTGCTTTTTATTCATCAATAAGTCTTCATGATAATGGTTATAACTCCTGGGCAGCTAAGGTTCATTCTATTTTAAATGAATATGGATTCACAGATGTATGGCTCAACCCATTGCAATACAGCCCAAAAGAGTTTGTTGAAATATTCAAACGTAGATTAGTTGATTGTTTTATACAAAAGGTAAATGCAGACATTCAGTCTAGTCCACTTTTGTCTAATCTGTATGTACATTTGATTGACAAATTTGAACCTGCATTTTATCTAGATAATTTATTCATTAAATCCTACAGACAAAATTTATCTTGTATCAGATTATCTTCTCATAAATTAAAGATAGAGGTAGAGAGGTATGGTCCTAATAGAAATCAACGTTCTGAAAGAAAATGTGAATTATGTAATCTTCAAGAAATTGAGGATGAATTTCATTTTATTATCATTTGCAATTGTTATACTACATTACGTAGGGAGTTTATTAAGCCATATTTTTACAGAAGACCGAGTATGTTTAAATTTTTGCAGTTTTTGAAGTCAAAAAATAAATCCGAATTAATTGGACTTGCTAAATACATCATCTTTGCTACATAGCGTCGATATGACCTTATTAATATTACCATTTAAAAACTATTTTTACCAGTATGCGCATGATAATTTTGCTCATTAAAAAGCGTCAGTATGGTATTTATCATGTATTTTTAATCGTTGATTAACTACATATTAAATATATGAAAGTCATTTTTGCAACTTTTTAATAAGAGTAATGCCAACTTTTTATTGTTTAAATATGGATTTAAGAACATTCTCCATATATACTTTTGTTTAACAATGTTTGTTTTCAATATGATCGTACCATGACTTATGATTTATGTATTACGTGTTTTGTATTATGACTATGTACAAATATGTATACGTCAATAAATTATATCTATCTATCTGTATGTGCCCTCAACCCCTACAACCTATTCACAAAAATAATAAAGAAAGAAAGGATTATTGTACAGATGTTTTGTTGTTAATATAATTCACAATAAAAACCTATACCTTTAGGTAATGGAGCACTAGATGTCACTGTGTTTCCTGTGAAACATTTACCAGACTTGAATAGGTCTTCTGTCAACAATGACATGACCTGAAAATTAAAACAAGTCCAATTATGTTGATATATATCACAGGGTTAGCCATTTAGCATCCCTCAATGTGCAATGATTAAAAAGGATTAATGAACAACTTCAACATATAAAAAGCTAGTTAACCATTATTCTACTGTCTTAAATGGATTTCTCGATCTTATAGTCTAAACAAGACTATTCTTCATTTTTTATAGAAAAATTTCAAATAAGTACAGATTGTATAGCTAACAGTACTAACTATGATCTGAAGGCACATTTTGAAGGCACAAATGTGCCAACTGATCTTGGTCTGCACTGGATGCATGGGTACACTCAGTCTCTGCTAGCAGGCTAAAGGTTAATAGACACTCCATATAGTTTTTCATGTGACAGAAACCAGATCTTAAGTCTTACATTTCCTGACCATATCATTCAACACTATCTAGAACTCATAACTGTTACAATGACTAAACATTTATTACAACTTGTTAGTCTGTAACTTACAAATATCCTTGCTTATATATAACATAGTGACTAAATTTTAGTAATTATATATATATGTTCTAACATCAAAAGACATTTACTGTACAAATATGACCTCAATATTGATATAGTATTAATCATTGAGGTTTTATAATGATCTTCAGTAACATCTTCACATTTTGAAAAGCATCATTAAAAGAGGAAACAACCTTTCTTTCTCTTTTTAAAGACTATAAATGATTTTTCACCTGAATTTCTTTTCCTCCAATAGGGAGAGTTTCATCTTCCTTCAGAGAAGCCAACTCTGCTGACTTGTAACCAGAACCTTTACCAATCCTACAAGTTGAAAACTTCTTATAAACAAATCATTCATTTTACAATAGAACTCATAAAAGCATCAGGTGCCAGTGGTAACTTTTTCTGATTACATAAACATATTTACATTTCTCCATTGTAATCTGTAACTGGAAAGAAAACTGTTCCGACTTATAACGTTTTTATCAAATAAAGGATATACTAAATAGTTTTAAGAAGCTTTTAGAAAATAACATATTTAATTAAATATCTTTGTTTTATTATTTAATGTTAAGCTTGTAACAATAAATACTCCCTTGTAATTTACAGTCAGACTTTCTTTTATTGACAAACAAACAAACAAATAAATAAATAAGAGGAGGATGAAAGTATTACACTTACTCTTTTCCCTCTATATCATACAATGTAACACTTCTACCTCTTGTTACAAGTACAGCTGTAATAAAATTATATTTATTATTTATACATGTATCATGCAGAAAGTTGTTTGTTTTATTCCAAAACAGTTGTCTTTCTTGCATTATTGATTAAACAAGAGGGCCATGATTGCCCTAGATCGCTCACCTGACTTATCAAACTCATCCAAACAATTACCTAGACAAGCATTCTGACCAAGTCTCATGACAGGTGAGTCAAAAATGTGACCACTACAGTGTTAACAAGGATTATCCATATTTGAGCAGTGCGACCTAGTTTTTTACCCAGGTGACACATATTCAAACTTGACCTAGAAATCATCAAAACAAACTTTCAGACCAATTTCCAGGATACTTGGATCAAAACAGCAGCAACTAGAGTGTTAACAAAATTTTTCTATTTTTAGCTCCGGTGACCTAGTTTCACATGTGATTTCGAACTCATCCAAGCAATTACCTAGACAAGCATCCTGACCAAGTTTGATGATAATTGAGTCGAAAATGTGACCACTAGAATGTTAACAAGGTTTTTCCATTTTTGGGCGGTGTGACCTAGTTTTTCATCCAAGATGACCCATGTTCGCTCTTGACTTAGAAATCATCAAAACAAACTTTCAGACCAATTAACAGAATATTTGGATCACAACAGTAGCCACTAATGTGTTAACAAGATTTTTCTATTTTTAGCTCCTGTGACCTAGTTTTTCATCCGAGATGACCCATGTTCAATTTATTCCCAGCAATGACCTAGACAAGTTTCCTGACCAAGTTTGATGACAATTGAGTCAAAATTGTGACCACTAGAGTGTTAACAAGGTTTTTCTATTTTTAGCTCCTGTGACCTAGTTTTTCATCTGAGATGACCCATGTTCGAACTCATCCAAGCTTTCACCTAGACAAGCATCTTGATCAAGTTTGATGATGATTGATGCAAAAATGTGACCGCTAGAGTGTTAACAAGGTTTTTCTTTTTTTAGCTCCAGTGACTTACTTTTTCATCCAAGATGATCCATGTTCAAACTCATCCGAGCTATCACCTAGACAAACATCCTGACCAAGTTTGATGATGATTGAGGCAAAATTGTGACCTCTAGAGTGTTAACATGGTTTTTCTATTTTTAGCTCCGGTGACCTAGTTTTTCATCCGAGATGACCCATGTTGGAACTCATCCGAGCTTTCACCTAGACAAGCATCTTGACCAAGTTTGATGATGATTGATGCAAAAATGTGACCACTAGAGTGTTAACAAGGTTTTTCTATTTTTAGCTCCGGTGACCTACTTTTTCATCCGAGATGACCCATGTTCGAACTCATCTGAGCTATCAACTATATAAGCATCCTGACCAAGTTTGATGATGATTGATGCAAAAATGTGACCTCTAGAGTGTTAACAAGGTTTTTCTATTTTTAGCTCTTGTGACCTAGTTTCTCATCCGAGATGACCCATGTTCGAACTCATCCGAGCTATCAACTAGATAAGCATCCTGACCAAGTTTGATGATGATTGAGGCAAAAATGCGACCGCTAGAGTGTTAACAACTAAATGTGAACGGACGACGGACGGACGACGGACAATCATCGATCCTAAAAGCTCACCCTGAGCATGCTCAGGTGAGCTAATAAAACAAGAGGGCCATGATGGCCCTGAGGTCACTCACCTGTATATAGGCCCCCCCCCCAACCCCCATCCCCCCCCCCCAACGTTGCAGGGCAAATTTAACCCAAGGGTTTTTATTTGCACAAACTTGGTAGACACCCATAAGAAGATGTTTCATGCTAAACATCTAAGCTCTAGATCATTGGGCTTTTTAAAAGAAGATTTTTTTAAAGTTTTTAATATTCACATATAGTTAAAAACAATGTCACCCCTGGGACCGGGCCAGTTTTGACCCCAGGGCTTTTATTTGAACAAACTTTGTAGACACTTACTAGAAGATGTTTCATGCTTAATATCTAAACTCTAGCTATTTGGGTTTTTTCAAAGAAGATTTTAAGTTTTTGCTATACACATATAAAGAAAATCAATGACCCCCGGGGCGGGGCCAATTTTGACCCCAGGTCTTTTATTTGAACAAACTTTGTAGACACTCACTAAAAGATGTTTTATGCTTAATATCTTAACTCTAGCTATTTGGGTTTTTTCAAAGAAGATTTTTTAAGTTTTTGCTATACACATATAAGGAAAATCAATGACCCCCGGGGCGGTGCCAATTTTGACCCCAGGGCTTTTATTTGAACAAACTTGGTAGACACCTATTAGAACATGTTTGATGCTAAATATCTTAGCCATAGCTCTTTGAGTTCTTTAAAAGAAGATTTTTTAAGTTTTTACTATATGCATATAGGGAAAATCAATGACCCCCGGGGCAGGGCCAATTTTGACCCCAGGGCTTTTATTTGAACAAACTTGGTAGACACTTAATAGAACATGTTTCATGCTAAATATCTTAGCTCTAACTCTTTTGGTTCTTTAAAAGAAGATTTGTTAAGTTTTTACTATATGCATATAGGGAAAATCAATGACCCCCTGGGGCGGGGCCAATTTTGACCCCAGGGCTTTTATTTGAACAAACTTGGTAGACACCTATTAGAACATGTTTGATGCTCAATATCTTAGCCATAGCTCTTTGAGTTCTTTAAAAGAAGATTTTTTAAGTTTTTACTATATGCATATAGGGAAAATCAATGACCCCCCGGGGCGGGGCCAATTTTGACCCCAGGGCTTTTATTTGAACAAACTTTGTAGACACCCATTAGAACATGTTTCATGCTAAATATCTTAGCTCTAGCTCTTTGGGTTCTTTAAAAGAAGATTTTTTAAGTTTTTACTATATGCATATAGGGAAAATCAATGACCCCCTTGGGCGGGGCCAATTTTGACCCCAGAGCTTTTATTTGAACAAACTTGGTAGACACTCACTAGAAGATGTTTCATGCCAAATATCTAAGCTCTAGCTCTTATGGTTTTTTAAAAGAAGATATTTAAAGTTTTTTCTTTCGGTTGCCATGGCAACCAGAGTTCTGCATGGAATTAAATTCTTTGAACAATTTTTAAAGGTGATCACCAAAGGAACATTCCTGTGAAGTTTGGATGAAATTGGCTTAGTGGTTTATGAGGAGATGTCATTTAAAGTAAAAGTTTACGGCCGGACGCGGGACGGACGGACGCCGGACGGACGCCGGACGAAAAGCGATCACAAAAGCTCACCCTGTCACTTTGTGACAGGTGAGCTAAAAAGTTGTATATCTTAATGAAATATCTATTGATGATTTCTGCCTATGCAACAATTACAGAGCCATGCGTTCCTGCATGTCATGCAGTTTGACCAAACATTACTGTTATGTTACCAAACATTATCTATTATGATGACACTGAAATCTTGAAACTGAAAATAGTTTAATACAAAATAAAAACAACACAAGAACATTATAACAATATTTGTCTATAACACTCTTCTAGCGCTTTACAGTAAGAAATGAGGCATAACTTTTAAGTATAAGTGTAAGTATTTTAGAATTATGGGACATGTGCACATCATGTAAGATAATCACAGAGATCAATTGTGTCAAGTTTCAACCCATTCCCTTCAGTTCTTTTGGAGTTTGTAGATACCAACTTGCAAGCTAAAGTGTAACAACATCACTTAGATGAGTACAACTGCTCACCCTATCCTTCAAATAGTCATGCTAAAAATAAGATGTCTAAGTGCGAAACTTAACTTACAAAACTCAGTAACACACAGCTTTACACTTAACAGAAACAGCTCTCTAGAAGCAGTATCTTATTATTTTTGTACTGTCATATTTATATATACACTTACCATCTCCTTCCCATTTCTTATGCTGAAAAAACAATAACATAAACATTCAGACATGCATACTTCAACAAAAAAACTGATTTTTTTAGTTACTTCACAGATAAATACTATAAGATTCTTATTCTTTATAAATAAACTTTCCTCTACAACCTCTTATATAGTATACATGTTATTTTGTTGTAAACAGGAGCCTATGACAAAAGAACTGCGTGCAGTATTAACGCTCTTCTGTTAAAAATTCTAAGTTAAAAAGCAGCATAACTCAAAAAAATATTGTTTTAAGAATTATGCCCCTTCTCTAACAACTGCACTTTGTCATGAGAAGCAAGTTATCAAAGTGTCATGCTGATAACCTATAAAATGTTTGAGAAAGATTTTGTGGGACAACAACGACCCAGTGATCATTACAGCAGGACATTTTTTTTAAAACAGACAAGCTAAAAATGATTCATAGGATTCTGATGAGGGTCATAAAATTTAATAATCTTTTAAAAAAAAACCTTTTATCCAAATATAAGATAATATCTTTCAGAAAATATGGAAAAGTTAAGATGTTTGTAAATATAAATGAATGCAATGTTTACCTTTTTATTGGACCTCTTGCACCAGACAACACTAAAATAACCACTAGCAATACCTTTATCCTCTTCACCTAAAATACAATTAAATAAATAAATATTTTTAAAAAATCAATCAATTAATTTAGTAATTATCATAAATTTATATTCTCCCCATGATGAATTATTTAGTAAATATTACAATGATTAATAAACCCTTCAGAAAATCATGTCAACAAAACATAATCTGGAAATACAAGGATAAGTCCAACACTTGTCACAAAGTTGTAATTAGTTTTAAGATAAGAAACAGTACTTGTTTCAGTCAAATTCTGATGTTAGCGGTTTTATCAAGCTATTTGTGTTGAAATAATGCACAGACAGGACCTTAAGTATTTCTCCATCTATATCGCTAATGATTCGCTTGGATGTCCTTATATAACCAAACAGAGTGACATATATTACAGTATTCATTACTGTGATAACTTATCTTTAAAATCAATTACTTAAAAGAAAACGTAACTTTTACCTATGTTTTCATTATTTGTTTTTAATTTGGTGACTGGAGATGAAGAGATTGTAGGTGTATTAAATGATGGAGCCTGAAATCTTGGTTTCTTTGCCACTTGAGAAACAAAGTTTTCTTCACTATCACCATCTGCCTGTTTACTATCATCCTTATCATCTGATGATGTCTCTTCATCACATTGTCCATTATTACTAAATGTTCATAAAATACAAGGATAATGACAATGAGGTAACATGTACAACTGTAATAAACAATAAGATAAACCATTCAGCAACTCACTATTTCATGTATTTGAAAGGGTATAAAGCTATATCTTACTACATATTTTTTTACCAATATAAATTCAAGCTAAAAGAGTAATCTACACATCAACATTAGGACAGGTTTACAATATTTTATCTATGTCTACTAGTTTCAGTCAATTATAACTTGACCTTCATCAATATGGCATTGTACTTTTTAATAAAATTTATAAGTGGTTTTGTTAAACTTATGGTTGCTGCTGGAAAGAGTTTTTTATCATAGAATGTCTCTGCTATTTAATGAAAACACATAAATATTGTATATAAACAAAGTAAAATGTTTGGTAGCAGAAATATAGCTTTATACACTTTAAAACAATATAATGATGGATGAACCATACTATATTAGGGCCTAATAATGCATTTTACGTAAGTTTTTTTAATTTAAAAAACTTATACAAATTATAAAAAAAACTGCAAATGCTTAAAAAATGATCACAACTACATTTTGTAATTGAATATAAGACATTATTTCAAAAGAAAAACATTTTAATCTTGGAGAAACTTCATTTGATTAAAAAAATAAAATCTCCATATTGGCATGTCAAAATTTAATCATAAACAGAGCAAATGGTATGAATCACTGTAAAAAGAGCTCACCATGATTCAGGAAATATCCTCTTCAATATATTGCTTTTCTGACATGCCTCAGGGACACTTGTATTTGTACAAGTAGGTGCCTAAAAATATCAAAGAATTTTTTATTTTGTTTTTGCCCGATTAAAATGTCATATAGTGTGACCTTTGATAGACTATCTAGCTTTATTGTTACAGGAATACCGGGGTATTCATATTTATGTTTTTCAGACACAAGCTTCCTTATACAAAAACTACAATTCAAATCTTTGTAAGGTATACACGATTAACAGTTTAACTTAATAATGCTTGACTCAACATAGGTTAGTCTTTCACACCAGTAAAGTGCCAGGTCAGACAAGGCTCTGTACAGTTAGCTGACAAACCTTTTATTTTCATCTTCATATGGCTAAAACTGATAATGGACAGTTGCAAAAATGGAAGAATGATAAAATAGATTATTATAAGAGTTATCTTATTTTTGAAAAAAAAAGCCCATATAATTGTCATGTTTGTGTTAAGAAGTGTCCAGAAGTATGGTAAATTTAGTGCAAATCATGCATGTAGGTGCCCTTTTGCTAGAATGCCTCATAACTAAGGTGTTAAATTGTTCAGTTTGAGATAGTCCCCAAATGGGTTATATAACAATTAGAAATTCATCAGGTTATGGTTAAAGTCAATTATCTTATTCACACTACAATAAAGTTATCTAAGTTTAAACTGAAACATTTTACAATGTTATACCAACATTAAAATTTTTTTAATGAGAAATTTTGGAATAATACAAGTTAAAAAAAACTTTGAAAACAAATTCTATAAATTACATGCAAGAAGGAATGAACACAAAAATGTCATAAAATCAAACAACAAAACATACACAATACTAGTATGTTCTTAACACAATTAAAATGACTATCTTACAAGACTACATGTTTTTTCACAATAACTGACATAAATTATAGTATCTATTACAGGGAACATATTTTTATAACTATTAACTAAAATAAAACATACCTGCTTATTTATGACAGTAGTAGTTGTTGATTTTGATAAAAGAATAGGAGATACAAACTTCGGCCGACCTGCTTGACTTGGTGCAGCTGATCTTCTCATTCTGCCAACATACAAGATGTTTTCTACGATTTGACTTTGACTATTTCATTCTGAAATAAAGAAGCAAATCATTTCACTACAGACTTTTTTAAAAGTGAAGAACCTTTCAACATTTTTGTTATTAAGATATGGAAAATGCATGTTTTCTTAATATAAATGCATTATTTCAAACACAAGTGGGCACCTAAGTAAAACCACTGGCCTTGCATAAGATAGCTGACATCTTCCTGACAAAAAAAATGGTTCAAAATCAGCAAACTTTATCATTGAGCAATGAAAGGTCATATTTCATTCAATATCCATGCCAGAGTTATGGGTCTTTGAAAGTTTAAAGGTTACATGAATTATGTTTCATGTTAATGCCTTCAATGGTTTGGAGAATGATGTTGCATGCAAACTATAACGAGAAATTTTCTAAGACAAAGATTATGGTATTTTTGTTGCCTTTCTTAAGTCTTGATAGTTTTACAATGGTATTTGTTTTTCTTTAGCATAGTTGAAATATTTCAATGGCAGTTGTTTTGTCTTAGTGGCATTTAAGTGGTCTTTATTCAGTCCTAATAGTATTTCAATGATCTTTATTCTTTGTGGTATTTATGCAGCTTTTTTCCCAGGCTTTGCAGTATATCATTGGTCTTTGTTCTGCCTTGTTGTTGGTATGTTTTGCAGCCTTTACAATGCATTGTGTTTAAAGAAATTGTCCCATTTTACATGAATAAAATTAAAAGCATTTTGCCAAAAATATTCAACAAAAAAGTCACAAGGACATTAAATCTAAAAATCTTTTATGGTCTTGAAAACAAGAGGGCCATGATGGCCCTGGATCACTCACCTGCGATGCATTGCTAGAAAAGGTCACAATTTTTATTTTTCATGTTTAAGTCAGTATTAATAGTCACTTTGAGTTTGTCATTTTTTTTCAAAGCTGCAAAAAATTTAAATATTTGAAGATATCTGGTACGAAACACTAAATGACAAATTTAATATCTAAGTTCTTGACATTGTAGATTTACAAAAGAATACTTACATGTATTTTCCTATACAAGTATATATAGTCTAATTGACCCCCAGAGCAGGGTAAATTTTGACCCCAGAGGCATGATTTATATAACTTTCATAAAGGTCAATTGGCAATGTTACATGCCAAATATCTAAACTCATGGCAGTGCAGTTTTTTAAAAGAAGACTTAAATGTATTTTCTTATATAAGCCTATGATAACTAACTCACCCCCAGGACGAGGCCATTTTTGACCCTAGTGGTATGATGTATAAAGTACTACTTTGTAGAGGACAACAAGGTGATGCTACAAGGCAAATATTTAAGCTCTTTGCATTATACTTTCATAGAAAATTTTAAGACATTATTCCTATACAAGACTTTGTAAATTAAGTGGCTCCGAGGGTGTGGCCATTTTTGACCCCATGGGCATGAATTATAAAACTTATGTAAATATCTGCTGACCTATGTTATAGACCAAATATCTAAGCTCTATACAAGTCTTTGTGACCCCCAATTGACAGGTGTTTCACTCCCAAGACAGTTCACTTCAAGACATTTCATTCACTTCAAGGCATTTCATTCCCAGACGTTTCACTCCCTATTTCTGTGCCACAATAAATTTGATACTTTTGATTAAATAAAATTTCTAAATATAAATGGTATTTTGATTCATATACATGTATAAATATAACCAAAAAATTTATAAAATTGCCTTAAAAATGGCACTTCAGTGACTTTAAATTTGTGTTCTTTATTTTCATATGCCATATTTGGAGTGAAAAGTCTATACAATTGACTAAATGGAAATGAAACATCTAGGAGTGTACTGTCTTGAGAGTGAAATGTCACCAGAGGAATAATATTTAACCCAGCTAAAAGTCAATACATTCCCAAAGAAATTGTCAATCTGGCCCAACATTATCACTTTTTTGGTTATTGTTTGGTCTGTTTCATGTCAATACAGGAAGATACTAGAGCACTTCATTCATTTGACCTTGACGGTGAAGATCAATTAAAGGTCAAGGTCACGTCTAAATTATTCAGTATGCAGTTTGTTTGTTTAGTTGCAAGTCTTGCTTTGTCCATGTAAAATTTAAATTTGTTTATAAATAAAAGAATTATGGCAATATAACCAAAATTCAATAATTTGACCTTGATGGTCAAGGTAATTTAAAGCTCAAGGTCAATGTCAGTTCAACCTTTTAGAAGATTTTGCCCAAAGATTGTTTTCTTCAAGTATGAATATAATACATTTATTATGATTAAGTTACAGTCAATTTAATATAGCAAAAATATAATAAGTGAAAATTCAATAATATAACTTTCAAGGTGTAAGTCAAAAATGAGCCATGGTCCATTAGAGTTTGATATAGATGAAGGTCTTAGTGTCTTAATATGAATTAAAGACAAAGTAATAGCTGGTTATAGCAAAAAAGAAATTTTCAATAATTTGACCTTCAATCTGAAGGTCATTTATGAATAAAGGTCTATGTCTGTCTGTTTAACTAGGTCTATCCTGGAATTTAAGATTGTCGTGTTCAAGACAATACATTTAAAATTAATAAAGTTATAGGACTAGCTTCTAGAAGAAAATATCAAGGAAAATTAAGACATTTGACCTTGAAGGTCAAGGTCATTTATAGATGAAGGTCATGTTTTGACTAGTCTACTTTTTTTTAAAAGAAAATTTAATTTAGAAAAAGTGAAGAAGTAGAGCTAAATAAATAATATAAAAATGTGGCCAGGTTGACCAGAGATCAGATTTACTTCGTGCCGCATTGATTAATTTGGGGCCGGATAAACTTGGGTCCGCGTTGACTTGGACCATTTATACTCAACATCACTAATTCCGCGTCATCACTTATCTCACGGTAATGGCATATTTTCATGTGACCATTGTTATAATTGGTCAGAATTGACATATTTTATTCAAACACCTTAACAACAAAGTTTTTGTGCAAAATAATCTAAATCTATAGATTTTTACGTAAAACTGAACAACATTTTACAAACTTCTGCAAAAAACAACAAAAATCCATTAAATTTGTGCATATGTCTGAAACAATCATCATTTTCTAAATGTTCTTGTTTGTTGAAAAAATGAATTTTGAGTTACAATGTAAAGATACTTTTAATATTTAAAATTATGCAAAATAACTTAAAGAAATTTTAACTGAAACATGAAAAAACTGAAATAGGCCTAAATCACCATTACCGCGATGTAAATGAAGACATAGTGTTTTCAAAATGGCTGACACACGGTTTACATCTGACAAATTAAAACTAATTTTGATTGAATATATTGTTGTTTCCTTGTGTCATATAGCAGAAATTTGACTAAATGATACAGTTTATAACAGTTTTTGTTGTGTAAGTTTATTGTTTGTGTTCTTTACTGTTTTAAAGTGTTAAGTACCGTGAACTAAGAGGAGCACAGTATACAGTATTATGATTTAAATGGGAGTGAAACGTCTAGCATTCAGATTTGTTTGTGCAGACTTTTTTAACGTAGAAATATCATCAATACATAAATATACATAAATATAAAAAATAAAATTAAGTTTTTCAACTATAGAATCTAACAATAAGCACATATTGAAGACGCGGGCATTTCAAAAATTATTTATGATAGGGCCTAAATCAAAGTAAAGTCTACTGTTTTAACATAGATCTATTAAGTTCTAAATAATTTATCATGTCGGGGAAGTGGTTTAAAACCACTTTAAAAAAGAGTTACTATTAGATTTATAGATTGAAAAAATATACCCTGTTGTTGAAGTTAAAAGACGAGAGAGTTAAAATATTTACAATTTTAACACACATCCAGAGTTAAGTCCCTTCCCTGTCAACAGCTTTGTCCAACTTCCGGTAAAATGACGCTTTATTTCTAGAGTAGACGTGTCTGTAATTGATTGAATGCAAAGGGGGCTTTTATCGCAGAAGAATAAACAGAGATGGAGTTCTATGTAATTTTAAAGATTGTTTTCATGACTTGCTGTGTTGTGGTTTTTGCAGGTACAACTGACAGGCCTAAAAATATGAGTGAAGGTAATTTATTTTATATGGCTCGTTGCATTTAAGATTTCGCAAAGAGGGTACCGATATGGATATGCACCGTGACACTTTCGTCATAAAAAATAAAAGGTACTATGCACATATGGATAGCCCATTAATCTAAATGCTTATTTCCATTGGGGTCCATAGAAATAAAAATACATAATTTTAACCCTTCCCCCCTAAAAAAAACAACAAGATAAAACTATATAAACTAACTAACTTTGGTCAAAATTTTGGTTGAAAAAGAAATATATTTATAAAAGTATGCCCTTTTTAAAATAAGCTTAGTATTACTATCACAGAAATATTGGATCACAGTGCCTAACACATTAGTTGTACACATATCCCGGTGTAACCTGAATTCGGCGATATAAGAATAAAGGTCAATGGCATTTTCAATTAACTACAGTTATCTATAATTATACTTGATATAATTTTACTGCAACTATTTTAAAGTTGCTTAAAGTTGATTTCTAACATTGTAATCGTTCAGCCGTTGCCAAATATAAACAAATATGGCTGATGTAAAATCTTTTACAATCTGAAAACGTCACCTAAATTCGGCGATTCTGATTGGTTGCAGTAAATTTTTAATTTTGGCGGGATTGTGACGTAGTATGTTGACCTAGATCGGTAGTAAAAATAGTAAGATAACAGACGGCGACAGTCAAATTATTTTAAGCAACAATATCAATCAAATAGAGGAAAGTATAGATAAACTTGAAATTGCATCAGGTAAAACACAATTTTCTCCATGTCATATACAATTTTTAGCTCGACTATTCGATAAGAATAAGTAGAGCTATTGTAGTACCCCGAGCGTCGGCGTCGGCGTAACCACTTATGTTAAAGTTTTTGTAATAGTTTAAATATTTTCAAAGTCCATTGACATATGGCTTTGAAACTTTGCACACTTGTTCACCATCATTACCCCAACCTGTAAACAGGAGGAGGTAACTGTATCAAGCATTTTGACAGAATTATGCCCCTTTTTGGACTTAGAATTTACGTTAAAGTTTTTGTAATAGTTCAAATATTTTCAAAGTCCATTGACATATGGCTTTGAAACTTTGCACACTTGTTCACCATCATTACCCCAACCTGTAAACAGGAGGAGGTAACTGTATCAAGCATTTTGACAGAATTATGCCCCTTTTTCGACTTAGAATTTACGTTAAAGTTTTTGTAATAGTTCAAATATTTTCAAAGTCCATTGACATATGGCTTTGAAACTTTGCACACTTGTTCACCATCATTACCCCAACCTGTAAACAGGAGGAGGTAACTGTATCAAGCATTTTGACAGAATTATGCCCCTTTTTTGTCTTAGAATTTACGTTAAAGTTTTTGTAATAGTTCAAATATTTTCAAAGTCCATTGACATATGGCTTTGAAACTTTGCACACTTGTTCACCATCATGACCCCAACTTGTAGACAGGAGGAGGTAACTCTATCAAGCATTTTGACAGAATTATGCCCCTTTTTCGACTTAGAATTTATGTTAAAGTTTTTGTAATACCTTAAATATTTTCCAAGTCCATTGACATATGGCTTTGAAACTTTGCACACTTGTTCACCATCATGACCCCAACTTGTAGACAGGAGGAGGTAACTCTATCAAGCATTTTGACAGAATTATGCCCCTTTTTCAACTTAGAATTTATGTTAAAGTTTTTTTAATACCTCAAATATTTTCAAAGTTCATTGACATATGGCTTTGAAACTTTGCACACTTGTTCACCATCATTACCCCAACCTGTAAACAGGAGGAGGTAACTGTATCAAGCATTTTTTTTACTATCAAGCACTAAGAATAGTCGAGCATTGCTGTCCTACCGACAGCTCTTGTTAATGTTTACCAGCCGTATCTCAATCTTTAGAGCAGAAAATCACTTGAGTTGTAAAAATAGACTGTGGAACATAAATATGATTGACCTTCACCTCTGAAATATCGCGTAAATGACGAAAAACAAAACATCGCTGAATTTAGGAGAACGCCGAATTTAGGTCACGGTACGATATATATCTTCTGAAAGACTTTTATAACTTTCTAGTAGGTACTTTTTAACAGATTTTTTGTATTGCACAAAATTATTAATGGATTTTATATATTCTGGTAGATCATTCCAGTCTTTAATTCTAACTTTCCACTAAGAATATCATGGTCTATGGTGTCAAACGCCTTTTGCAAGTCAAGCATCACCATACCTGTGTATAGCTCTTTACTAGTATTAATTCTTATAACATCTTGTAACATAAATATTAGATCTATTATTAAAATTGAAGTCTGCCAATTTGCATGGGTTATTCCCTGTTATTTGCAGAGCTGAAGTAGATATATCTCATCATCTCATGCCATTTTTGTGCCCGTAGTGGCGACATATAGGGATCACTTCTCTGTCGTCTGTCTGAGCAAACATTTTGGGTTTAGGGGCAATATAACAGTAAAGAGAACAAAAGAGAACAAAAATTTTATTCCGTGATCAAAGGATTTAGGGGCTAGTAGCCCTTAAGAAAACAAAGAAAATAAGAAAGAAAATAGCCCCTAAAGCCAAAATGTTGGAACGTCCGTCTGTCCATCCGTCACAAAACTTGTCCGGACTACTCCTCATATAAACTACTGGTGCAATTTCATCCAAACTTTACAGGAATGATCAGTACCAAATCTAGTTGTGCATATTGTCAGCATTTTCCGGTTCAATGATTTTTGTCAGAGTAATGGCCCTTTGATAATTTTTATTTTTAAAGTTTGTCCGGACTACTTCTCTTATACCACTGATGCAATTTCAATGAAACATTACAGGATTGATCTGTAGCTTAAGTCCTTGTGCATATTGCACAGGTTTTTTGGTTGAATGATTTTTGGCCTAGTTATGGCCCTTTGATAAAAAGGTGTTTTTTTCTGTGTGTTGCCAGAGACACAAAAGCTTGTCCGGACAACTCCTCATAAACTACTGGTGCAATTTCATCCAAACTTTACAGGAATGATCAGTACCAAGTCTAGTTGTGCACTGTCCGTCTGTCTGTCCATCTGTCACAAAACTTGTCCCAACATGAAATTGGCCATCATGAGGCGACACATGTGATCACTGATCGCTCTTGTTTTATTCTGCAGTTCTGTAATGTAGATGTACAGTACTAAACTCAAGTTATATTAATGCAATCAGAATTTTATGAAATAAACTGTTATTGTCAATTGTTTATCAGTTTATTACCGGGTATATTGTTTTTGTATGTCAACAAACCAAGAATAATTGTTTTATGTAATTAAAACAAAACTGTACAAGTTAATATTTATATTCATGATTTAATTTGTTTAATACATGAAGTGTCAAGGGTGTGATAATGTGCTTGTTTTTTTGCATTTTGTACCGTTTTATATAATTACCCACTTTATTTACTTGATCAAGTATATATACATGTATATTGCCTCTATCACATATAATGTTATAATATAATTTGTGCAGCAATATCATATTTACTGGCACCAAGTTATGTTTCTAAATACTTTACTGTTAACTGCACAGTACTGGTGTAAGATTTCATAGTCCTTTACTATTTAAATGGTATATACATGATTTTATGAAAATCTTGTCAATATTATTTGTTGTAATTACAGCATAATTTAAAATACACTTACATTAACCAGCTGTCAATTAGACATCATCATGAGACTGCTTATCCAGCCGGTAGTTGCTTGTCCCATTATATTATGTCCCATTAACAGAGGATTATGAAAACAGAAAAGAAATCTCTTGAAATGCACTTTAATACAATATTTATGTCCAGTTTCTGTTGATGAGTCAGACTATCACCATTATTAAGCGTTACTCCATACAAATGTTTATTTTACTGAAATGATATGTCTCATAAATGAACCAGGTCTCTAAGTCAAAGGTCACACTTAGAGTTCAGAAGTAAACACTTGTCAGGCAAAACCTCTTCATGAATTCAGATATTTTAAAATTAAATGGCACAAATGTTCACTATTTTGAGGCAATGTTTATTAAGGTCAAAGGTTGATAAAAGATATGAAAATGTGTGTAAGGACAGTTTTGTAGTTATTATATCACAAATACATGTATTCATAATTACTGAGATTTACCAGAATAATGGAGGCCAATATATGCAAGGTCAAGGTCACAAGAGTTGATGAAATGTTCAGAATTTATCTGAAGCATATCTTCTATTAGATGAATTTGAGTATTATTTGATGCAAATATTCACCACACTGAGAAGTACATGTAGTGCCATGCCCATGAAGTAGGTCTCTTGGTCAAAGGTCACACTTAGTTTAGAAGCTATAGGAAATATCTTGTCTAGAACAAATCATCTACATCATTGATGGATTTTTTTTCACCAATTGTTGCACACATAATTCGAGGGGCTCCTGTGGCCAAGGTCAGAGTCACACATATATAGGTCAAAGGGCAGATAATATAAGTGAAAATGTGTGTATTGACAATAATGTAGTCTTGAATTTAGGGATAATTAGTATATGTCATGGCAGCATAATTCAAGTCAATATAATTATGCTAGGTCAAGATGCCAGAGAATTTGTCTGGAGTATATCTTTTACTTTCATCGAGAAATCTTAGTATTACATATGTTGTATTTGTAACATATGTTCACCATCATGAGACAGAATATATCACACATGGATCAAAGGTCAATGTCACACTATGAGACTGGACCAGGGAAACACTTGTCCATACAGTATAATAGTTCTACATAGATTGTAATATAACTGCACAAATGTTCAACACTGTAAGTCTTAGTGTTGTGCATAAAAATTCAGGTCCCTTTGGCCAAGTTTAAGGTCACATGCAGTGGACCAAGGTCAGATGAAAAAAAATGAAATGTCAGTAGTGATCATTTAGTCACCATGAATTGTTACATTTTAATGTAAATGTTCACTAGTTTGAGACTGGGCATTTGTGATTTGCATATTAAGTGACCAATTGGCATTATTGTAAAGTTGTTTTTGTTATCAATTAAAATGAACATGTTTTGTTTGAGCCTAGGTTATTAACATATTTTTTCTTTTATTAGAAATGTACTGTTTGGGATGTCAAGTTACTGTGAAAGGTATGTTTTTTTCTTTTATTGAACCATGACTTTATGATTACATTTTAAGGACTAGAAAAAAAGAAGAATTCCTCACAAACTTGTTTAGTGTATTGTTGTGAATAAATAATTGTTAGAGTATTTCTATTGCATACCAAAAACATAACTTTTCAGTATGTAAACTTATTAACAGAGTACCGAACATTTTATTCCCAATTAAATTCTCAAAGATAGCAATGCTTTAACAAAAAAAAAGTTAATTACATATTGATTTTTTAATAACCTTTAAAAGTGTATCCAAATTTGTCTTAAATGTATGATTGATTAAAATTCTTTATTTTCAAATGTAATTATAGAGCTAGACTCGATGTTAAGCCGAAAATTGACACGAGGAATGGGAGAGACGGTTACTCGTGCATTGAAGAGAGTATGTGACAAACATAACTTTGACAAATATGATGTTGATGCAAAGAGAGTTTTAGAAGTTTGTGAACACATCAAAAGTATGTTTTCATTAAATAAATGAAACTTTCTGTTTATAATATATTGTTTGCTACTGTTTTATTATATTCATGAATAATTTAGTTCGAACTTTTTTTTCATAACACTTGTTTGAAAATAGCAATTTTGTTTTATGCTCCCCAAAAGGAGAGCATATTATGGCTATTTTGTCTGTCTGTTTGTCCATCATTTCCTTGTCCTGAAAATTACTTGAAAAGTATTGAAGGAATTTGATTGAAACTTTACATAGTGATAGAGATTAGTTAGAGGAAGTACATTTTCAAAGAACCATAACTCTACCTTGTTTATTGTTTGAATTATGTCCCTTTCATTAATAATGCTGGTCCATAGTGTAACTTATCTGGATTCTTTCATGTGAGGAAGCTATCCAGCTAGATTTCAGACCATTGGTGGTTCAACTCAGATGCCTGAAAAAATGCACAGAGGGGCACCTGAGGTCTTCCTCCACCAGTAAAGCTGGAAAGACACCAAAAGACCTATACAGTGTTGGTGTCAAATAAATAAATAGAATAAAACACATATTTATTTTTTAGATGATGAGGGACTAGAAGCTTTCCTGATTACAGAGTATGGTAGAAAGCATGCTACTGGGAAATATACTCAAACTTACCTTGATATTTCACAAACTATATGCAGTACTGTTATCAAAGCCTGCCGACAAGCTGGTACTCTTGAAATCAATGATGAGGTAGGAACAAATTTTATTTATTTGATACTATTGCTCTGATATGATATTTATAGACCTGTTAAATGTTTTCTTAATTTGATACATATATATACAGTCAAACCTGTGAACAAAAGGATCTAATGGAATGGTTACAGTGATTTTCCTGCTTATATAACAGACTCCAATATAGGGCCTCTTCTCAAATGCATCTTTCCAAATTACCAATTTTAGGGATAATTTTTCCCAAAATCAGGAGGCTAATGCTTCTTCCCATTTAAGTGAGAGAAATCACTGGGTTAAAAATGTTGTTTGTTTAGAGTTTGCCTTTATTTAAGGCACTACATGTATACCCAGATAGTTTTTATATCCTCATAAGTACATAAGTACTTAGCATAGCAACATTTTGTTTCAGGGCACTGATGAAGTATAGTATTACCTTAGGTAATACTATAGTTCATCAGTGCCCTAAAAAAGTCCTTAAACCAGTATGTAATGAACATATAAACATGTTGGATGTTTTTAAAGATTTGTAATACATTTTTGAAGAGTCCCCTTTCCCTTCTACTGAAACTGCTCAAATTGAATTGGTAAACATCAATGTTATAGGAACCAAAAGTTAAAAAGTAGGGTTTTTTTTACAGGATGGTGGAATAATTTACGACCCTGTGATCAAGGATTTTTTCGTTAAAGAAGGGAAGAAAGTTCGAACACCAAAACCAATACAGGAGAAGATACCTGACCCCAATCAGACAGCGGATCGTGCTGATGATGTAAAACCAAGAGAAGAGCGGAAGATGAACGTAGAACAAGCAAGAGAGGTTAACATAGATAGTCATGATGAACTTTAGTTTGATACGTTTTTAATAGAAGAAGCACCAGTATAACTGTAAGGCAATAAACTAAACTGATTTTGAAACAAACCTATTAGGTAGATAAGAAAAATTAGACAGTATGATTACAGAGTCTTAGATTTTTATAAAGTTTTTGTGTTAAATTAATTGCTTAAATTGTGTAAGAAATTTATCAATTGAGTTTCCCTCAAAACTGAGCATCAGATGGTTTCACAATTTTTCAGGTTATTTCATAGTTATAGAAAAAAATGATGCACTTGAATTTTCATGTGTTTTTTTTTTTTTAATTTTGTTTTATTTAAGTTACGATGGTAGACGATTTGATAGATAAAACATAATTTTATTTCTAAAACATGTAGATATTATGTAAATTAAAGTATTATAAAACAAATACTGTTGCAACTAAAATGTCAACTCAGACATAAAACATTTGAAGTGATTTGATGCAGAAAAAAAAGAGTAAGTATACACAGTTCAGCCTAATATGTTGGAATAGAACACAAATAATATTTTATGTGCAATTCAGTAAATTTTGTTTATTTTTTGCTATAGAACTGAAACTTTAAATAAGCAATACATATCATTTTGACAACCCACATTTCTTGTCAGATATTTCTGTGATATTTTTTTTTGTACGCATTAAAGTATTATAAATTGATCTGATTTGTCGATATATACACTTCTCATTCCATTCATATGTACATAGAATAGACATATACATTCTATATTCAAATATTTGAAGTCTGTGATAGCAATTTGAGTAGTACAAATACATTTTATACATTTGTAGGTAAATTTCTAAGGTTAATACCTTAATTTCTTTTTTTTAAAGTGAATTGGTCTTTAGTAAAATATCTGTAATACCATAAACAATTATGTTGATAATGTTGATAGTATTCAGTATCATACAAGATAAATATTCAGTATCATACATGATAAATATTCAGTATCATACATGATAAATATTCAGTATCATACAAGATAAATATTCAGTATCATACATGATAAATATTCAGTATCATACATGATAAATATTCAGTATCATACATGATAAATATTCAGTATCATACATGATAAATATTCAGTATCATACATGATAAATATTCAGTATCATACATGATAAATATTCAGTATCATACATGATAACAAACCACAAAAGAATAATATATGGTTGTTCTTGGCAAGTGTTAGATACATGATCCGATATGACATATCAATATATAGCAAATAATGAAGTGTTCTAGAACAAAATATTATTTTTCATCATATATATATGTTCATACTTAATCACTTTAGAAGTTTATCAACATTCTGTTATCCAGAAATATCTTTATTGTTTTTATCAGAATTTGAAATACTCACGAAAAATATGCCAATTGATACCACCCCCCTTTTAAGTAAATTTACAGTTGTATTCAATTTTTTTTCATGCTCATATGAGGAGTGTTCAATAAATTAGCAGTATTGCTTTATTACTGAAAGTTGGAATAGAAAATGAAGAAACAAATTACATCATGTGATACATTGACCTATGACTAAAATAAAGTTTAAACATTATTATCTATACTCATTGAACAATAAAGTTTACATTAGACATTGAACAATAGTACTATGGTACTTTGTAGTACTTAAAGCACATTGAAATCAATATTGGGTCACTCTGACATTACCTAAATGTCAAAGTGTAATGTCCAGTTAACTTTCTTGACATAATCACTACCTGTGGCAGCACACTTTATGTATGTGTACCTATATTGGGCTTGTCTGTAAGTAGACTCTGCACTGTGTAATATGAGAGATATAGTTGGTCAACAATACCTCACAGGGTCACACCATCTATTATAATTTTGTAGTTCTTAATCTAATGCTGTGTTTCCAACAGTGACTCTTAATATCATCTGACCTTAACTATTTTCATCCAAACATTGAAGTGGTATAATCCTTGAACTGCTCATATATTCGAAAAGTTTTTACTACATTTTTTTACAGGGTACTTGATGTGTTTATTTTTTTTTAATGTAAGGCATATTTTAAGTGTATAAAGCTGTATATACTTCCATGAAAGCAAATTGCCCAAGCATCATTATTTAAAACAGTAACATAATATTTTGTTCCAGATTACATGAATTTTATTCTGTATACCTACAATATTTATGTCTGTTAAATAACAGACATTCTATGTTACAATTTTTTTTTGAAAATGACCATGTTCAGATTATGTAAACAATATACTGTTTACTGTTAATAAATTTTATAGGAATATTTAATCAGATATTGATTTTCACCCTTTAAACCAGTTAAGTAAATAATTAAGTTGCAATTTCTTTGTCAGATATTTAATGAAAAATAATTGAGATATACAATGAAAAATAATTGTCTGATATACAATGAAAAACAATAGTATCATGATTTAGGGGATAATTCATTCAATGTATTTATGAAAATTGTTTTTTGTAATCCTTTCAATTTTTGCAAAATAATACATGTAGATTGTTCTCTGTAGATGTATGTGTTACATTCTTTCCTTTTTACTTAAAAATCAAATATAAAATATGGCAAAAATCAAACATGTTTTATTATATTGTTTTGTACAGATTGTAGCATTATAATATATGTTTATTTTATTTGTTATGTATTCAATTTTTGTTGTTGTTTTTAAATTCTCCATGTATGAAAATATCTGAGAGGTGTCCGTGGCTGAGTGGTTAAGATTGTTGACTTTATACCACTTGCCCCTCACTGCTGTTGGTTCAACAGGGACTTTGGATTCTTTTATGTGAGGGAGCTATCCAGCTAGCTTACCGAATATAAGTGATTCTACTCAGGTGCCAGTATGTGCTTGGAAGGGCACCAAAGGTTTTCATCAGAATTTTTTATATTTTAGGTGTTAAAGCATTTATTTCAATGTTTATTTGTTATACCAGACTGGTATATAGGGGTTCTTTTTTATTTTCGTTATACATGTATGTGCTTTATTTTTCTACCAGTTATGCAATTCTTGTTTTTCTTGTATTAGATCTTTTTGTGTGACATGAGATTAGAAATTGTTAATATATCACTTTTCTTTTCTTTTTTGAATTAGTAGTTGTGTTGCATTTGTCAAATAGTTGCTGTTAAAATAAAGTAGTTAATATCTTAATGGTCTCCCTTTGTCTATCGAATTGCAATGGGATGCAATGAATGAGTCAGTTTTAAAGTTGTATCCGGGTGTGGATTTTGATACATAATTTTCTCCTTGTTTGCCATTGACACATTATTTGTTAGAAGGAATGGAAAAAACAACAACACAAAAACTGTTATCAAGTATGTAATAAAGCTATCCATAAAGATTGAAAATTAATAGTGTTATGAAGTCCATTTCTGATTGTGCTTTTTCCATGCAATACTGATTTTTAGACTGTCTTTTTTATCAATTTTCAGTTACCACTGACATACATTATACATGTATATTAATCTGATTTTAGTAGAGTTGAAGACTTATTAAACCCATAATTCTATTTTTATACATGAGTATATCAATATATATTGGGCACTTGATACAAGAAAGTGATCACTAAAAAATACTTTAAGATCTAGTTTCCCTATGTAAGTTCTAAAATAAATGACTAATGTTGACCAAATTGCTTCATCTTATGGCTACTTTCTTTAAGATTGATGAGTTTATCTGATACACCTCCTTAAAATTAAAATCATTGGCAATCTCTAGTGAAAATAAAAACAACATGATATGCTGTCAGAAGGACCAAGCTTAAAGAGATAGATAGATGCTAGTAATCTAAAGTAAGAATCAAGAAGTGTAATACATTGTATAGCAGGGTATTATCATTGTAACATAACTCTATAACAGAATGGAAAGGAAATGTGGAAACAATAGATGCATGAAACTTTAAATACAAGTATGTAAGTATGTGAAACGGATAAATTCATTGATCCTACAGATACATATAGTTACTCTACATTTATTGTACAGTACTTTGTCTTGTTGCTCTGAAAATAGTAAATACAATTATCCTAGTGTATCATTGGTATTTTGTCTAGATTACATCATTACATGTAGTAAAGAATATAAATCATTTTATGATAACCTCAAATATTTTCCCTGTACAAATCAACAGCTCATAAGATGAGAGCAGAGTGGCAACAAGGGAGGGCAAATTTCACAAAATTAAGTCATTTTTTATAGCACAAAGTTTTATTCATACCTTCCAACTTGTCACCTTTTACATTACCAAGATCTGAGATATACATTTTTAAGAATTTATCTTCATGCATATATGAATCTTGTTGTCTAGTCTATAAGTTTGAGAAGAACATTACACAATGCTGAACTAGCTGCTAGAAATCAAACATATTCTCCAGCTTTGCTCAAGTCTTGTATCTGTGAAACTCCAAATTTGTTCGCTGTTTTTATTTAACGCAATCAATCCATTTTGTAAGTCAGTAAAGTAAATTCTATTTAATTTTATCACGTATTGCTTAGCATCGGTAAACAGTGATTTTCCAGTTATATCTTTTTAAATTGTTTTCAAAAGAGTCCCGTTTTTATCACAAACGCAAACTGAATTTCCACAGCACACAAACAGTTCTTTGCTTTCTGAATCTATGGAAATTCCATAACAATAGTTTTCAGTAGGAAATGAATTGCCCAATGATAATGTACCGGTACATGATACAAACTGAATCATTTTCTCATTACTAAGAGTAAGTGCAACTTCCTGTGACCCTACAACGCATGCTGATGATGGACCTCCGTCTAAATCAATGCTATCATACAACTCGTAGGTTTTGCTAAATCTTTTCAATTTATGGTTTGCAAAGTCACTGATGCCATACATGCCATCTTCTAAAAAACTAGACCACTTTCAACACAGTTCTTTTCATCACTTTCAAGTTTAACATCAAAAACACCATTGTAACGTTCAGAGAGTCCCAGCATAATTGATGGTTTGTTTTTTCGTCGTCAATAAAATGACCAAACGTCTTTAATGTCGTATCATTATGAGGTGAATCATAGTCAATACAGTAATCAAGCTTTCTAATCGGCCAATTACAAGGTAGGTCTTCCATCAATATTTCTGCATCTTTTACAACTTGTTCACACTTTTTGACACTTAAAAACAATTTCCTTTTACTCTGACTGGCGCAGTTGTTTAATGTTTTTAAACTTCCCTCTGTAACTGATGCGACTGTTTCTAACTGCCGGATGTCTTGTTTGACAGCGTTTACTAACTCTTCATGTTTAGACCGCAGTTCTTCACGAGAGGCGTCAGCCATCTTTTTAATCTTTTGTATTATTTTTTCTTGAAAACTGTCAATTTCATTTAGGACTGTTAGTTTTTCTTCATCAAGCTCAGTTATATTGTTGCTCCTTATTTCTTTTTCCAACTTCAGTCTCGAAATGGACGTGTCTAGACGCTCCTTTGTTCCAGTTTTATTTACCTCTGTTGCCTCTGCTTCTTCTATAGTAACGTTTTCACATAACCTGAAAAAATCATTTTTTGAACTTAAAGGATATTTCTACATCAGATATGTCCAGTTGCACCAAATTCACCAAAAATCATAACTGAATTTTTTTTACGCTTAAACCGTAATTTATTCAAGATAAAATGCACATACAGCACTAATGAAATAATTATTATGAAGAATTAAAGATATACATACCTGTGTTTGATAGATACACATATTACACAGCATATTTCATCATGGTCCTTGCAGTAACTTTCTATCGCCTGTCCGTGGTGACTTGCACAATAAACGAGTTTTGTATTTTCATCTTCCGCGATCGTCTCATACTCAAGGTTATCCAAAACTTTGTGAACTTTGAATAATGGGAACTTACTATGGTATTTCAGGCATTCACCACACATATGTGATCCACAATCAATGCAATATTTAACAGTCTTTTTAAAATCACCAGTATCTGAACACAGAGGACATTGTTTAACTAGTGTTGTCTCATTACTCTCCGCCATATTTGACATTCGTTTTATCCGTGATCATTTTCTGAAAATTGGTATATACTTCATTTTATGTTTAACCGTCTGTCGTTATGTAATGAATGGGAATGAACACGTTTAATTATCAGTCCAAAAAATCCGATGAATCAAACATGCGAGGTAATACTTTTTGAATGTCAAGAATAAGAATTTTAGAAAACGAATGAATTTATAAATAACTATTTCAAAGCCGCTTTGAAGACGTCAGATTAAAATTAGCTCCCAAATAACACTACGATTTACAACATAAGAATGTCTGGGTGCGTTTTATAAAGTGCAAAACTTGGATAAAATATATTGCGTTTTTCCAGTCTTAGACAGGATTTTATGTGAAACACACCCTTTAATATTATTCAATTGATTATATATATTGATTGTCACAGAGTTCCGCTTTCAACTTATGTTAAGTAGCTTTCTTTTGTACAGACAAAATGGGTTGTTAAATCAAAAATTCCAAATAAATTCTATATGTATTTGTAAATCCCAGCGCATAAACTTATCACATACATGTATATCAATAAAACCTATAATATTATTCGCTGTTTTGAAGAAGAAAAAAACTGTTTCAACGTCTTTATTATAACAGGAACTTGAAACTCTATCAAATAATTGGTATTTTAGCAGAACTATCAAAAATATATATCCCATATACTTTATACAGGGGTATTTTGGATTTTCTGCTTATCAATTATTTGACAGAATTTCAAGTTCCTGTAACAAATATACAATTATTTTTGATTTTACAAAGTCTGGAACTCCACATCTAATATAGTGTCTGAGGCTGTATTTAGTAATTTAGTTCGGTGCATTTAAGTTATATCCTTGTTATTTTTTGATGGAAATATAATTAATTTCTTATTGTCATAAGGTCTTACTAAAAGGAAATGAGCCGCGTCTCAACAAAACCAACGTAGTGCATTTGCGACCAATATGGATCCAGACCAGCCTGCGCATCCGCACAGTCTGATCAGGATCCATGCTGTTCGCTTACCAACTGTATTACAAGTAGAAAAACTGATAGCGAACAGCATGGATACTGATCAGACTGCGCGGATGCGCAGACTGGTCTGGATCCATGCTGGTCGCAAACACACTATGTTGGTTTTGTCGTGACGTGGCACAAATACTAGTAATCTACCTGTGGAAAATAACTATTACCTTACATATGAGCCGTGACATGACAGAAACGTTACGTCAAAGTTTTCTTCATTTTTTTTTTGGATTATACTGCGCGCTTTTCCAACCAGACCTGCGCAATTTTTAAACAGTGTGCACATCAATTGTATGTAAGCAAAAAAAATTCAATTCGTTACTGCACTAATTCACCAAAATGATGATTTTTAAAGATCTGGGTAGAAATGTATGGAACGCCGTGACTGTCTTATGCTATCAATGTTTTTGCTATCTTGTGAAATGATGATATTATTTTGTCATTTAAGCATATTAACATGTGCAATTTACATCATATCTTGTCTAAAGACAATGCTGACTTGTTCAAACAGCATGTTAACTTGTCAAATAATCATTATGACATGTGTAGACAACATGTTAACTTGTCAAAGTATCATGATGACTTGTGCAAACGACATGTTAACTTGTCAAAATATCATGATGACTTGTGCAAACGACGTGTTAACTTGTCAAGATTTCATGATGACATGTGCAAACAACATTACTGTTAACTTGTCGAATTATCGTGATGTCATGCTCATAATACCTTAACAAGTTAACATGTGTTTTGCGCAAGTCATCACGATTCTTTGACAAATTAACATGTTGTCTGCACAAGTCATCACGATATATTGACAAGACAAGTTAACATGGCATTTGCACAAGTCATCATGATACATTGACAAGTTAAAACTGAGTTTGCACAAGCCATCACGATACCTTGACAAGTTAACATGCTGTTCGCACATTTCATCATGAAATTTTGACAAGTTAACATGTCGCTTTCACAAGTCACCATGATATTTGGACGAATTAGCATGTTGTTTGCACATGTTATCACGATGATCTGACAAGTTAACATACTGTTTGCACATGTCATCATGAAATTTTGACAAGTTAGCATGGCATTTGCACAAGTCATCATTATACTTGGACAAGTTAACATGCTTTATGCACATGTCATAACGATAATTCGACAAGTTAACATGCTGTTTATGTGACCCCGATGTCTTTTTGCCTTATATAAATAAAGAACAAAACTGAGGGTAATACTGGTTCGTCGATTTAATTTGTAGTGGACACTAGCTATATATAATTCCAATTCAGTACATCTCAACATCAAACATCATATGTCATACATTCATACAACATACATATCACATCACATTTACATCACATCTACAAGCCCTGAAGTATAAATACCAAACATCCCATACTATCATGAAATATATCCAAATATTGCATTTAACAATATTTGCTGTGTTTATTTTAGAATGCCTATATTTTGTTTATTGTATATAAATGCACTCAAGGGAAGTAACTTGTACTGTGTCTTCATATTCAAGGGAAGTTACTTGTACTGCATAATTCAAATATCAAGGGAGGTAATTTTGAACTTCGACCTTGTATCTGTCTGCATTATTACCCAAGATGCAATAAGCCTATCAGCTTCCTTTTCCTGCACTCAGAGAACAGCAGCACATTTTAATCAAAATAAAAAAAATCTTTAATTCATCTTTTGTAATATAATGCCTGGAAGAGGTAAAGGGAGGAAAAGGAAAATACACAAGCTGTAGATCCTAAATGAGAATCCTCCAGAACAGGAAATAGGAGATTCAGTCGAACCAGTGTTGCTTGGTGGAGATGGTGACCATCAGGAGCCATCAGGTAGGCAAAAAAATCAAATAAATCATTTGACAATATTTTGGTAAAATAAATTTTTCAAGGAATTTTAATGAAAAGAGAAATCATTAGGTGTGGTGGGGATGAGTTGGCAAGCCATATTCCCCAAAATTTTGAAAGAAAAATTATAAAAGGTCAGTTTATTAAATTTAAGCTTATTGTTAAAAGGGTCTATGGAGCTGTCTGACATGCATCATGGAGCGTCCCTTTTTGTTAATGATCAAGGTATGCTTGAAACTCGCCAAAAGGCATCAAATCTATATGTAAAGAACATCGAAGAATGGAAGACGCATTTTTGATATACATGGTCGATATATATATTCAGCTCACCCTGAGGAAGTCCAATCCTTTGATAAAATACATGACAATAATTACGTGATGCGTCTAAAAAGTTCCCACACTCTTGGCGGATGTATGACGAACAATTTAGACTTCGTCAGGGCTCGCCTGAACTTAAAGGTAACTGGGGATTCAATTCACCATGAACTATGGTCAAGAGTAATGTCTATCCCCAGCCATGATCAGATTACTCCATACACCCACAATAGAAATCAGTATCAAATCTAATTTTGGATATCAAGTTAAAAAGAAACAGTTTGCTTGCAATGACTTCAATGCAGGAGATTGCAAATGGACATCATGTAAAATTTTTCCCACATATGCAGCATATGCAATTCAAATATGCATAACAAACCCAGTGTCAGCATTTAGGGGCTGAAACAACAAAGCCAAAACCTAATCACAACACAAAGCAGCTTTGTGGGCAAAGGGGCACTTTTTCGTGGCAGACCCTATTGGAACAAACAATGAAAAAGCCTTAATGACGACAAAACAAGCAGATTTTAGCAACATATCAGTTTTAGGAAAATCACCAATTAAAGTTAATATTTTAGAAAGAGCATTGGACGGATATCCTTTAAAACTTTGCAAAATTTTCATTTTAAAATGGTTTCAAATGTGGTTTTCTCCCTGGAATATACAGGTGACATATATTTCATCATGTCTAAAAATCTTAAGTCTGCATTGCTAAAACCTGACATTTGTCAAGCAAAAAATCGAAAAAGAGATAAATGAAGGTAGGGTGGCTGGTCCATTTGACAAGCCACCTATTACAAACTTTACGCATATACACCCTTGGTTTAGTAGAAAAGAAAAATATGCAATGATTTAAGATTGATCCATCATTTATCATACCCCAAAACAATTCAGTGAATGACTTTATTGATCCAGAATTATGCCATGTACAATATACTAGTTTTGACGAAGCTATAGCAATAATCCAAGAACTAGGTCACGGCTGTATGCTTGGTAAATCAGATATCAAATCAGCCTTTAGGCTTATGCCAGTAAATCCAAAAGATTTCGATCAGTTAGGCTTTCATTTTAATGAAACAAATTCTACTTTGACAAATGTTTACCATTCGGCAATGCTCCATCAGTCCAAAAATATTTGAAAAACTTTTTCTACATTTCTTGAATGGTATGTCCGAGGCAAATCTACAAAAGGCAAGCTTATACATTACTTGGATGATTTCTTTTTGGCGGTAAAAAAAACTTACCAATGACTGCAAAGAACTGATGAACAAATTTGATACATTATTGACTGACCTTGGTGTCCCTATAGCACAAGACAAAACTGAGGGTCCCACCACTAATATCGTGTTTCTAGGCCTTGAGCTAGATTCTGTTAAAATGATAGTAAAAATCCCAAAGGATAAAATTGAAGATCTTATTTCAAAGATACATGAAATACTAAGAAAAGATAAAACCACATTAAAAACAGTACAATCCCTTATAGGAAAATTACAGTTTGCATACAGAGCAATTGTCCCGGGAAGACCTTTCTGCGCCGACTTATAAACTGTACACGTGGTCTCACAAAACCTTTCCATCACATCCGCCTCAATAAATCAATAAAGAAAGATTTGAAAATGTGGCTACATTTTTTTCCAACACTATAATGGCATATCTGTCTTTCATGATAAATTTTGGACTAGAACCGTTGATGAAGAGTTATTTTCAGATAGTGCAGCAAGCATAGGTTTTGGACTGTTTTTTTAAAGGTAAATGGACTCAGGGCAAGTGGCCCCTATCATGGTCTCAATCAAATTTGATTAACAATATCACCGTACTAGAGTTCTTTCCAATATTAGTGGCCATTTATCTTTGGGGCAGTAGCTTTCGTAACAAAAAAATACTTTTTAGATCAGATAATCAATCAGTTGTACAAGCAATCAATAC